TGAGGGCCTTCTGGCAGTTCCCTCACTGTGAGAAGCCAAGTTACAGGGAACCAGGCAGAGGGCCTTCTTGGTAGTGGTGCCCACCCTGCGGAACACCCTCCCATCAGATGTCAAAGGAATAAACAACTATCTGTAATCTGAAGGCAGCCCTGTTTAGGGAAGTTTTTAATGACTGATGTTTTAATGTATTTTAATGTAATTTAATGTATTTTTAATAATTTGTTGGAAGCCGCCCAGAGTGGCTGGGGAAACCCAACCAGATGGGTGGGGTATAAATAAATTATTATTATTATTATTATTATTATTACTACTACTACTACTACTACTACTACTCTTGCTGGGGGTGGGGGTGGGGAATTCTCAGAACTACGTGCCGTACTGTTATCCCTCCAGCCTGGGCTTTTACATTAACTTTAGTGGAGTGTTATGCTATGCTACCTCTTTATCAGGTCTAATATTCTGCCAGTGTAAGGGTGAGAACCAAGCACAAAACCTGCACTTCGCTCCATTGCACCCCTGCCACACTCACAACCTCACCCAGATTTTCTCCTGGCATTTGTGGCGCAAAGTCAGTATATCTTTACTGTGCCACTGCGGCGTCATTCTGTTAACAAAGCAGAAGTTATTTGTGTGTTCCTACCCTGCCTAGTGACCATAAACCCAGAGACAGGATTATGCTGCAGGTAATCTGATACCATAAATTGATTTTCTGAGTCCCTTCGTGGCCTAGACTGTCAAGAGATACATTTACTCAACAAAGTACCTTTTAATTCAGTAATGAGCAGTTCTTCCAAGATATACAGTATCTCTTTTAGAACACTTTTTTTTTAGTCCCAAGGGTTGCTGTTCAATCCTGAAATGCAAAGTTTAAAAACATGATACAGAAAGAAAAATAAATAAATAAATAAATAAATAAATAAATGAGGAATTGATTTCTTGCTAAGATTTTTACAGTATTGTATTCTGGCAAGTCAGTAAAGAAACTTGATACTTAAAAAAATAAATGAAGTCAGTATAAGCACTGGCCAAATGCATCATTCCTGAGTATTAGTTTAGAATCTGAACTTCTCAAATTCAAGGTTGTCAGCCATTTAAAGGAAGAAGAAGAAGAGTTTGGATTTGATATCCCGCTTTATCACTACCCGAAGGAGTCTCAAAGTGGCTAACATTCTTCTTTCCCTTCCTCCCCAACAACAAACACTCTGTGGGGTGAGTGGGGCTGAGAGACTTCAAAGAAGTGTGACTGGCCCAAGGTCACCCAGCAGCTGCATGTGGAGGAGCGGAGACGCAAACCCGGTTCCCCAGATTACGAGTCCACCGCTCTTAACCACTGCACCACACTGGCTTATTATGAGTGTAGTAATCTGTGTATGGAGATTGTGCTATTATTATTATTATTATTATTATTATTATTATTATACCCTGCCCATCTGGCTGGGTTTCCCCAGCCACTCTGGGCAGCTTCCAGCACATATAAAAACATAATAAAAAGTCAAACATTAAAAACTTCCCGATACAGGGCTGCCTTCAGATGTCTTCTAAAAGTTGTGTAGTTCTTTATCTCCTTGACATCTGATGGGAGGGAGTTTCATAGGGAGGGCGCCACTGCCAAGAAGGCCCTCTGCCTGGTTCCCTGTAACTTCACTCCTTGTGGTGAGGGAACCACCAGAAGGCCCTTGGAGGTGGACCTCAGCAGATGTTTTGACAGCAGGCCTTCCTGTGAGGTAGCAAGTCCAAAGTTCATGGACTCAGATATTAACAGACATAGGCAAGCAAACATTCAAAATACGTAGCAAGGTTCTTTGCACATAATAACATGGTTTTACTGAGAGAGTCAACACCCTCAGCTGAGGAACTAAGATACAAATTACAGTTGAAAGCACAGGATTCCCTTGCAGGAGTTGCAGTTAAAATAGCTGACTTTTCCCACATCCTGTCATTAGTCATAATAGAACAGGGACCACCAACCATTTGGGGCCAGTGGGACCAGTCACAAAATGGCTGTCATGTGCCGTGATACAAAATGGCAGCCACTTCTAAAAGAGCACAAAAAGCTGCAAGCATGCAGCACATCACACCCCTTCCCGAATCAATAGGAAAAGGCACCACCACTGTGTTCACTCATGGAGAAAAGTTGCTTGCACCTCTCATCTGTTCAGAACAGAAGAAAAGGTGGGTGTCTGATCCGGGCATCCTATGAATGTGGGCACATTTGAGGGCACATGTTCAATGTGGCAGAGCATGATTGTTTGCAGGAAGAGGAAATAGTCTTTCCTGTACAGTGGATAGTTACTGAGGCCTTTCTCAGATACCATAGAAGGTACTGGCAGACACACTTGCCTCCATGGACACCATGTTGGTGATTCCTGATGGTATAGGATAGTTTTTCTCAAAACTTTCTAAGTTTGAGCATAGTGTTCAAGCAATAGCAGTCACTAAAAGCTTTGTGAATTTGTACTGCACCGCAATAAATTGTTTTGTTTTCTCCTCATTTCCCTCCATCAATAACACTTGTCTGAATTTCCCCCCTCATAGCATCAGGCTCTTCCTGCCTTCTCATAAGGAAGAGAAGCATAAGTATCAGGGGTTGCCAGGGAGGGGCAGGGGAAATCCCTTCTTTCTGGTGGTATGCATCCTGAAAAGATGTAAGAGAAATCTAGTTTCTGAAACAATATGTATATGTGAACCAAAACACAGCTATCCTTCAAAAGTCAAACTTCTTTGACTTTTACACTGCAGTTATCCTACCCCCAGACATGTGTAAAAATGCATATGTTAGGAGAAAGAGTGCATACAAATTTAAGTATGAGTGAAAGTAACACACACACAAATGTAAAATAGCACACACAAAAATCTTAGTTTGTAGGGATTTCCCCCCCTCTTGTGTGTTGGTTATTTCTGTGCTGTTAAGCATATGAGTTTTCCTCCTCTTGACTGGAAAACACACACACTATATTAGGGAAAATACTGATGAATTTTCATGAGGAGCTTTTAAAATGAATTTGCAAACTGATGTGGGAATGTGGGGAACTTAATTTAGGACTGGGAAAAATGAGAAACCCAAATTGACAGCTTTGTCTGGCTACTGATGAGGTTACCTGTAATTTGACAAAATACAGACCTGGAAAACAAGACAGGAAACCCTAGAAATAATCGGAAGCACATTTCTCCCCTTTTCTGCTGGCACATTTGCAGCAAGGAACCCCATATTGATTCTATTACCAGATACGGTACCAGAGAGACTGTGTGAGGGATTTGAGACTTATTAGAGGAAAACTTTAAAGGAAGCCAGTATGGGAGTTGTCAAAGCAGATTATTCAAAGGCATGGAAAGAAGCCAAGGAAAACACAATGAAGAGAAACCAGAGCAGGTTCCTTGAGATTTATTGCTTCAAAAAGTTCAGCACTCTTTTCTTATTGGTGTTTAAATGTTGTCGTTGGGCTTTATGGCACAGTAATCACACAGCAGTGAAAATTGCTGATATCACAATAAATAGCAGCCTTTGCAAACACGTAATAGCAGAATCCTCCCCCCCTCACCTCTTAATAAAATGTAACACTCTTTGGCAAGAATTTTATGGAGAGAAACACCCCTGTAAAAATCAATGTCTGTTTTATATTAACATTTTGAGCATTGGCACAAGCCAACTCCATTGGTCAGGGGCTGCTTTTAGTTACTCGCTGTGTGTTGAGCTACATTAGTAAAGAAAAAGCATTTTAAATGCATTATAATACTGTGGCACCAGATGGTGCCGTTGGTGTCCTTCGTTTGCCAACATGATTTCCCACTATGAGGTTTACAACACGCTTTTCTGAAATGTTCCCCCCCCCCCATGTATCTAGATCCAGCCTCTGCAGTGAGGGCATCAGTTCCACTGGTGATGGTGTGGAAATCTGCTTTTCAGCATGGGAAATCCATTCAAACAAATGCCTCGCTATAACCTGGCAACCACAATTTATTGGCCGTTTGTTTCTTTGAGCTTGCTATTTAGAGATGACCAGAGGAACAAGTGTTACTTTTTCTTCTTCAGGAACTTCTTTGCCTCCAATTATTATGGAGTATAGAAAGCAACAACAAGCAGTCTCAAAGAACAATTTTTTGCCATTTAATCACACAAGCTGTAGATGCAGGGGAAAACAAGGCCAGCTGGAGTAATCAAACTGATGTCTGCTATACATGCAGGAGGGTAGCTTTTGATAGTTCATTAGAAGGAACATATTGAAGGAAAGAGCAGCCTCCTGTCTTGCTGGAGGTCTTCAAACAAAGAATGTTAGAGATGGAGGAAAAAATTGATTTGGTTCACATTATTATTACTATTAGTATTTTGTTTGTTTGTTTGTTTGTTTGTTTGTTTTAATAATAATGCCCTTCATCATAAGATCTCAGGGCAGTTCACAACATAAAATACAGGATAAAAATAAGTAAATAGGTAAAACAAAACAGAAAAACAATACCCTCCCTTATTCCCACAGACACATTTAAAAGTGGGATATTAATCAGCCAAAGGCCTGGTTGAAGAGGAACTGGCACCTAAAATATATACAATGAAGGTGCCGGGTGAACATACACAAATCACACTTTCTGGGGAAAAAATAATATGGGAAGCAAAACATAGCCATCCTTCAAAATTTACACTTCTCCATATTTTGGAATGCCATTCTCTAGCCCAAGTTGGACGTACAAAATGCATACAAAAGTGCAAAGTGTATATATTTGTGGAAAAATAACATAGAACTATATTGTAGTAGGGGAAAGTGCATACAAAAATGTGTGTATCAGGAGAAATTCACACTACAACGCAAATGAATTTTCACGAGGACTTTTGCAAACTGGCATGGACATTGGCAGATTGGCCACCCTTAGAGGCCTATTAGAGATCTATTGCGGGCTCTCTTGCTCTGGATTTGCTGCTTGGACCAGCATATTGGACTAGGTGGTTGGCAATAATCCTTCAAAGCAATGATTCTAGAGTTCTACAGTTCTTAACTCAGCAAGTCACAGGATCATTGGACGGGTGAAAAGGGCATCACCTGTCTTAGACAGACAAGATGGTGCCCCCCCCCCATTTCACATACAGAAGCTGGCCAGACCTGGCAGCTGAATGTCACTTGAACACTGACAATGGGAAGTAGGCTAGTGGGCGCTGTGGCGATCACACAGGGCCCCCCGACGTTTCACGGTCTATTGACCCTGTGCCACCACTGCGGTTGCTTTCTTCGCTGCCACCACCCCGCTTCTCACAGGGACACACGGAGTCCAGACAGTTGTTAACGTAAACAAATAATCAAGTTTATTTTTAAGTGCAGGAATAAGCATACGGTTTCGGTTTATTTTTCTCTTGTCAGTTTCTTAAATCTTAGTTCCTACAACTTCAAACTGAATTATTCCCAACTATCTATCTAACTCCCTACCAATTCCTCTCACTCTCTCACAATACAACTCAACCAACCCACTGCGTATTCCACCCTCTTCCTTCTCCAACACCCAAGCCTCAACTCCCAACTGACAAACCTCAACTCCCAACTCTCAAACCTCAACCGTCAACTCCCAGACCTCAACTGTCTTTTCAAAATCTCCCACTCTATCTTTTACTCCCCCCTCGCATTCTCACTGGCCAATCACCTCACACCCATTTTAACCCTTTCCTTGACGCATCCTAGGGGCAAACGCCACAGGCGTAGAGCAGGTATCAAAGCCAACAAGTTGGTCCAGTGCAGTAGGAAGGATGCCATTGTATTGGGGGGGGGTGCTTTAATTGCTCTCATTTCTTTTGCAATTCATTGAACAGTCAGGGTTGAACCCAACATTCACAAATATAACAGAGAGAGGTGGGCCTGCACAAGGTGCTGGTGTGCTAAATGGGCATGTTTAGGTACATTCATAGATGAAATACATCAAGAATCTGCACGTTTTTCTCACGGGCAGGTTATTACCTTCACAAATGTGGGGAGGCAAATTAACGTTCATTAATGCCTGGCATTCAGATGTTTTTGATGCTTAGGATTAACAGCACCAGTTTGTCCTTGTAACCCTAATAATGTATTGAAAGAAATCATCTTGAAATTCTTGTGGCTTCCCACAGAAATAAATTCCATTGCATTTAAATCCCTGCTTAACCATAAAGCTTACTTGGGTGGCCTGAAACTCTCCGTTTACCCCAGCTCAGATGGTTGCTTGTGTGGATAAATGCTGTAAGTGCTATAAAAGTGCTTTCACTACCACAAAATGCTATATAAAAAAAGATTAACAATATACTTTTCAAAAAAAATAAAAATCAATTATTTTCTCATCTTGAGGAAAAACTGTTTTTCAAGGTCAGCAGCTCCTTCTCATTTCATGTGCAGTATTATTTTTAAATTTACTACCTCTTCCATATCTTCTTTGGAGAAGTTGTTGTGAAAAGCCTTTTAAAAGCTGCTAACAATGAATTTTTGTATTAGCATTCGCTAAGGGTATAATTTACATCCTGCTGAATGGAATGGCTTCATTGTTTTAAAGTTTCTGGGTTTCAGCTAATCGTACCTCAGCGTCAGAGCACACATCTGTGCAAATAATAATACAATTGATTTCAAATAGGATTAATGTAAATTGCACTGTGTCTGTTCAAAACTAAGCCTTACTGAGTTAAATGGGACCTACTCCCAGGTGTAAGCATAGGATCGCAGCCTTCATCTGCCTGGCCAAAGAAGGCAGATCCATGGTATGACAGCAGGTCTCCCATGTGTTGATTTGGGGGAAGCAAACCTGCATCAGCATGTATAGCGATCCCCGGCTCACATCTCACCTCTGCAATGAACATAGCATGTGGTCTATGGTAAGCCACACTCGCAGCCTCCCATTTGCAAATCCAAAGAATATTGACTTATGGGACTGTTACAGAAGATTATAACTCAAGAATACATTGGAAGTGCTTTGAACACTTGGAAGAGCTATATAAAACTTTATTCTTAATCATGACCATCATCACCCTCGCCCTGCATATAGCAATGTTGCTCTAGGCCTTAAGAAATGGGGATACACATTTCTTCTCAGGGTCACGTTGTGGATGAGAGATCAGTCGAGCAGCACTCTTGGCCATTTGTGAAATTTCTTGATCCACAACCAAGATGAAGTAAACTTTAACCTGGTAGGAGACCTGATTCTTCTGCCATAGCATATACAAATGCTTAGGATGAGTCCTTAAAAAAAAGGGTACCATTTTGGGCTTTTTCGACAGACATATCTGAAAAGCATGTTTAGGATCAGGGTGTTTAGTCACTGCATAAATCCTAGCATGCTGGATTTTGCCTTTGCAGCACAGACATTTTAAAACAGCTCAAACCAGATGGATATAGGTTAAATATAAGGACACGTTAAAAGATCCTGACACAGGTATTGCAGATACTTGTCATGAACATATAAAGTTGCCTTCTACAGAGTCAGTTTTATTAAGTAGCTGCTAGCTGGCACTCTGTTCATACTGGAGCTGTGCACGTTTTTTACAGTCAAGGGATTCAGCCCAGAAGCTGGAAACAGCCACAGTTCATTGGGTTAAGAGGGAATGAAATGAGTGAGATAAAAACTCAATGGTCTGAACATCAAAATGTGTTGCTATATTTAGGTTGCACTCTTGAATCACTTGGTATGTGATGTGATCTATCAGTTTTGTGGGGCCCCATCTGAGCAAGCGGTTTGAGAAGTCCCAGTAGCACCAAGGCCAGCAGAACAAATCTTGCATTTTCCTGTTTGTTTTTTAAAGGCCTTTCCGAGAATCAAACTATAGAAAGCAGCATTAAACATGCCTTTGCAGTTAACATGCATGTTTTGTTTTGTTTTATGCAAATTGAAGCTGGGGTGGGGGTGTTTGATAATTATCAACATCACAAAAAGCAAGGGGGATAATTTAACCCTTTCTTCCTATTGCTTTTCTAACCAAAAACCCTCCTTTGAAGCTGCTGTTTGCATTTGGGAAGAAATCCCCCTTTAGGGTCAGGAGATGCTATTCCAGGAAACATTTAAAACTGATAGACAAAAAATAAATGTGGGTCAGGCTTAGATGTCATATGAACTCATAGGATGTGTTTCTCTGTGTGGGCATGGCTGTGCCCATTTTGGCCACACTCATCTCTTTTTGACCCTGATCACCATTGGCATATGACACCCAGGAAGGAATTCAACGTAGCACTATGGCAATTGTTCCATGAGCACAACCATTTCAGCTTGCCAGACAGAACGATCCCCTCTCTTCTCCCCAAGCTCTTTCGGGAATTCTCCCAAACCGTCCACAGCCAATTTGGGAAGCGCAAAAGGTGGCAGCGGGGGGAGGAAAGCCCATTTTGTTAGCAGAAGTCCTTGAACAGGCTTCTGCTCGTGGAACTCTTAACTGAATCTGCCCCCCCCCCAAGGGTCGGCCAAGGGAGAATGAAGCCCTTGGATTGAGAAAGGTTCCCCAACCCACTTTAGAGATTAACATGCAATTCAGTGGCAACAAAACCGTTTATGACCAATCCCTTGCAAGATTTCTTGGGGCATGTTTGCAGTTAACGCAGTCATAAACAGAGAATATGCCATATCTTTTCCAGATGCCTGAGAAAAAAGTAACGAAGACAGCGATTGATCCTAACAGAAATAAACAGCGTTGCAGCCAACTCTGGAGAGTGTTCATATTCAAACTGGGCTCCTGTTTAAAAATATCATCCCCCTGAGCTTTTCTCCAGGGCAAGGCAGCTGGATAGACAGGCAGGCTAGCACAGTTTGAATGTTGTGTGTTTTGTCTGCCTGTCTCACTCTGCAGATTTGTGTGTTGAAGCACTGTGATTTATTTTTTTAAGAGTTCAATTACCCAGCTGTGACAAAGTTCATTGCTATCAAAGATCAGTTCAGTTTCAGATGATTATTGTTTTTATAGACAGACAATAGGAACCTGAAAATCAAGATTGCGGTCTGGAACTTTGACATCACTGCAACTTAGACAGTAAAATGGATGGAATCTTGCAACAAGCCCAGGCTGTCTAACCCAGATATATGTACCTGAACGAGCAAAAGGAGAGATTGCTGTTGGCTGGGAAATACCTTTCTCAAATTTCATGTCATCTATAAATCCATTGGGTAAACATAGTTTATTCTTCCTTAGAGATTATTTCAATGTAACATTTAATGTACTCAATAACCTGTGATTGTATCAGTGGGAAAGTCTTATTGGAATAAGAGTCCATACAGGTTTACTTTTCTACAGAAGCCAGGGGAGGTTTCATTGCCCTTGGGAGAGGACACACATATTCTTGATGTAGATCTTTTCTCCTTCTCCTGTTTGTGGGAGAATTTTGTGGTTCGCCTCAGGTGTCAAAATGTCTTGGGCCAGCCCTGGAAAAAGTTGTGTGGGTAAATCTGATCAAACAAAGGCTTCAACGGTTTATAATGAAAAGCACTCAGCACAATCCAACTGCCAAGCTTAGACTGGTTGTTTCTGTTTCTCCAAGTAAATCAAATTTATTAGACACTTCTCACATTTTTTTCTCCCTGGAGTCCTGCCGCTACTTGAGTCTACCATAAACACAGCTCCAGTCAATTGCTGGCTGAAGCCCCAGATGTTCAAGGGCTCATGTGCTATGAGGGTGAAAATGGTCATCTGTCATGGATGATTTAGCAGAGATTCCTGCATTGCAGGGGGTTGGACTAGATTACCCTTGGGTCCCTTCCAACTCTAAGATTCTATGAAACTCATCTCCTAAGGCCCATATGAAAATCAAGCACACCGTTACATATTTTTTCCTGCGCAGATGGAAAAACAGCTGGGGTATGTGGTTTTTGAGTAAGAAAATGGCCAGGGGAGTTGGTTTAAGCAACCCCACCCACTTCTATTATTCGTCTGCTCAAACTAAAAGGTTACTGAGACTGATATTGGTTAAAACAAACATTCATCCCATGTCTTGTTTGGGCCTGCGTCTGGGTTCTATGAGGTTCTGGCAGCTATTAAGATGATCTTTACTCACGAATGTGCACAGTGCCAAAGAAGCTAATCAGTTTCAAGAAACAATCCCTCGTCTGGTGGAAAGTGTGACAAGTGCCCTCTCTTCAGCCAAGTCTTCCAGGCAGCTGCCTGGAGTTGCTCTATTATTTTCCACCAGGCAACAGAGTGCTTTCTGAGCCAAGAGCTCTACTATTATGAAGCTCACATTCTCAACAATTGGAACTTGCATAATTCCTTTTTAAAAAATCAGTGAATTCCAGTTTGGTATTGCAGGTACACACAAATAATTAATTTGCTTTGCTAATGAAAAGTTTGTGAGGAATAGTTTAACAGGACTGTGCTCATAGACTAAACAAATGGCAAGATGGAGTGGACATAATACACCTAAAGAATTTGTGGTGCAGAGCCATAATCTACACCCATGAGGTGACCCATGAGCTTACAGCTTCAAGGTGCTGAAGAAATTTGCCATATGTAGTTACATTTATTAAATCTTCTCAAGAACTGGCGATCTTATGAAAAACAGAAGATTTTATTCCAAAACTCAAGTGTCGTTTTTCTTTTTTGGTATAGTATTTTTAAGCTACAATCCTAGGCACACTTACTTTTGAGTAAGCCCCATTTGACTCAGAGTGACTGCCATTGACTAAATGTGCTTAGGATGGTGCCGCTGGTGTTCCTTAGAATCAGAATTACCCCTGTGCACACAGATTTCATTCTTCTCCCCAAATTCTGCAGTTAAATTAGACACAATAGCATTTCCATCTATGCTTCATGTGAGATGTAGCATGCATAAAAACAGCACTCTGTATATCAGGCTTCCTCAACCTCGGCCCTCCAGATGTTTTTGGCCCCATGATCCCTAGCTAGCAGGACCAGTGGTCAGAGACGATGGGAATTGTAGTCTCAAAACATCTGGAGGACCGAGGTTGAGGAAGCCTCCTGTATATTATAGGGATATGGAAGGATTGGGGGTTTTCCCCAGTAGCCTGTCCAAAATCCTAGTGCTTCTTTCCCTAGAAGGCAGTATCTGTACGTTTATTAATATTGCTATGCTATGCCAGCAACATATTCCTTCACAGTCGAAGACATCCTCTCTCACCCTCATTTGTGTCACAGATTAATGCCATCAAGATGATAGTGCAATACACAGCCAGTGCCTACCCTTGACAATTAAACATGGTGGGACACGGTTCTCAATCCTTCTTCTCTACCAGACAACCCACACTGTCATAATGCATGCTTTCTTTCATTTTTCTTTAAAACCCTGTGCACAAGCGTTTGCTGAACCTGTCTCCAGTCTGCTGGAGGTCTGAGGCGATTTGAGAACAATATAATGATGCAAACTTCCCTTTGATGTTGTTTGGACAGAGGTTCACTGGTGGCAATTCTGTGATGTTCAGGTGGTTTCTGATGAACTGCTGTCCCAGACAATTCTAAGATGCAGGAGGCTGAAACTCATTTTAATGGTTTAACTCCAAATTAGAGAGGCATTTCTGCAGCCATGTCTTCTCCTCTGCCCAAACCTAGGGTTGCCATATGTCCAGAATTTCCCAGACATATCCTGAATACTGCAGTCGGCAACAGTATCAAATGTCCAGGAAAATCTGGGTGCATGGCAGCCCAAGCCGGCAGTGCCGTTTTTGCCTATCTTCCATTTTGTAAAAAAGCTCAAAAATGGATTTTATTTTTCCTATTTTTCCCAAAAAGCTCAACAACTTTGTCCGGATTTTCAACCCTACCAAACCTCTTGTTCACCTACTGTAATAAACAGGACTTAACCTCTATAATTCTAAGCAGGAGGAATTGAGGTGGGTTTAAAAAGACTGAAAAGAAACAGGTGGAAGAAGCCACAACTGCAGAGTGTCCCACCTTTCCAGGGATTTTAAGGTAGACCACCACTCTGGGTTATGACCTGACAAGCCAAGTGCAAGGTACCATATTTCTTGACTCTGGTCGCAGTTCTTGTGGAAGAGCCAATTCCTTTGGTTCAATCAGTGCTGCAGTTTCACTGAAATAGTGAAGTAATGGCCCAGGCTGAACTTGGGATGAGGTATGAGGGGTAGCCAATTTTGTGCTTAATTTAACTACAACTCCCATCATCCTTGTCCACTGGCCATGCTAGCTGAGGCTGATGGGGGTTGTAGTCCAACAGAGGGCACAGGGTAGCTTACCCCTGCCTTGTTATCCCAACCTTTGTAGCCTTGATTCTGTTTTATTGTAATCAATGGGTGAAACAGTTTTATTGTAACCACTAACACTGTTAGTCTATTTTGACTTAAATAGCAATGAGTGGCAGGCAGCGAGAAAACTATCCTTCGTTCCAATATCTATTCCCTTTCTTGCTAACAAAGATCTTAGTCTACACAATCTCTATTGAATAAAACATTAATTAGGTGACCACTCCACCCCAGCTCTTTATTTTCAAACTTGAATTAATCTTACAAAGCTGTTCTCCGCCCCCCCATCTCCAAAGCACATCTGAAATTTAAATGTTGTTCCACCCTTGGGTCAGACATTAGTTTGGACGGGTGCTGCTGCTTTTTGGATAAACAATATAATGCAAGATAACAGCAGGGAAGAAGCAGCATGGGTTCAGGAATGAAGCAAAAACAGAGTCCAATAAAAAATGATTTTGCATTTCAAAGAGTATTAATAATAAACACGCTACCTCTTCAAATCACAGTTTTGAAAAGCACAGTCAGAAGTCATTAAGTGGAAATTAATTCTATTGAATGGAGAAGAAAAAAACAGAAAGTCCTTCTTCCCTGAATAGTAATCATTGGTGAATTTGATGAGGGTAGCTACCGGATTTCTGAAGTTCATTTTGACTAGCTCGAAGCAAATGGTATAACTCAGAAAGAGAATGTGAAGAATGGCTCTGATGATGGCCAGTGTCCTTGGTGCTGGCTTCTGCACAATCCTGCACTGCCTTCTGTAACTGCAGCTGAAGGGGAAAGGAGACAGCAGATCCCATGAAGTTGGGAGAAAACCAGGGCCGGAATATTTTTTCACAGATGACCTGTGGAAAGGGAGAGAGAGAAGCAGTAATTCACACACAAGATCTTTTAGTCCCATCCAACTTTAAGGTTAATATCTTCATGCAAAATATATTTTGCTGATGTGACTGGATTATTGTTAAGTCATATAATTTATCTAAGTTCAGTAATAAGTTCTAATTTTTTTTGGCTCTTTGGAAGCAGGAAACCTGCACTCTCTGGTTGATTAAACCAACTGCAAACTATAGTGCACTCTGTCATCTTACTTGCAAAAGGAGTGTATATGCTCTCTCCTGGCATTTAAGGAATGCATGAAGACACAAGGTGTGTTGTGGACACACACACACACACACACACACACCCCATCCCTGCCTCCCATGTTCCCATCCCCATCACCCGCTGATCTTTCCACCTTGAGTGGGAAGGTCTCATGAGGAATATTCATTTCCTATTATTTCCTATGACCTATGATTGAGTGCCAACAAGAATAAAAGAAGACAGACAAAGGCTGTCCATCTCTAGTGACAACAAAGGCTTCTAATTCATTCAGAATGATAGGTAGAAGAGCCCATTTGCTTCCACTCCAAAAAAGCATCCATAGCTGGATTCACCAGTTTACACACAAGTCCATACATCACTTGATCTCACAGCTGACAGCTGGGCTACATGGTACACCTACAATGGGAATGCCACCCAAAGCAGCACTGGCATGATTGTTTGAAATCCTCTTCACTCCCGATCGTTCCCCTATTATTTTGCAAAGGAACACCAGGAAGCCCTCTATCATCTGCACAAACAATGTGGACATCTGGAGCCTCTGAATGTACAGTTGCTATGTGCAAAGGCTTCCATGCAATCCAGAACCGCAGTTATGCAGGGTTCTAGGTAGCAATTATGCCTTCACACATGTAGGGTGTGAAGGGTCCATCCCTACCATGTAGTGTTGTTCATGTGGGTGCCACTGCTCAGTGTGGGCCCCCCTCTGCGTAGAGCAACGCAGGAGCTATGATGTAGGGCTGGGCGATGTATTGATGCATCGCCCAAAACTGGTTTGAAGTCCACCTCGTGATCATGGTTTCATAATATTTTACATGGCCACATATTGTGAATCACAATGTGGGTGCTTTGTAAAATATTGTGATGTGGGGGAAATCGTGAAACAGGTCATTGCTTCTCTCATGATTTCTGCTGCCCCTGTTGCTTTGTACTACAAAATAACAGTTCTAACAATATGTTAAAGGTAAGTAAAAATGTATCAGTTTTAGACCCCTAAGTAGTAGCATTATTCTGTTCACCTCTACATAGTTACAGTGGTACCTTGGAACTTGAACGGGTTGACTCCCGAACAAATCAGTTCCTGAACGCCGCAAACCTGGAAGTGTTTCAGTTTGCAAACGTTTTTTGGAAGCCGAATGTCCGACGCAGCTTCCGCTTGGGTGCAGGAAGCTCCCACAGCCAATCGGAAGCCACGCCTTGGTTTTCGAATGGTTTCAGGGGTTAAACAGACTCCTGGAATGGATTAAGGTTGAGAACCAAGGTACTATTGTATGACCTTATTTCCGACATAGTGATATATTGTTATATCGTGATGCTTAGCAGACGATATATCACAATGCTGAAAACCAGATATTGCCCAGCTTTACTATGACGAGTGAAAGGGACTTAGAAGGACTTGACAAGTAATGAAATGCCATTACAATGTGAGATTTCCTACCCTCCGTGTAACACCTTTGGCTACTGTTGGAAGTTAGCTATCCTGACAAAGCAGTGACGCTGCATCAATGTGGTATCACTTGATGTTACGGCAGTAAGCAAAATTTGCCATGGGGGTGCCATTTTTGGCAGCAACCCTGTACTAGCCATGGAACGCTGCCACTTTAGATGTCACTCATCTTCCCTGGAACACACTCTGCTTGAGGTGATGATGCGGCAAGATGAGAAACTCTGCCTGCGTTGATTACATCTGTGAAAGCTTGTTCATCCATGGAAGCTACTGCTTGGAGCTGCAGTCATCGAGTGGTGTGCATGCATGTGTGAATAAGTCCTTAAGTGACAGTCGCTCGCAGCATCATTTATTTTAAACTTGCACTTTCATGGGTATTTTAAAGTCAAGACATGCATCCAGTAAGGGAGACAAATAAGCCCGTAGCCACTCACTTGGAGATTGTTATTGGCTCTCTCTGCTCCACATTTTCTGCTCCTCAGGTCACACTTTGAAAAGCAATCAAAAAAATTACAGTCTTCATCGCCTGTGCAGTTCTGCTCAAGGATGTCTCTCATTTTCGGTTCAAAGAAAGCCATGTCTACGTCAATAGCCACCACCTGCAAACCAGAAAAATGCATTCAAGGGTGACAACAGTCCGTGCAAATTGCCACTTTTCTGCTCTCGTTGTTCCTGAGCCCTAAAGACTGCTGATTCAAGCATTCTGAGATGAATGCAAGAGAAAATTAGACATTACAAGTGGAAGAGCTTTCGCTGATTAGCTCTGCAACACCAAGGCTTGAAACAGAATTGCATGAGTAACAGACAACTTTGGCGTGAAAGGAGGGGAAGTTCTTCTCGGAGATCCCTGAGAAAATGGCAGCCTTGGAATAAGGTAGGTCAATTCTCCTTCACATGGGGAATGGTTTCTGTGATGACATAAATTCTGTTCCATTTGCTCTAGCAAGCTGACCCTTCCCATAGCCCAGCGGTAGTGCACATCCTTTGCATACAGAAGGTCTCAGGTTCAGTCTCTGATATTCCTATTGAAAAGGATCAGAAAGACCTCTCCCTAAGGCCTGGAGTCCTGCTGTCAGTCAGAGGAGACAAAATAAGAGGCTTAGCTCAATGGGCAAATAGCCTGACCTTGTATAAAAGAACTTCCTATGTTCAGGTGACCAAATGGCCCACCCATTGTGTGCAGTTAGATAATTTTAGATGCTGGACTTAGTGGACGTACAGCTACCCCCCTTGAGACAATAATACGGTATTTGCTTCCAATTGTGATGATTTCTCTCTTTCTCTTCCCCTCTGGCTCCTACTGTTCCATGCTTTACATCTGCTACATTCCTAACACATTAGAGCAAAAACATTAAAATAAAGCTTGGCAATCCTGAAAAAATAAAAATAAAGTCAACATCTGACCAAGTGCAGAGTTTCATGTTATAAATTCATTCATTTACTGTGGCTGCAGCTATTGTTTGTTTGCCTGGGGTGTTTGTCTGTGAATCTATTTCCACTGTCCCCATGACAACTATGGGTGGGTTTTTAACTTTCTTTTTCTGGTGCATCTATAGCACAGACCTCATCCTTTTGGTCTTCTGGAGTCACCATGTCACCAGGTAAACTTAGTGTTTTGGTCATTTTCAACTTATCAAGATACAATATTTTCATTCCTTCTATGAAAAAATGAAATCGCTTCACGAACTGCTCCATTACATCTGTTTTTCAAGTATTTAACCTATTTCTGAGATGCTACATTCTCCATTGTCAGTAGCATCAACTGCTGAGGATTCCCCACGTCCGGATACTCTCCATCGCTGTGGGGCAACAACAAGAAAACCATTTAAAATCCAAATAAGTAAGCTATTTCCACCCTCTAGATCAGCAAAGGTTTGTGCAGAGATTTTATGTATAGTCCACCTTTCCTCCAAGGAGCTCAAAGCAGAATACCCTCTGACCCCATTTTTTATTACCAACCTTGTGAGGGAGATTAGGAATGAGAAACTGTGAGTGGCCCAGAAATATGCAGTGAGAGCTTCCTGGCTGAGTGGGAACCTGAATTTAACATCCCTTAGAAAGCACATACCCACATCAATGCTGCTCTTCTGAACTGGGATAATTGTAAAGCAGGGATATAGGAGAACTCTGGTCCTCCAGATGCGCTTGGACTTGGAACTCCCATCAGCCCCAGCCAGCTTGGCCAATGGTCAGGGATGATGGGAGCTGTAGACTAACAACGTCTAGAGGGCCGAGGGTTCCTCACCTGTTTTAATGCTTTAGAAATGTAGACAACTGCAACTTGCTGAGGTGGGGCTACTGCTGAACTGTGAGCCTCATCAACCCAAGTCTTTTGACAATGTGTGTGTGAGTGTGTGCTTGCAAACAATAGAAGGAATAAGGGCTCTGCTTTGGAGAGACTATGCCAGGTATCAAGGGCAGGGATAGCCATCCTTCACAAAATTGATATTAACATTTTGTTCTGCACACAACTTTCTTAGTTTTAAAGGGGGAGAAAAAGATTAAAATTTGTCCAGAATACACCACAAACTGCAAATAGATTGAGAAGCTGGGAAGCCTTCAGTTCAGCTGGTTGGAGGGGTAGTGGTGATGTTTGTTATGACTTTGTTCTGAGGGTTTCAGGGGCATACCTGGCACTCAGCCAGCACAGCAAGGTTTGCCGCAAAATCCTGTTGCCCCTCAGCCAGCAGATTTTCAGTATAGGATTACACCCTTAAAGCAAAAGGAGTTGATAATAGTGCTTCTAATGATATTTGCCTGCCAACTTCATGTTCATTCTGTGGATAATGTGAACTGTGAATTCTAGTCTCCAAGCTGTCAGTACAACACTTTCTACAGTGGACACTCTTTGCACTTGAAAAACAACATTTAAAGTAATGGGGAGTGAGAGAAGAAAAGGCAGCTTTCAAACCCACAGTTGTCTGAGTGACGGGGTGAAAGTACTGAACTTGAAATGGCCCTCTCATTTTCTGAGCAGACCTCAGCTCGAAGCGTTTTTGGAAGACTTATTGGAAAGCTTTAGAAGACTGACACACCCCGGGGCCTTTCGCAAGTTCATGCAGGCAATATCAGAAACATATCTAGTTTGTAGCATTCTGCAGCTTGCTCTAACTTCATCGAGCTCCTAATTTTTTAAGTGGGTCCACTGATAAAAAAAAATCCAGCTACTGGGTTTTGTTTGGCGGATTGTTATTAGGCACATAACTGGGCCAGAACTTCTTAATGTGCGTGGCCTGCCTTTTATTTTCTGTATGTGAGGTAGCCTGGCTGAAATTCAGCTTTATACAGGCTGCCGAAGAAAAGAAATAGAATATACCAGCCATTCCATTAGTTTACACACAGCAGACTCATGCTGGCAGACTAGCCAAGCATGGGGCCGCCTCGGGGCCAATTTGTGTGCCAAAAAGCAGTCAACAAAAGACACACACAACAAAGATGCAACAAGGAAGTCATCAGTAGTTTGGTATTAGTCCCAAGAGGCATATCCAGAAATCAAGAGTGATCTCTACATGTTTGCCCTCCAACTGCAAATCCTGATGTATATTAGATTAATGCAAATGGCGAGGCACTTGCTGGAATAAGTTATACGTTTTTCATGAGACTGGTTGCTTTCCCACACTATTCTTCAGGACTTTTTTGGCAGCGCTATCAAGCCTAACTTGACCACCACTCATTTCCCTATGAATAAGCTTGAGATGCGATGGCACCAAGGCTGACATTTGCCCTATGACTCAGGGACAGACTCAGACACGGACCTACAAAGCAATGAATCACAGTCTGGGTCCAATCAATAGAACTAAACCAGCAATGCAACTAGCACAGCATGGAGCAGGAGGCAGTCATTGGCTACCACCACTATCTGGCAGCCAGCGAATTAACAGTTCTGACTTGAAGAGGTACATGACAGGGTGGGCAGGCAGGGGGCAGGACTGTCAGCACCATGTAGGCATGGCGTTGGTGAATAGCTAGCAGTTCCCTATGGGTGAAGGATGCTGTTGTAATCTGATCAAGTAGAAGACATCCTCAAACGAATGAAGTGGTGCTATATAGTGACAGTGCTGAATCTGATTTAACATATGGTAAGCAGAGCTTTTTAAAAAACAAAATCTCTTTCACTTAATAATTCACACTTTTTTGCTGCTTCCCACCCATTCCCTAGCTTCTAATTACGCACCTGAACAAACACAAAAATAAATTGGAGAGTAAAAACATACCTATGCCTTTAAATCACTACACGCTTAACCTTTGCACAGCACATTCTAGTGCAAAGTTCTGTGTGCATACTTAATAAATACTGGCTCTGCTGGCAGCTGTGTTAATGAACATATTCTACTTTCACTCTACAGGAGGAAATTAATTTGCTCCAAGTTAAACTGAGAGTATGATTTGAAGAGCCTTCTACAGAAGGCTCCATCTTCACAGAAAATATCAGCTGAGGCCCACTATTGAATTGGATTTCTATTCACCAAAGGCTCACAATGGATCAAATCAATAACAAAATTTCTCAAAGCATCCTCTGTCCCCGACCTCTATGTTGTATGTCATCTATAAGCCAGCAGACTTCTAGAAGATGCTCAAGGCAAGTACTTGACTCTCCAAGATATGGAAATTCTAGCCATTTTGTAGCTAAAACAGCACCAGCTAGATGGAGATATCTGCTTGGGAACCTGGAAATTAGCAGAAGTACACATACACACACAAATCTTCAGGGGGGAAAACACTAAAGAACAGGGAGGGAAACAAATCAAGTGTGCTCAGTGACCATAGGACACTAAGTCTCTGTTGGGAAAAATAGAGTGGGGGAAGAGAATATCCCGAGAAAGGCTAGAACAGGAGTACTTCACACTGCAACGTTTTGTTGCAAGTCCCACTTGTTCTATATGTTATTTGATTTTTGGTACATAGCTCATATGGTCAAAAAACATCTTGTTGTGTTGTTCAGAACATATTGTTGCAAAAGAGGCAGTTTTTCAAGTGCAGGACCCACTTGCAGAAGGCAAGTGATTTCCGACAACAAGATAGGTGATAGATTCATCAAGTCAGTCATTGGCTCACATCCACACCATTCATTTAAAGTACATGGTTTCCCTTCAAGAATCCTGGGAACTGTAGTTTATTCCTCCCAGAGCTGCAATTCCCAGCACCCTTAAACTACAATTCCTATAATTTTTTTTTTGGGGGGGGGACCCATATGCTTTAAATGAATGGTATGAATGTTTCCGAGCAGACAAATTTCCAAGGCCAGTCAACATTTGGGAACACTTGTGCGACACAGGGCTATGCATATGGGATATCAATGGAGAAGAAGACCTCCTTTGGTTATGAGTTGCATGCTACATGTGCCCAAACCACAGTTATGACATTGAGGTCCTCACTTACCGTCAGATCACTTCGGATGGCGAAGTTTTCCGGCTTGATGTCACAGAGATGAAGCCGGTGAGAAAAGTCATTGTCAAAATGTTTTACCATATCCAGGAAGCTGATGGCAATTTCGGTGATGGCCTTAGCCTTGCTTTGAATTCCAGAAAAGGAAACGCCAACCGCATCTTCCACAGAAAAGAGAGTTTTCTGCCAGGTATGCCCAGCGGTCAGGTACTCCACAGCATAGAAGTGGCCACAGGAACCAATGACCCTTAGGACATGTTTACTGAAGTCTTGCAGCACACTGAAGTAAATATATTCTTCTTGTTGGAGTAGGGACCACATGCTAGCCAGCTGCGCTTTCCAGTGTGGGCCCCTCCCCTTCGTCCACAAAGGCACCACAGTGTTATTAGGAAGTTCTAGACCCAGAACATTCTTGATCTCCAAAGCGACCATCAGGAGGAGCTCTGCCTCTGGAATACCCTGTGGTTCCATTTCCTCCAGAAAGCCAAGGTGGTGGTAGCTAGAGAAGATTTCATTTTTGGATTTCAGGATCACTGGGCGACCTCTCCAGTCAGCTTGGATGACCTTCTTACCTCTGTCGTAATAAAGGCAGCGCTTGTATATCAACTTCTGTGCCACACACAAGTCTTCGCAAAGGTCTCCTGTCAAGGCTCCTTTTCTATAGTCAAGGCACTGGAGAAATGTGGAAAGAAAGAATCAATTGACAGCAGAAAGCCACCATTTCCAGTCACATCAAGAGTAGGGGAAGAGGACAAATCCCTGCAGGAGCTTTACATACTCAAGTTCTCCATGACACAGACAAAAGTAACACACAGCAAAGGTGTCAGGAAAGTTTGAGGGAGATGTTTGCCCATCTTTGCTGTTCCATCTTTCCTGCAGACCTGACAGGTCATAAACTCCCAGGAAACTCTTGCTAGCTGTTGTTTCGAGGGTAGCAAGCTCATAAACAGACAGCCCACAAAGGTCAGTAAATTGTATCTCATGTTGTTTAAGTTCTGTACTTTTGCTCTAAGGGTTCCCTCTAGATGGCCTATTTATTGAGCTTTCATCCCGATTTGCTTACACAAAGTCTGTGTATTGGTTAATTTATATCCAAATTTCATTGAGCATTCATTCCGATTATTCTATGGGCTGACATCTGCCCATTAGCCATTCATTCAACCCATTTTTTTCCAATGCATTTCCCTGTCACTTTCCTACATGCAGAAAGTCCATTTCTAAAGTTCTAGTATGCACTTGAATCCCTCCCACAAAATACTGTCAGGAGACACCCTAAGTTCAGGTTCCTTTGGATGCTATGCCAAGGGTGAGTTTGGTCTGTACTTTTGGAAACATTTTTTTTCTTCCCTCTGCCACATGTGTAAAGACACATAAAAATGTGCCTCGTTGGTTTGGGCCTGTCGCCTTTGCTGTACACCCACATGGTGGTTGAGGGTTCAGATAATCATAGAGAGCAATATGAAGCCTGTTGCTTCAAAACACAGACACATCCACTTTTTTTTGCCACACATAAAACTGGCTGCCGGAAAGCCTAAAATTTTACACAATGATTAAAAGCAGTGATAAAGATAAACAGCTGTAAGGCATTATGATACGAGTTTTCTTACGGCGGTGGAGAAACTTGCTATGAAAACATTTTGTGGGACCAACTGAAATGCATGGGGAGTTGTGACCACACAAAATTCAGGGCTACAATCTGCCTCTGTTCATCCTAAAATTGTTATCTGCCAAGCTGAAAATATGCAGGGTCTTGTAAAATGAAACAAAAACCACATGCTTGTTGTACAACAAAGCTGGGCAGTCTCTTAATCAAGACCTGCTGGTAAGTCACTTGGTGTCCACTGACAAAAGGTATGATGGGACATATTTGTGTGGTTTGCAAATTCTGCAGTTCATAACCAAAGAGACAAAAAAGAAATCAGGACACTATAGTTATGTGGTCATCTCAAATGCACCAAAATAAATAAATAAACAGGATTTCCCCTGCCAGTCCCTTCCTCCAGCCATAATTGTTTCCATCCCTCTGTTTCTAGGAGTGTAAGCAATCTGCATAACTGTGTCCATTCAGACCTTCCAGAAGTGCAGCTGCAAAGTCTATTCCAGGCAACTCTCTGGAGGACAAGATGACCGACGTGGGCTAGGGTGGAAGATGAAGAAAATCAGACAGCCAGTTAGTGGCTTGATACCAACTTCTGTGTTAATTTCCCCTCCACACACCCCATTCTTCAGGCCAGGAATTTCCCATAATAGATTTTCACATGAGAGAAATGTTGGACCCCAGAAAATGCAAGCCCCGCGAGGCTCTCTCATATTTCTCCAGCCAGTTCATCCCATTCCCAGGTCTCTACCAGCTTACATTCTATTGGCTATGGACTCTGCATGCGAGGGATGGAGAGAGCAAAATCTGGAGCAGTTCCAAATGGCACAGATTACGTACAGAATATAAGGTAGAATCCAGCACAGGGTTCACGAAACATTCTGCCGGTGCAAGGATTTCTGCTTGTGCAATGGAATGCTCTCCTCCCGTGCAACCCCTAAATCCATTCTAGGGGTTCCCCCAACGCTCTGGAGCAGAGGGTGCAGGGTACTTGCAGGGGAAGGGAGGCGGAATCCCATTGTGCAAGCGGAAATCCTTGTGCTGAAGGGATACAGGAGCTGAATACTGCCCCATGTTTTTATATTTATCAGATGCCAAGTTGCCTCGGCTCATCTCCAACAATAGTGATGGTCTGCCAGCTTTTATGCCTCGCCACCCCCTTCCACACAGAGCACATAGAAATGCTACCTTCACACAAAAGCCTCCCAGATACAAGTTTGGAAGCAAACCCTGCATGCTCCTATGAGAGAGCCAATAAATAGTTCCAAGAGTGCTATGGAGGAACTGCTATCAGTTAACTTTAAACCGGTGTTTCCTAACTGGGGGCCATATGGTCCCCTGCCCGCCTGCCCCTGATATTCCAAGGGAGCCACAGGTGAAAATCGCATAAATGGGGGGGGGTGGCATGGCATGAGACTAGGAGGCCACAGAGGAAAGTTAGAAGTGAAGAAAACAGAAAAGTGACTGAGAAAAGAAAACAGAGAAGTAGAGTGCACAGAGCAACGAACATGCTTCTCAGTGGCTGCAGTGCCATGCGCCCTCTGTGGCAACGTCGCATCTGCTTCCTTCTCTCTCCCACTTCCACACCCTACCATTGCACACACTAAGCTTCCCGCATCTTGTGTGACTGCAACAGTGTTAGTTATGAGGGTGTGCTGTTTCTTCATGCAAGCACTACTGCGAAAGGAGGTACATAGCTGCATGCAAGAGTTACTAAGCCTCATGCGGAACCGCCTTAACAAAATGGACAGAGGTGATCTTCAGTTATCCCTCACACAATAGAACCGGATATAAAAAAGCTTGTTTCTGGTCAACAAGCACAAGGGTCCCATTGGTCAAGAAATACTTAAAAGTATATTTTTAAAATGTAATTGTATTTTGTATAAATTATAAAAAATATAAAGAAAATGTTCTATTTACAAACAAAATATTTAAGTAGCTACCTTTCTACCAGTAGGGCAAGGGGTGGGCCACAGGAAGGAAATGAAGTCGGAAGGGAGCTACAGTGAGAAACACTGCTTTATACCATTTCCTGAGTCCTTCTGGGAGCCACAAATAGTAGAGTAGAACTTGTCACATGCTCTGCCAAGTTTCTCCCCTGGGTGAAATATTCTTCCTGATAACCAGATCAGTCAGCTATATCTTGAAGAGAACACCACCACCACTGGCGGCAATGCCCCAAGTTTTCTAAATTTGGGATCAGCCTTGCTACCATCGTCGCAAAATAGCAAGTAAATGGCTACAATGTGATTGGTTACTTGAGTACCAACTTTTGTAAATTAACTGATATTGCTTTTCCTTGCTTGGGTTGCCTGAATATACTTTTAATTGGCGATCATAATGCTCTGTAGTCGGTTTGTAGCACCTCTTAATCCTGACCTTCAATACCTGTGATATGCATACTTTCAGGACCCAGCCTTTTTTCTTTTTTTTCTTTTTTTGAGATTGCGTATGTGTGTGTTTTAATTGTGTTTTGAAACTGAGTTTTAAATCATTGTAACCCACCTTGGGCATTAGGCTGAAGGGTGGGCAATAAAACCACCATCATAGCAAGTTCCAAAGAGCAAGAATGTGGATTAGATGACCCGTGGGGTCCCTTCCTACAATTCTAAAAGGGGGAGGAAGGCTGAACACAATGTCGCTTTGCACTAATACAAAGCACTTCCACAAAGCCCTGATGTCCACCAATTCCACCACACCTCCCACTGTAGCCCTGCATCCCATGCTGTTTTGTGGAGGGTTCTTCAGCTATCAGGGCTGAATTGGCAACAAAATGAGTGTCCAACTTTGGAAGTGCATTCAAACAGCACAAAGTCCTCATGGGATACAACCCAAAGCAGCTTGTCTTGAATGCCTGGCATGCTGGTTTTATCAAACACCTGTGAGCTCAGGTATTATTTTCATTCTTCATCTCCACCTCTCCCCCATCCCCACCACCAACAATCATTTGAAATGTTATATCCATCCATCATAGCTAGGCCATATCAAATCACTATGCTTCCCAGCCTTTTTGAGAGAGAAATTTGCATACTTTGCTCATCTCCAGAGCCAAGTTCTCCTAAGGTCATGAAAGCCTGTAGCTCAACTAAATGGATGTGAGTACCGCAGCACACACCATTGTAAAAGCTACGTTACTTATGCCTGCAAAGACTTCTGTGTGCAGAGACTCAAAAAACTGCATTTAAATAGTAGCACTGATTTTGCCTGAAGCCATTCACTAATGCAAGCAGTACGACATGACAGATGGAAGTAAATTCGAGAATATCCGTTTTATAGCCAATCGCTAAAGCAATCCATTTCCCTTTTATATATTTGTAAGAGCTGGTGCTCCCTTGGCATCTCCCCCTGTGGTGTTGCTGGACTACAACTCCCATCATCCCTAACCATTGGCCATGCTGGCTGCGGCTGATGGGAGTTAGAGTCCAACATCTGGAGGGCCACAGGTTCCCCACCCCTACTTGTGAAAGAGGGAGCTTCCAGGGAGCTTGCTTATTCGCACAAATTTTCTCTCCCTTTCTAGTGTAATCATCTAGTCACTTTTCTAACTGCAAAACCTATAATAAAAGTGATGGGAAACTGCACTGCAAAGGGTGGGATAACTCTCACTAGCTGTGTGGCCTCCGTGCAAACATATCAGGATGAATCTCAGTAAACATCTAGTGTCAGTCATATAACCGCCACATAAGTTTAATGTGGACATATCAGCATAAATGCTCAATAAACAACCGATCCAAAAGCTTCCCAGCGATCGCAAAGAGTCAGGAGTAAACAACAAAGCTCTCTTAAAGAAATCATGCAACCACTCTGAGGACTAGACTGTAAACACACAAGGTTAGTTTCCTGTGGATTAATTGGGAACCAGTTAAACTGGTCTGTTAGAATGTAAGACAAATTAGTTCAGGGATAGGGACGCTGTGGCCTTTCAGATGTGGTTGGACTCCATCAGCTCCAGCCAGCACAGCAAATGATCAGGGATTAGAGGGAATTTACTCCAACGACAACTAGAGTGCTACAGGCACCCCCCAACCCCACCAAATTAGTTTATTTGGAGTTAATAGAACTGAACTAGCTTAAATCCTAGTGCAGCACTCTGGCTTATCTGGTTTGTGGATGAGGCTACAAATAACTTTTCTGCTTCTGGAATCCAGGTTAGGACACAGGCCAAAGGGAATAATGCAGATGTGATTCCCAAAGCTATGTCAGATACCTCCAAATTGTTTTGGAGCTCTAGCAGAGCTCCGGAGGAAATGGAAAATATTCTGTATCTCAGAGGTATCCAGCACTGCAGCTGCCTGCCACGGAGAAGGGATAGAAAGAATTTATCCTCTTGCTCTTTCCAAGAAGTTGGCAAGGCTGCAGAAGCACATAATTTGTCTTCGTTTATTATACACAACACAGGAAAATTTATAGTCATCAATAGCTTGCTACCGTAATAGATTATTTAATTTCCATTAGGCTTCCTTTCCCATTTGACAAAAGCCCTTTGCAAATAAAGGAATTTGGCCTGTTATTTAACCCTCTATGCTCATCTTGTAAAGCTGAGAGACAATCCCTTACACAATATTATGGTCCGAAAATGTTTGTAAGTCACAGCTCAAACACAACATTTCACCTCGACACACAGGTGCTCTGGTTTAATCTGGGTGTAGACTGGGCAGAGAGGGCATTTTAAAGGCTGCAGCAGATTTCCAGCAAGAAATTATTTTGCCCCTTGTGCTGTTTATTATATTATATGATTAGGAAGAATGCACTATGCAGCTGAAAGCAAGGAAAACGTTGGAGTAACTTTCCTACTTTCTAGATATGTGTTGTCGCACAGACAAAACAGAGCAAACCTTCCTCCAGCTATCTTAAAATAATAAATCCTCTTATTTTATCAGGGGAAGTTAATGGATATGGACTGCAGATGTTTGAGCTGAGCAGCCTCACGCCCACCTACACAGTTGCCTTGAAAACTCACTAGAAAATACAAATTGCCTTTTCCCCCCGTCTGCTTTTACTGCGTTTTATCAGCTAGACCTGGCAGCTGAATGCTCTGTCTTCTTTAATTGACAGTAACTGCTGCCTCAAAGGTGTAAGATGCAGTCACAGTGGCAAATGCTTTGCAAGCAGCAGACGATTCCCTTAATCAGCAGCCTGGCTTGTTTCCCTCACGCCCCCCCCCCCCAAAGCACAGGCAAAACTCCATCAGCATGGGCTGCTTGTCTCCTAGTGCTTTTCATGCCAATACTTTCACAAATCTCCAATTCATGACATCAAGGATTCATTGGCTCCCATTAGTCTTTACTCAAAAGCATGATCCTTTATCATCTACAGACCACCAAGCTAGAACTGGCTATATAATCTATTAACTATGGTATGGCACAGTGGAGGTAGGGGAATGGCATGGCACCTTGTGGCATAACATGGTGACAGCATCTTACTGACGTACATGTTTTCCCCGATTTTTTAAAATTAAGCAGTGAATGTGGAACAATTGCCGCCAAGAATACTATGCTACTGACACTACAAAATTATGAAAACGTAACACAGCCAAACCAAAGGATTGTATCCAACTAAGCAGACCCACTGGGTGGAATTAAACATCACACTATGGGAGGGTTTCCCAAACTTGGGTCTCCAGCTGTTTTTGGTCTACAATTCCAAAAAAAACCCACTGGTCCTGCTAGCTAAGGATGATGGGAGTTGTAGTCCAAAAAAAGCTGGAGAATCAAGTTTGGGAAACTAAGGCAACTGTTTCATTGGCACATGCATTTCTGTATGCCAGATGGAGCAATCTCCCTTTCCTGCTCTGTGTCCTGTTCTGGAGGTTGTCCCGACTCTCCCAAAGAGATTTTGGGGAGGGTAACATGGGTAAAGGCTGCATAGGGAAGGAGGAGTCCTGCTGCCCTAGTGGGACTTGTGCTGGCTTATGGGAGCACAAAACTTCAATTGAATGCAGCTCACTAAAATTAATGAACTTAAGTTACTCGTGTCCATTAATCTCAAGGGGTCTGATCTAAACAGGGCTAACACTGGATATAACCCAAAGTATTTTTATATCCCATTTATTTGAATGGGATTTATAAGTGCTTAACTCTGGGCCAAGCTACACATTATGTTGATTGTGTCGATGCAATTAACACCATCCTATTAATCGCTTCATTATAGTTCCTCTTGCCTAACATGGCCTAACACAACCCATCTTGCCATCCTCAGACAGTTTGCAGCATCCAGAACCAAATTCCAGGCTTCCTTCAAGGGCAGCCCCATGTAGAGTGAATTGCAGCAATCTATCTGAAGGGGGGGGGATGACTAACAAAGCAATCCTATACATATCTAGAAGCAAGTCCTCTTGAGTGCAACTGGACTTACTACAAATGGAATAATGCAACTGAACTGTAAGGTATGAATGTCTGAGGTTAGGTCTGATTTTTCCAAGAACAAGTACAATTGGAGGCTCAGATACCATTGGCAGAAAGCACTCCTGAACTCGGCTGTCTCATGCACATCCATAAGCAAGGATTTTGTTGCATTAGCTTTATTGGAAAGGTGGGGATTACCCCCCCCTTTTCTCCAACATTTGGTACATAGTTGATGTACCAAATGGTTGGCTGCACAGAAAGTTCATGTGTCTCAGTCTCTACCAAAATTCATAGCTCCTTTGAAAACTGAGTGTGCCATTTTAATCGTGAGAGACACCTTTAATGCAGACCACCTTGATAAAGGAACAGATTTTAGATAACGCTCTAGTAATGTTTGCCCTTGTATCATTTCGTGTCTCACCACTTCCGGATTGCATTTATACAGTACGTTCAATTCTTGGTACTTGACACACAATGGATAGGTTTATAAAAAGCACTTCTGAATATCAATTTGCAGTTTGAAGCACACCTACTTCAGAGAAAGTCACATTGAACTAAGTTTGGCTTACTTCTTAGTAGAAATGTATGGGATTGCACTGTTAGCATTACAACATTTAACAAAATAAATAAAGTTTATTTAGATGTATAGGTGTGTTTATAGGATTTTTGTTTTTGTTTCACATTCATGTCATGCCTGCCAATTGCATATAATCCAGGAGTTCTGTTTTTCTGACAGCGTGTGGAGATGTCCTCCTTCCCCACCACTGAGTTGTAACAATCAGCTCCTAACATCTGGAACCAAGGTATTCTCAAGCAAAAATCATGAAAAACTCCAGGCACCTCTCATTTTACAAATTAAGCACTTGTATCCACAGTAAGTATCCACAGTGCTCAAAATTCTTGCAAAAATACTAAGCTTTCCACCCACTTTTTTTTTTAAAGTTATTAATCCCCCTCAAGGTCTTTTATCCATCCACATTCCTGTTTCACTCTTACTCTTCTGTTAAATCAATGCCTACAGCTTATCCCATGGTCACTTATTCAGAAGTGAAGTCCTACTAAGTTCAATTGGCCTTGAGCTCCATCTTTTCCCTGAGCAATAGAGAAGTGGCATGATGTAGTGGATAGAATGTTGGACTATAAACATATGAAGCTGCCTTATACCAGATTGAATCATTGCTCCACTTAGTTCCGTATTGTCTACTTGGAACTGCTCTCTATGGTTTCAGGGTTCATTCTTAGTCTCACCTGGAGACTGAACCTTGGACCTTCTGGATACAAAGCAGTTGCTCTGCCACTGAGCTTCACCCCTTCCCTGAGAGGCAGGCAGGTTCATATTTCTATTAAACTAGGATGTTTAAGCATGAGAATGTCTAATCTGCCTTGCTGGGTTAATGCAAAGATAAAAAAGAGAGCAGAGAACCACACAAGCCACCTTGGAAGACAGGAAATAAATGCCGCAGAGCAATCTATAAGGCACATGAGTCAAGACGTCCAGAAAATGTCATGGGGGAATGTTTAATTCTGACATCTTTGATCCAACCTGGCCTTTTGCTGCTGCTGCCCACCAGGACTCAACCTCCTTCCCATGATGTCTACTACTCGCCTGGCTCTGAAATAGGATTCACCCAGAGGTGGGATCTGTTCACACTGGTGCATCTACAGGCTCAGCCACCCCTATTTTGTCTGAGATTTCCTCTGCTTGCCCCATGACTTTGAGGCACAGGTCCGAGAGGGCCATTTCACGTCCTGCCGCTTTCTCTCGGAAAACCTGCCATTCAGCGTTGAATTGGAACAAACTGGTTCTGTGCTGGTTGACGTTTGTTCCAAATCTCAGAACAAAAAAGAAGTGTGGCTGAGCCTTATGTCGTTTTTGGCAGTGGAGTCAATGTAGATTGGTCAATTTGGGCCAAGGAGGCCCTGCCCCTGCCACCCAGGTCTGCCCTCACCTGCCTGCCTTCTTAGTTAGCAACCAGTCCAGGGAGTGGTCCTGCCTGTCAGTTTCCTCTCCCTCCTGAGTCCCAGTAGAATTCAGCAGGGAGAAGGATGGGGCAAACGGAGAACTGCCTCTGGCACTGTGCCTATGGTGGGATTCCTTGCCTTCCAGTCTGCCGGCTTCCCGGCCTCGGATCAGATAGTAAGGCATTACTGCCGGTAGGGCGGGTGCTGTCATGAGGCCAACGAGGCAGCGCCCAGGGCACAGTTTTATACAGTTTGGTTTCTGTTCTATCCAAGGGTGCCAACTTGAATAAAATGTTGGGGAGGGGAGCAGGTAAGTCCTGCACAATTGGGCAATTGTAGTTAGCTCCCCCACCCCCCCGCGCGGGTGTGCTTTATCTGTGCAAGTAGTTGGACTCGCCTAGGGCGCAAAACAGCCTGGCCCCGACTACGGGTCTCTCCTGCTCGGTCTGAAGGGGGCTCCCCTGGACTTCGCCCTCGGGCCGCCCTTCCCTTCTCCCCTCCGCAGCCGCCCGCGGCCACCTACCAGCCTGGCCAGGATCCTGTGGCTCTGCTCGTCGGTGCAGCGCCCGGAGAGGAGGACGCCGCCGTGCGCTAAGAAGAAGAAGACGCCCCCTGCCGCCCCGCACGCCGCCCAGAAGAGGCAGAAGGCGGCGGAGCAGCGCCTGGCCAGCCTGGCTCTCAGCAGGCGCTTCAAGGCGGGCATGCCTTGCACACTCCGCCCGCCCGCCCGTCCGGGCTGCTGCAGGGAATTCCCGCCTTAGCCCGTGCAGCAGACAGGAGAGTCCCGGCGATCCATCAGCGACGCCGGCGCGCCCCGGGCTGCCTTCGAGGGAGGCGCGGACGCCTCCCCGCTTCCTGCGAAGTCTCCAGCGCGACCTGACCGCCCGCCCGGCTTGCAACGCGCAGCCAAGAGCCAAGTGCACGGGCGCAGCGCGGCGGGCGCGTCCGGCGGCGGGCGCCTCCCGCGGCGCGCATCTGACCTCCGGGGAAGCCGCGCTCCTCGCCTGGTTCCCAGCGCGCCGCCTCGCAGTCGCCCGCGGCCACCAGTCGTCGGCGCAGCAGCAGCAGCAGCGGCGCTGCCTTTCGAGGGGAAGCCACGTAGGTCCGCCTCCCTTTTGTCTGCCGCGTCCCTCGGACGGGAGCTGCGCGGCTCCCCTCCTCGCCCGCCCGGCAAACTTTCGCCGACGCGGAGGAAGCCCGCGAGGAGGGAGAGGCAGACAGAGCGCGCTTCCTCCCGCAGCGCCGTTCCTTTCAAAATCGAGATGGTTGATGGACACTTTGAAAAGGGCGACTCCAGAATGCTCTCCTTTTCGAAGGTGCACGTGCAAGTCGGTCCTATTCAGTTATTCCTTGGGGACTTTGACGGCCCGATATGCTTTCCGTTATAAGCTGTATTTTAGTAGTATATACTAATTTACTTACATATCCAAATGAGATGTGCGTCGTAAATTAAATGAAAAGCCATATTACAAAGACAAGGATACAAAGGACCCAACCCAGTTCAGACCACCACCCCCCTAAAAGATTTGAGGGGACTTGGACCCCCCTCCGAAATGGATGGGCATTGCCATTTAAAGGTGTTCTTGTGCAGAATCACGTGATCGATTATGCAAGGCGGGGCACCCCTCCCCCCATATTTAATTCAAGTTGGCACCCCTGCAAGGCTATAACTCTACCTCCCTCTTGCCCTTCTATGGCCCTCCTTCACTTTTGTCTCCTTCCTTGACTTGATGGCCCTTGTGGTCCCTCCCAGCTCTACAATTCTATGACTCCTCCCTTCCTGCCACTCTCTCCCTTCTCCTCCATGATCTGATCTTAATTAATTTCCTATCTTAACACCTGCAAACCATAGATGGTTGCAAGCTTGTCAGTATAATTTGTCCTTTATGGGGAAGAAATGCTGGCATTGCTGTACTGTATCTTGTTCAAATAAGCCAAAGGGCATATTAGGCTGTCTTCACAAATGAGAGGTTTCGAGAAGGTTATCAAAGTGCGGGGGGGGGGGGGGAGAGTTGCCGAAAGAATTTCAAATTCAATGTACATCCTATAGAGCCAATGTAAGTTTTCCACTTCAATTATAGTCTTGGGAAATGAAAAGGGCAACAACAGCCTTGGAATTACAGAAGCATAAACTGATAATCCCAGAATATTGTGATTGGTTGCATACATGGCAACCACGCCAACTCACTAATATCAATATCACTTATTCTACAGATATTCTCTGGCCACAGTATCCAGGATACTACTGCCTGCATGCTGCTGTTACTAGTGCAACATCCACTCTGAATGCAAAGGAGGTGACACCTCAAATAGGTCACATAGACAGCTCCTGATCAACAAAATTCCATTAATTGTAGCACAGCCTTACATACAGTTACTCAGAAGTATGTCCTCCTATATTCAACGAGGATTACTCTCATGTAACTGTGGGTAAAATTCAGAGATTTACACTCTTCCCTCCCTCCCAAGAGCTTGGAGTAGCTTACATAGGAACAGCCTACAGAATCACACCTCCTAGTATCAGTAGATCACAGTGCCTTCCAGCCATGCTCTGGACTTCCATCTTTATGGAGTTATTTAGGTGTTAATCCCCATTCCAGTGACAGAAAGCACTATCCAGCTATGGCTGAGTACAAGCCATACATGTACACAGCGCTCCTGACAACATCCCTGTAAAGTAGCACACTGTGGGCTATACTCATATTAGAAATTAAGGAGTTGCTGAATCTAAATTGGATTGTCTGAAGCTTCTCCTGCATCTTACCTGAATACTATTCTAGCTCAGGGACCTTTTCTATTTTAAATAGCACCTTATTCCATTTTGCACTGAAGATAAGCTAGATCAGATTTCTCCAGTCTGGGGCCCTCCAGGTGTTTGGGACTACAACTCACATCAGTCTCAGCCAGGCTGTGCAAGCTTTTCTAACTGAAACATGCAGAAAGGCAGCCGAGAATAAACCCAAGGAAACATATGTGGCATCACATTTAGACACCCACTAAACAGAAGCGCTCTTTCGCCATTAAAAAAGATGGGTGTCTGTGAATGCAGACAAATCTTGCTTTGTTCCTTGCAGGGACATTGCAGTTCCTTTGCTACAGGGATGGAACTAGTAGAACGAAAGCATTGCGACCTCCCTGAAACATCCCTTACAAAAGGATGCAAGAGCTGGATTTCATATAGGCATTTAAAAGGCCTGAGGTGGTGGAGGGCAGCAAGGCAGCAAGAAGATTAAACATGCTACCCATGAGATGCATAAGATCTAAAGCTTTCTTGAGGCTGGCAGGAGGAATGGAAGTGAGAGGCGAAAACAAAAGCTCTACTATTCTCTCACAAGAAGCCCTAGAGGCTGAAACATTATCACAAACCACTTCACTCTCACCCCCCTACCTTCAGTCTAGAGGTCTTTTATGAACCTCTCTACACTCTTTCGTTCATGTTCCCATCTGCAGCCTGCATACTTACTTGACACCTTAAATCCAGCCACCTTGATAATCGTATATTAAAGTCCATACTAAATCCAAAAATTTGCATTGGCAAAATTGGTGAGCCGCTAAGGTCTGAGAGCTATAAAAGAGAAGTTTTAGTTCTACTAGGAGTTTAAGAGATTGAGGTTTCATTCATTGATTTGTTTAAATAATAGGTCTATTGCCTGTAGCTTTTAAAAAAATCATTATTAAACAGCCCGTTGGCTGACTTGGTTTCACTGCCACCTCAGATGTTGCAGCCATAAAGTCATTAGGTTAAAATAATTGTATTTTTTTTTCAATAGGAAAGTGATACGTAAACATTTTAAATAAGGAAATATAGATTAATAATCAACCAAAAAGCCACATCAGACTTCATAGCTGAATCCTCAATCCCAATCAGATGATTCAAGCAATGGAGTTATATCACCCTGTACAGAGCACGTGGTAGTCGAGGTGGCAGACTACCCTTCACTGTTGGATTACAATTCCCATTGTCCCTGACCACCAGCCATTCTGCCTGAGGCTGATGGAAGGTGTAGTCCAAAACATCTGAAAGGCACCACATTGACAATTCTTGCTATAGAGGAAGACAATGGAAAACAACTGTATTTGGTAAGGTGGAGGGTCTTCTACATATTAAATGGTATGCCGGTGCTACAGCTAGGTGGGGGGCTAACCAGGTCTTTTGCCCCCATGAAGCCATTCAGACTCCCAGCCTGTGTGTGTATGCAAGTGTGCATGTGCCAAACTGGGTCTTTGACCCTGCTGAAATAAAGCCTAGCTTCGCCCCTGACACGTTGCTTACACACAGGAATGGACAGGTAGTATATCAGGATCTGCTTGTAGATCTCTGGCTGATTTGCAGTAGATCACCAAGCTTTCCTCACTTCCAACAAGAGCAGCAGCAACAAGCTTTCGCATCTCCACCTTCTTAATTGGGCACTGAGATTAGAAAAACAAATGGCTGTGGGAACTAAAATGGATTTTTTCTGTGTTCTGGTACTGAAAACAAACTGGGAACTATTTGTTCTAGTCACATGAACATCACAGATTTTGTTATTTATAACACCTATGTATTTTATGCATTCTTACATTTTCACCCAACCGCTTCTCCAATGAGCTCCAGAAAGCATATCTGTGTGCCTCCCCACCCCCATGCTATGAGGAAGGCTGAGATGGGAGAGACACTCAGCAAGACTTTAAGTAATAATCTGAAGGCAGGTCTCCCTGTTCCTAGACCAACTTATTTAGCACTACACCACACTGACTTTAATGCTGTCCTGGGGTTTTCTTGTGCGTTATGTGCTTATTTATTTATCGAGATTAAAATGTGATTGCAATTAAATAAAATAACCCCAAGTCTAAACAAACAGCACAACAGAATTGATGGCATCAGCTGATGTGCAATTAAGTGGGTAACCAAAGGAAACGAGTGTGGTCACAGCTCCTTGCACATGAATTGGGCTCCAAGCTACCAGACAATATGGTTGAGCCTGAAATAAAGGTTGACTGATGGAATGAAGGTCAGGAGTGAGATTTCTCCACAGACCACTGCTTGGAAACCCATTCTGGTGTGAGTCCATAATACCCAGCCAGAACATAACACAGTAGTCTATCAAGGTGCTGTCAAACAAGTAAAGGAAAGCATTCTGTATATCAATGGTTGGGAAGGGGGGTGGGGTGGGAATAGTTCTACCCCTGCTGACTACAAAAAACCCCCACTGCACAACCCACACTGCCCATGCTCATCCTGCAATCACACCCATTTGCAGTGTTGAGGCTAGGCTGAGCTGAGAAACATTGTCTGTTTTGGTTTCACATATGACCAGCTTCATAATATCCAAAAGCTCACACTTTTGGAGCTTATTCATTCAGGCTGCTAAACTGAATCCATAAGACACATTGACCCAACGTAGCTTAGACATACTTTGGCTCACTGTCTTGAGTAACCTGAAGGCCCATGCTCAAATGGAATTCTTTGTGCCAGTCAACTGCACACCACAGACTGCTACTTACAGAATTAATAAGAGCTGAGGCCCTCATATCCAGGGGCTCTTTTACATCTTGTCAGCCTTTGTTAGCTGTATATAAACAAACCAGGGGCTTAAGGTAGTTGAGAGGATGGGTGCTAATATAAACATACACAGGGATGATGAGAACTGTAGTCTCAAAACATCCAGAGGGCCGAGTTTGCCTATGCCTGGCTTATGCTGCTGTTCGTTACAAGTGCCCCAGGTCCTCTTGGGCTGCCAAGGGGGTGCTGGTTGCCAGGAGGTGAGGTGGCCTCAGAGTAAGCAAGCAAGTGGGTGAGGGAGTCCTGCTGGCCAGTCCAGCAGCCCTTGCTGTTGGGAATGGATGGACAAGTGGGAGGCCAAGCAAGCAGGAAGGCAGCACACTGGCCTTTCTTGTGCTTGCTGTGTGCAATGTCTGCCTGGGAGCTGAGTGCCATGTGCTGAAGGGGAGCTGTTCCACCATGTAGGTCCAGCGGTGCCTGCTGCTGCCTCCTAAGGTAAGGTGCTGGCCTCACATTCACCTTTGACCAGTTTCTATCAGGCTGCTAAGACTGGGGGCATCCTCTTCCCAGGCCCTTGTGGGGTGGCCTGAGGAGACACGTCTTTTTGGGGCGGGGGGGGGCAGTTCAGTGACCGGGGCGGTGGTGGCGGCAGCTGCCCTGGACTCCCAAGGAGAGTGCGGAGGAGGCTGAGGGAACATTCCACAAGGGACGGTGTTCAAAAAGGGGTGACGGGAAGCCGCCTCTGCAGACTAGGGGTGAAAGAACTGGGCTTATTAGGCTCAGAGTGTGTTGCCCCACAGAGCAGCCACAGAAAGAATGCTGGTCAAGGGAGCTGTGGACACTAAAAGGTTGAAAACCTCTGATATAAGCATTCCCAATTTCATTAAATTAAATCACTATGGTTAACAACAGCTGTCTCTTCAAGAGAAGAATAATGAAACAGGATAAACTCATGCAGCAAGAGACATTCTAGTGAACATACCAGCCCATTGCTCCTTATATTTTAAGTCTCATAAGTCATAAAGCAATAAAGCGGCCCTTTGAAAATGAGGTACTTCTCTTATTTGCATTCATAACAAATGGATCTCTTGTTTATATAGAAATGACATGAAACTTATTTCCTCTCCCAAAAAAACCCACCTACTGGGAGGCAGTTTTTAAAAATACATTTAGCATATAAATATTTCTTTCTGATATCTGGCAGCCAAGCTGAAACATCACAAGAGTTGGCACATGTCTGAGCGTTATCAGTTGGGCAGTGAAATCTTTTTTGATGAGCCAACCATGTATCTTGCTCATTAATGCCACTAATAAGCACTAAAGCTGTTGTGAGCTGTTAGAGAAGCTGTACTGCATCCTAATGTAGAGATAGTTTCATTGAGTGGGCAACGGGAGAGATGCAAGTAAAAAAATCTGAGAGAGTTGCCATTTTTCATCTGATGCTTGAACAAGAAGCAGGAGGGACCACGCTTTTAGGAACTGCAAAGATGTCTTGTTCTGTATTTTGCCCAGATGCTCCATGTGTATAATGATTTAAGAACAAGATAGTCTCATGTTGACAGTTGTTTTTAATGCTTACATTAAAGCCAGGCACATCCCTCTCAATTGCTGGGTTCAGACAACTAATGGGTGTTCTGATAGATGCCTGAATCAATATCCAAAAGCCACAGTAAATTGTGCAATCATCAAAATACATACCTGGATGGCTTTTGAGTAGATTGCAAACTTCTACAGTTATGACGTGCTAGGAAAAATATGATCTAGAAGTGGCAAACCAGTTGACTAGTAAGAGCAGAGCATTATGCACAAGCCGAAACAGAACTATACAAAGGAGTAAGGCGGTATTCAGGAGGGTGTTGAATGCTGATCAGGGAATGCTGAATGCCACTATCACTCTGGGCAACAGAGTGGCCTTCCAACAATTTAAGCTTTTACAATGTCTGTCCTCACAGGCCCCTTTCATGCTTTTTTATATCTAGAATACAGTATTAGACCCAATGCAGTGTGTTGCTTTCACAACAACACACTATTACCATCAGCATGCCAGGTAATATTCTACAAGTTTGCAGTTTTAAAAATATTATTGTTGCTCAGAGCTGGGGATGCTTCTAGGCATGTGTTTATTGCAGCATCCTTAATTGATTTTCTTACATTTATATCCCATCTTTCTTCAGTCACGGAATTCAGCCAAGAGCTACATGTAGGTCTCCCATCCACTAAGCACACCCAGACCTGCTTATCCTCAGGAAGGCAGTATTCTCATGTGTTTTCAGCTCATACCCAGGGACTATACACTTTCAAAATTAACACATAAGATTAGAAGTTATTCTTGCACTAACAATACAATTCTAGTTGTGTTTGCTCAGATGTGAGATTCACTGAGTTCAACAGCACTTACTTCCAGGTAAGTGGAAATAGAATGCAGCCTTAGGGTGCAATCCCATGCATGTTTACTCAGAATTACGAGACACTGTTCTCAGTGGGCTTACTCAGTTAAGCATACACTTGGGAGCAAGCTCCAAGGAAGCCAATGGGACTTACTTCTGTATAGGCATTGCAAATCTAACACTGTGTGTGACACAATTTCTCTCATATTGCCAACATTGCCTGTTTCGCATGGGATTGAGTTCTTATGCGCCCACCTGCTTGGCCCTCGATTTTTCAGAAAAAGTGAGCAAGGCAGTGATTTTTGCTTCTTTGTTTATGGATCCCAGGATTTAGCTATGTTGAGAAAGGTAAACCTGTGAAATGAGACCAATTTATAAATGAGGTCCTGCTACTGATGCAACAGAGTTTGATTTGATAGTGATACTGAAAAGTTCAGCATCTCATTACAAAATGCACAGATCCAAACATTCTAATACAGTGGTACCTCGGGTTACATACGCTTCAGGTTACAGACTCCGCTTACCCAGAAATATTGCTTCAGGTTAAGAACTTTGCTTCAGGATGAGAACAGAAATTGTGCTCCGGCGGCGCGGCAGCAGCAGGAGGCCCCATTAGCTAAAGTGGTGCTTCACGTTAAGAACAGTTTCAGGTTAAGTACAGACCTCCGGAACAAATTAAGTACTTAACCTGAGGTACCACTGTAGCTTACGAAGCCTGGGACTTACTGCAAGTAAATATATGCATTTCTTTTGGTTCAAGATGAAAAACCAGTTATTTTTAGTTAGTTTTCACTGTGGCACAAGAGGCCACCTTGTGGACTGTTCCTGCTATCACACACCACAGGGTTTTTTGTCCCCCCCCCCCCAAAGGCAAAATGTATGCAGAAAACCTGCTCAGTTATTTCAGCTGAGATTTTTGGGTGCTGCTTTTTGAATATGAGCTCTGATTTCTTCTGTTTTAAATATGACAACATATTACAGAGCTGTCTTAAGAACCAGGGTACTTAATTTACATTCACTGTGTTAATTTGCTGCATGCTTTTTTCTCTTATACAGTGGTACCTCGGGTTAAGTACTTAATTCATTCCGGAGATCCGTTCTTAACCTGAAACTGTTCTTAACCTGAAGCACCACTTTAGCTAATGGGGCCTCCTGCTGCCGCCACGCCACCAGAGCACGATTTCTGTTATCATCCTGAAGCAAAGTTCTTAACCTGAAGCACTATTTCTGGGTTAGCGGAGTCTGTAACCTGAAACGTATGTAACCTGAAGCGTATGTAACCCGAGGTACCACTGTATGTTAATATTTGCTGACTCCCTCAGAAGGTGTCAGGTTTTCCTTTCTTGGAGGTTTTTAAGCAGAGGTTGGATGGCCTTCTGTCATAGACGCTTCAGTTGACATTCCAGCATTGCAGGGGGTTGGGCTAGAGGACCTTCAGGTTCCCTTCCAACTCTACAATTCTGAAATTCTGTATTTTGCCAAAGTTGCCTTCTGACTTTTACAGCTTTCTTGATTTGCTCCTTTACTATACTTGTAACCCAGAAATTGTTTGGTGGAAGATAGCATCCTCTTGCCTCTCCCTTTCAGCTAACCCCATATCTTCTAGAAACATCCTCTTGTGAAATTATAATTTTCATGCAAGTGGACCGGAGGTGTCATCCTTGCACCTGGCCTTCGGTTTGGCACAATACACACACACACACACACATTTATATTATAATTATATTATATTATATTATATTATTATATTATTATTATATTATATTATATTATATATTATTATATTGTATTATATATCAAAAACCAACCCCATCGGTCCTTCACCAACTGACTAAGCAAACTCGCCCTTCCCTTGCGAATGAATTATTCTTTCCACCGGCTGTGCATCTCGGTGGTACTTATATCTAAAATTTGGACAATCTGTTCCACAATCCGGGTGTGCCGTGGGCGAGGCTTCCCTTTCTGAGTCTCTCCCATGCCTGAGACCCGCTGCGCCAGCCCCTTGACGCAGCTCTAGCAACAGGTCGGCATATTCCCCGGCTCCTAACCGGAAGGCTCACGACTCCCAAGACCTTACGGCCGGGAAGCACCGACGCGTGTCCTTTAAAGGCTGGGCTTCTGGGGCTCCTCGCCGCCCGCTTCGCTTCCCTTCTGGCCTTCTCTCCTTCCTGCTTCGCGGCCAATGATTCCGAACCGAGCCGCGCGGACGGGCGCTGATTGGCCTTCGCGCGGTTCCAAAGGGGCGGGCCCCCGAGAGGATTTTAAGATCCGAGCTCTGTGCCTTTTGCTCGCTCTTCCATCGCTGCTGGACGGCAACTGCGAAAGGTGCACGTGGGAACGCGGCGCGGGGTGAGTAGCGGCTCCGTCCCGGCACAGCTGGTTCAAGGGGGGGAGGGGAAGGGGGCTGCAGATCCGGGGTGCCGAGTTGGCAAACTTTGCCGGGATCCGCTTCCCTTCCCCACCGCCGCCTCCCGCTTCTCATCGTGGGCAGATGGCGAGGAGGAGCCGCAGGGGATTTGCGCCTGTCGCCTCATCCCTTGGTCCCCTCCCATCCCCTCCGCTCCCCCCCCCCGCCACCCTGCAGCGATGGCTGCGGCGCTGATCCTGTCCAGGGGCTGCAGGGCACTTCTCCGCCCCGGCTGCCGCGCGAGGAGGTGGAGACCCGCCCCGATCCGCAGGGTGAGTGGGCTCCATCCAGGCGGTGCTGCCTCCAGCAGGGCGGTGTTGCGGCTGCGGGACGGGACGTTCCTCTTTGGGGAGCGGAATGGGCCTAATTCGGCCTTGGTGGGTCTCCGCCCTGCTTCCTTGGGAGCTGCGTGTCAAAAGGGCGAAGGGCGGGGCCTTTGCTTTCTCAGGGGCTTGAAGGTGTCCTGCAAATGAGGTTGCCCGATGTGCTCAGGGCCGGCCCACCCATGAGGTGAGGCGAGGTGACTGCCTCAGGTGGCAGGATTCACAGGGTAGCAGTAGCTGCTGTATATCTTTATCCGCCCCTCCTCCCATGTGCCTGTCTTAGATACTCCTTCCCAGGCAGGGAGGTGAGGGGTCCTCATGTGGTGGTTGACCTCAGGTGACAAAATGTCTTGGGCCAGCCCTGGTTACATTGCACCTCAAACGAACTCATCCCCACTGCTGCCTCCTGCTGCTGTGTCTTTATGCTCTTTAAGGCAAATGGCATGTGGGGCCTCCAAACTGCAGGTTTCTGTGGGTTGTGCCACTGAGGAAGGAGAGCAAGTGCCTCTTGAAAGTGACAGGCCAGTGCAGGATGCACCCTAAAGTGGAATGAACCTGCGCAACAAACTGAACAAGGCAGGCTTCTTAAAATTGTAAGCATCTGAGCTGAACTGTGGGAGAAAGATAAAAGTAGCTTTGTTGAATGCAGGAGCACATATCTCTTGTCATTGCTGACTACTGTGGTCTATTTTAGGAATGGGCCTTCCATAGCCTCTGCATTTCCACGCTGTAGCAATGGCACTGTGGCAACTTCTTGTACCCTTTCCTTCTTTCTGCCAGTTTCAGTTCCAGTTCCCTTTCGCTTCTTTCTTGTGCAGTGTATCTTCACGGACTGTTTTGCACACATGCACACAACAGCTTTATAGCACGATGCAGTACTATTTGGATTACTGGATTTTTGTGTGACAAGACTGACCTCTGTTCTGGGACTGAAAACAAATTTTTGGGCTGAGTATGTGCTCAAAGGCACATTCCTTCCTTAATTCTAAGAATGCTGCCCCCTCCAACTTTGCACCTTACTGAAATTGGCAAAACTGAGGCATCTGTGACAAAAGAGAATCCCACAAACTAGAAGACTGTATTTGAACTGAAGAACCTGGTATGCTAGTTCAGTGTGTCCTCATGCCCACAAGCCATAAAAACTGTTTTAAATTAATGTTAGTCCAGACTGTAGGCGTGAGTGATATGGCCAAAGATTTGTAAATACTTCTGTGCTAAATGTCTTTAAAAATATTTAAAGGTAGTTATCAAGCAACAATCAATTAAAAATACCTAAAAAGAAAAATAACCAGAGAGTTAAAAAAATTAGTTTTGCTGAGCTGTCACACCTTCAGTGAAAAAATAAAAATAAATCACATCAACATCTGCCTTATATTGAATTAGACCAATGGTTCATCTATTGTCTGTACTGACTGACAGTTACTCTCCAGAGTTTCAGACAGCATATTGAACCTGATACTGTACCACTTATCTCCCTGCTTGTACAAAAGCTTCTGCAAAAAGTACTTCTTTGGAAAGCCCATTCCAAATCCAGATATCAGAGCAGGAAGCCCCTGGAAGAAGGGCCTAGAAATCTGCCACATTGGGTAGTACATTCAGATATTGCAGCTGAGAGTGGAGTGGAATTGCTTCCCCCAGGGGAAGTGATTTGACAGCCTCCCCATTGTGGTGAACTTTGACTCAAATCTGGATGAAGCCCGCTAAAGTAGACAGCATGAATATTTGATTCTATATTTACTGCTAAATGACACTCTACCTACAGCACTGCTGTAAAACTGCTGGCTGCAGAAATTGTTCTTGAAATTGTTCTATTAGGACTTGGTGTATGTGGGTGGGAATACTAAGGAATGAAGTAAACAGTAACTGCCATTGTTAAATTGACACTCCAGAGTGGATCAGTTGTGTGATAACAGAAGACCAATTGAAACATTAAACTCTGCGAAAACCTGTTTGCCAAGCATGAAAATTCTTCCAAGGCTGGCACAAACCAAATTTAAAAGTTCAGGTGCTCAGCCACTTTCTTTTGGTGCTGATTAGTTTTGGCATGTTCCTAAAGATGGCACAAAAATGTGCACGACCACTTTCTTTTGCTTATATTGCAAAATGTTGATTGTGAATGGCAGGGCTGGGTGATATATTGTCCAAAACCTGTCTGAAGTCCATATCATCATATCAGTTTCATAATTTTTGGCCTGGAAATATATCATGAATCGTGTGTGTGCACGCCCTATGCAAAAATCACAATGTGGGAAAAACCATGAATCCAGCCAGTGCTTCTCCTAATTCCTGCAGTCCCTGTTAACTCTGCTGGCTCACCTCTCCCCCTGGCTCCTGCAGAATGAGCTAGTTGAGTGCTCATGAACACACCTTGATTTTGAAACTTGCTGTTGAGCCTCTGTTGAGATCACTCTTGTATGTAAATGGTTCTCTCGACAGTCCCTGCCGATGATTTGCTCACCACAAGTACTGTGCAGTCTGTCAAGCAAAGTGGAACAAGATATACACAGCTCATCTTAAATTGATGCTTGTCACAAGAGTGACCTCCCCTGAAACTGCAGAGTTTTAAGTAGAGAGCTGACACTGCTTTTCTTAGTTTGCTTACTTCCATCATGTGATCTGCAGAATGATTCATGGTGAGCTGCCTCATTTATCAAGTCCTCATGACTTCCCTGAAACTGCAGTGAGGCAGTTTAGAGGCAGACATTCATGTGTAAAGTATAAAGGCACCCTCTTGTCAGCTAATACTGCAAACTTTTGGAAAGCTCTAAATATCCTTTCTCCCCTTTCTTCTTTTTTCAATTTGCCTTTTAGATTTTTCAGCCGCACTATTCAGATCAGAAAATGTCATCTGTCCTTGAGCCCCTCTTTGAGTATGTTGATAAACACCAGGACCTGTATGTTGAGGTAAGTGGCCTCTTCTGTGGACATTTTAAATCCAGTCTTGGCTTCCTCAGGCTGCAGAGCCTATACCTTACATCTTGATTTTGCTGCCACCAGTAGGAGCATCACTTAGGGGACATCCTGCCGGCAGAGGAGAAAACTTTTGCTGCTGTGCTACAAACAGTGCAGTGAATCCACTGGGGACAAGTTGGGAGATCCTCTAGAAATGGGGGTTGGGGGAGGAATCCATTAAAACCACCACCTACCCCATTCTCCTTCTGCTGGATCAAAAGTCGTACCTGGACTGAAAGATGATTTTTATTCACAGAAGGCTTAAGTTTGGATTCAAACCTGTATGCATATGTTGAGCTGCAAAATTCCTTCTCTAAATAACAGGCTTGTGAAGCAAGTGTTGTAGAGCAGTTGCTGGCTAGTCTTAGGTGACAGCCGAAAAGTTGATCTGGCTGTCCTAAAAACCACATGCTGAGTGGGAGTACTGTATCCTTGGTGGCTTGGGAAGTTTTCATTTGCAGAGCCACCCATCTCTAAATGCTTCCTGTTCCATAATTTTCTTAAACCACAAAGCTGGTGCAGACATACTATTCCAGTCTCAGTTAAGAAACCCAAGAGTATCGCATGCTTCTCTCACTCTGTCTCCACACCTACCACACCTTAACAATGGTTAAGGTTTCCATCAGCGCATTGATAGTACTAGCCAAGGAATAAAGAACATTAAGCCTGCATTAGCCATAAGACTCATGGGCCGCAATGAAACCTCTATAGTTGCTGTTTCCTTTGCGGAGAACAACACATACAGATGATCAGGAGGTTGGAGGACAATATAATTCACGACTTATTTCCATGAAGATTTTCAAAATTCTTTACTACTTAGATTGAGGAGAGTGTACATTTTCTGCATCTGGACAGTATTGGTTCAGACTGCAAGAGTGTGTGTGCGTTTGTGTTTGTGTGTGTGCTTTTGTGTGGAGGAGCATTCATTCATATGATTCTTTAGCAGCAATCTGAACTGGTATAGCATAGACACAGGTTTGCTGCCTCATTTAGAGGCCCTTGGATGGTTTGTGAAATGAATGGAAGACTGGGAAATGGTAACAGCGTTTTGCAGTTGCGTCCACACACACGCACATATATTGTGAGTAGCACTATAACTTGGCTGGAGGAACTGAAATTAGTTATGCCTTGGGTGTAGCCTCTGAGCACAATTTAAGTGCTGACTAGCAAGTTGTTTGTTGACAGAAGCCAGAAGCTCCAACAGCCCTTGTAAATGGCCACTTTCATGGGGCCATTTGTCACCATGACAGTCAGCCATACTGAATAGAAAAAGCCTGTGTGTAGTCATAGGAAACATGGGAAGCTGCCTTTATATCGACTCAGGCCTTAGGTCTATCTGGCTAACTGATATTGTCTACACTAACTTGCAGTAGCTCACCAAGATTTCAAACAGGGGTCTTTCCCACTTCTATTTGGAGACACTGAGGACTGAACTTATGATCCTTAGTGTGCAAATCAGGTGGTCTGCTACAGTGCTGTGGCTCTGAAGTGGGCTTTACTTGCTCCCGCATTGTGCTTTGAACTAGGCAAATGCAAAGAGGAGTGCTGGAGTGTCCCCATAACCAAATGTGATAGATTTCAACTTTAAAATCAGAAGGTGTACTAAATGGTAAAAGGGTTGGGAGCCACTGGGTAAGAATAGAGTGAAAACACTATTTAACACATGACATTGTTAAAAAAACCTGGCTTTTTCCACTCTGGGTTGCACTCCACCTCCCAAGATTGGCTGGGTGGGGATGTCTCTGGTTATCTCCAGTAATGGGGCAACGGGGCATGTGTGTGTGCTTGCACGCGCGCACACACACACGGTTGGAAAATGGAGAGGAGCATTAGGGTTTCGTCTTCCAAAACACCCACCTTTGCAGCTTGCCTCCTCTAAAATCCTAGCCAAGCAAAATAAAAGCCTCAGATGTTTTATTATCTTTCTCATCTCCGGTCCTGCTTCTTTCCTGAACTGCGTACCTATAGCGGCTGGCCCAGTGGGTGGCTATCCAGAGTGTGTCAGCATGGCCGGAAAAGAGGGGAGAAATCAAACGAATGATGGAAGTTGCTGCCAAGGACATTGAGCGGCTGGGTGGCACAACGGAGTTGAAGGATATCGGAAAACAGAAGGTAGGTAGATTTAGCCAAGGTAGTGCTTTCAGTTGGATACAGCACCCTGGGTTAGGGGTGTTTCCTATGTCCTGTTATTGCCTGTGGACAATTGCTGTACTTGTCTGGTCCTGGGGGGAGAGGGGGCGGCTTAGAAGCAAATAGCAGCACCCAGCTGCCGGAACTGTGCTACATGTGCTAAGTTTACTGCCTGAAGATCTCCATTTGTGCACTTGCTTCACATCTTATAAAGACTGCTGCTTTCGCTGTCGTCTTTCTAAGACCTTGGGAACTAGCATGGCTTGGCTGTTGATGGGAGACAAATTTCTGTACGATCTGGAGGGAGTCTTGGGGGTTGCTGCTTGAACCATGAGCCTTGCTTGCTCTTCAAAGCCTTGTCTTCGAAGCAAGCTGTATCATGCTCAGCCTGTTCTATTTATTTATGTGGGTGATTTTGTTTTGTTTTTATCTTCAAGGGCAGGCTTGGTCTTTGTTTTCTGGTAGCTCTGCCTTTGTCTCAGGCTGTGTATCAGTGGTTGAAAACCATTGCCATGTAATAAGAATAACTCTAGTTTTGCATTAGAGCCACTTGGATAAGTAACATTTTTTCAATCCAGTGGCTGTTTTGAGAGGACCACATCAAGAGAGGGAAGAGTTATCTTCCCTGCCTGCTGCAACCCTGATAATGATCACACATCCCTTCTGATGCTATCTCCACTTTTTAAATACCCGTGTTAAATGCAAAGATGTGTTAGAGCCACAAGCTAGATGTGATATTTAAGTCTCCAAACTTAGTTTTGCCAACAGCAGCCTGTTCTTTTTCTGCTTAGGAAAACTTGCAGCTCTCCATTCTGTCACTTGTGTCTACAGCAAAAGGAGTTTGCTGTAGACCAGATGTAGGGAACCTTTAGCTCTGCAGATGTTGCTGAATGTCCCATCATCCCCAGCCATTGCCCATGCTTGCCAGGGACTGATAGTTTAGCAACAACGTACAAATTTAATAAATAATAACATATCAAATATCATCTGATGGATGAAAGGTTCCCCACTCCTGCTGTAGAATGTCATCATGACATTCAATGTCATATGAATCAAGTCAAACAAGCCCTAGCAGGAAACTTGGAAAAGGAAAACCACCATATTTCATGACTCATCTGGTTTTAATATGTAGAAATTAGATTCTGCTCTCTGTGTAACTCCCAGATGAGCTATGATTAACTATGTTATAGGAACTTGTTTAATGTATTGAATGGTACCTTTTGAATTTGGATTCTTTCCCCCTGCTTGCACAATGTAGCAGTGCGTTCCTTGCAGAAACTTAAAATTATTAATAAATATTTCCTGCAAACTTAAACAGTGTACGCAATAGTATTCATTTCAGAGTTGCACATATTTTCTGATTGCAGACCACCACATGCGTTGCATTTTCCGCTGCATTATAGAAGAGAAGGCACTTCTTAAGACCCTAATGTACCTTGTTTTTCAGAAGCGTAATGCAGTGTTATCACATGAAAATGCATTGGCTGGGTGTTTTTACACTGCATACTTGCATCCTTGGTATCTTAAGAAAGTGTGGCAGCTGCCACAGGAGTTTAGGCAGCCAAGGGGAGCAGCAGCAGCAGCGGGAAATGCAGGGAAGGGGAAACAGGTCAGGGCTGCTAAGGAACAGCAGATCATATGTGGCCCACAGTACCTTAAAGAAGGGATGGGGAACCTGTGGTCCTCTGAATGCTGTTGAACTACAACTCCCATCAGCCCCAGGCAGTGTGGGCATGGATGGTGGGGGTTATAGTCCAGCTGCATCTTCATGACCACATGTTCCTCCCTCCCTCTTTGGAAACCTGCAATAATAATACAGAAATGTGCTTTTGAGAACATTGGCTTATACATCTTGCAATGGAATTCATGGTACCTCAAATGATAATAAGAATAAAGGCCCTTAGATGCATTTTGCCATTTACAGTTTGCATCTCTAATTCTAGCTGCCTGACGGTTCAGAGATTCCTTTGCCTCCAATCATTCTGGGCACACTTGGCTCAGATCCTCGCAAGAAGACAGTTTGCATCTACGGACACCTGGATGTACAACCTGCAGCACTAGACGATGGCTGGGACAGCGAACCTTTCACCTTGGTGGAAAGAGACGGTAAGGCATGCAAACACCTGCAAAGATAAAATGCCTGTCAAGCTAGACATTACTCTAAAAAAGAGTAGCAGGAATTCCAACCACAGTTAAATGCAGATAATGGTGAAAAATACAATAATGGTGCAATGGACCTGCTCTCCACCCACCCACCCATCCAAAGAAAAACCCCAGTAAAGACTGAGAATGCTCAGTAGCCAGGAAATATTCAATTTTGTTCGTTATAGTAATAAGTAGGCTTGTGGTTGTTGATTTAAAGGCTAATGACTAAGCTAATTCCCGCCTTCACAAACTGACACTATGGTAACAATAGCTTCCTTGCAGCTCTCCATCCAAGGTTCCTTCAGTGACCATTTCCTTGTATGGGACATTTCCCTGGTGGTACAAATGTGTCACTTGGTCTGGCCCAATTCTTATTTTGGGGTTCCCTTATTGATTTGTGGCAGCTGTTGCCATTGCGCAGAGATAACATTTTGCCCCAGAGAATGATGATGCAGCTTGAAGTGGAGTGTTTCCCAATGATGAAAATGCATGATTTGGACTATCACTATTCACATTTTTTGGTGTAGGGTCAAATAAACTTAGGTTGTTCACAGAGCTCTTTATTGAATAAGGAACTGGGAACCTGAAACTTCAGAATCATAAAAAAAATGTATAAGACTATGATAACTAAGGACTCCAGATATTTTCCAACTACTGAGGGTTTAGATCTTGCCCTCAGTAGTACCAATTTGCTACTAATTTTGGTCCTGGCTCATGTACTAGAAATAATTTTCTGCTCCAATCTGCTTTTGTTTTGCTGGAGTTTTTTATTATTATTATTATTCATAATAATAAATAATTTTATTACTTTATAATGGTATGCTGTTTTGGAAGGAACTGCATGGCCTGTGAATGGTTTTAATTAAGAGTATTGTCTCTCCTTCTGCCTAGGAAAGCTGTATGGCCGAGGGTCGACAGATGATAAAGGCCCAGTGCTTGCCTGGCTGAATGCCCTGGAGGCTTATCAACAAACTAAACAGGTATGGTTTGAATTCTCTTTCAGCTTGCTTCGCTAGTAAAAGATTAAATTTTTGACCTTCACTGTTTTAAACTACTGCAGTTATCAGTAAAGATAACGATTAAACCTGCTGGATACAGAATTAGTCCAAGAGCCATGGTTTGTTATCTGCTGAATGGCAAGTTTTTTGACTCTCTGGAAGTATTTGCTTGGCTTCCCCCCAGCTTGTTCTGCTCTCCAAGGCTGCAACAAGGCAACACTAGGCAGGCTATGTTTTAGGTTTGCTCCTTTTACCCCTTTCTTAGTCTTCATTGTTGTCATTACCTATCTAGTTCTGAAAATTTCCTAGGCACTATACAAAGATGAAAAAATGAGAGTGACCTTGTTCTCAGGTTTACAAGTATTGGAAGGGAAGATGGAAATCAAACAGATATGAATACCCAAGACTTTTAGTTGCATCATGGCTGAGTGGACTGGCCATGGAGGAGGAGCCAAACAACAATTGGTCTCAGTGAAGATGGTGGAAGGGGTTGTGCTTCCTCTCCCCCCTGCTCAGCTGCAGCCAGGTGGAATGACTGCAATTGCCACATAGCACTAGATTGCTGAAGTTCAGCACCAGGAGCTGCTCTGGTCCCAAGCCTGAGCTCCTGCTCAATGTTCTGTTCTATAGAATTGTAGGGTTGGAAGGGTCCCCGAGGGCTATCTAGTCCAACCCACTGTAATAGAGCAATCTTTTGCCCAATGTGGGACTCAAACCCACAACCCTGAGATTAAGAGTCTCGTGCTCTACCAACTGAGCTACCCTAGCTTTTGCCAACCTGCTGCCCTCCCGATGGGTTTGGAGCGCTATTGCCATCAGCCCCAGCCAGCCACCAAAGTTGGTGAATGCTATTGTACTGGATAAGTGAGAAGAGCGAGTTAGGGTTGGCAGTGGGGAGTGACTCCCACAGCACATGTCCTCTGAAACACACAAGCACTGCCCGTTCTGTTAGTTGTTTAAGGCTGGAGGAAGGTGAGGCTGTTCTAGTCCTGAGTAATTTACCACTAGGGGCATTTGCTATTCATAACAGAAGAGCGGTAATTTACGGGCTGATTTGCTCAAGGACTGGTACAGACATTATGTCCTCTAATCCAGGGGTGGGGGAAACCAGTTTCAGCCAGAGGAATGCATAACCTTCTGGGGGCTCCATGCTGCCATGTGGAGCAGAGATAAAAGTGAGTGAAGCAACCAATTTTATCTTTATACAGTGGCCTAATTTCTACACCCCCCACCCCTCTGTATCCTCCATCAGGCAAGCAAGCAGCATTATCAGAATTCAAGGACACATTCTAGGCAGGCAAAAACTCTCAAGGCCAGTGAGGAGTGTGGCTAGGGAAGAGATATGGCCTAAAGCAGGGATCGACAAACTATGGACCCTGGGCTGGATCAGGCCCACCTGGGTCCTAAATCCGGCCCATGCCGTGAAGCCAGAACCCACCATGAAGCCAAGACTCCCAGCGATGGCAATGGGAGGAAGAAGCCGAGCAGTGGCAGCTCTACCAATCAAATACCGCACCTGGTTTACCTCAGTGCTGCACAGGGACGTCTCTGCCAATCAAACGCTGCACTTGGTTTACCTCAGAGGCGTTTGATTGGCAGAGACGTCCCCACGCAGCACTGAGGTAAACCAGGTGCAATGTTTGATTGGCAGAGCTGCCACCGCTTGGCCTCTTCCTCCTGCTGCCGCCCCCGCCCTGGTGCTCCTGTGGGCCAGTGAGCGGAGCGGACGAGCTCGCTCTGCCTACCCCCGCTTCACAAGAAGCAGCGGTGGTGGCAGCAGCAGCCCCTGGGAAGGTAAGTGCAGCACCTTCTTTCTCTAGACGGGGAGGAAGCCTGTGTCAGTCACCCCCACCAGCCCTTACGCGAATAAGGCAGGCAGCAAACCGAGAAGGTGGCTAGGGCTGGGGGTTAGGCAGGGAGGAGGACTACTTGCCCCCCTCGCAGTGTGCATAGGAATTCGTTGTTTTAGAATCTGGCCCTCCACAAGGTCTGAGGGACAGTGGACTGGCCCCCTGCGGAAAAAGTTTGCTGACCCCTGGCCTAAAGTGTATCCAGAGGACCAGATAGAGAGGCACAGAGGGCTGCATCTGGCAAAGGTTCTCCACTCCTATTCTAATCCACAGGTTTGGAACCACCCAAATCAGTCAAGGGCCGCTTTGATGTGGGCTAATATAAGACGGCCACATCAGTACATCAAGCAACAAAAAATGTTGCAAACAAAACTTTTGTCTTGATGGAAATAGTAATGTTCACCCCAATCTGGATCAGAACCATAGGAGAGGGGCTAAAGGGTTCAAGTCCTCCTTATCACCCATCCTGTACCAAACCTGCCATCTACTCTTAATAAGTTCACAGAGTTTCCAAGGTGTGGTGTCTGGCCCCTACATGATTTGCAGTTCTCATTTCCAGTTGTTAAACAATAGCAACAACCTCCACCCCATACATCCCAAATTATGCTGCTACAAGTTTGGAGGGAAGGGAAACCAGGAATGGAGTTTTGTGTGAAGGGACTGTAAGCTTAATTCTGGTACTGAAAACAGATTCCTGGACTCTGGTGTACTTGTGGATGACCTATCCTATCTGCCTTTCTTTCTGAGCCACTATTTTGCACTTTGCTCCAGCTGATGGATCTTGGGGTACTAGAAAAAAATAAATGGAAATACCTCAAGTTTGTGAAATGCTATTCCCCAGGAGGCTTGCCTGGTGAAAAGTTTTCTCTTCAACCAGGTGTTTGACTGATTAAAACCTGCTGCAAGCTTAAATTGTGAAAAACACTGTGCACACCCTCTTCAGCTCATTCTGTTCCATTTTCTCCATACAGGAAATTCCGGTTAATGTCAAGTTCTGCCTAGAAGGTATGGAGGAGTCTGGCTCTGAAGGCCTTGATGATTTGATTTTTGCACAGAAAGATGCCTTCTTCAAAGGTGTAGACTATGTTTGCATCTCTGACAACTACTGGCTGGGCAAGAAGAAGCCCTGTATCACCTATGGCCTGAGGGGCATCTGCTATTACTTCATAGAGGTAAAGATTAAAAGAACAAATATTCCTGTTAAAGAAGACAAGTATACTTTATGAGTTGTATTCAACTCATTACTCAGAACAGACCAGTTGAAATTCCAGGACCTAACTTAGTTATGCTCATTAATTTCAACAGATCTACTCGTGAGAAAAACATACTTGGACTAAGATACTAATTTTAATTGTTGAAGAGTCGACATCTGTGTGGTTGACTTGTTTGAACAGAAGTATGCAGAACACCAAATTTTGCGTAGTTTTAGAAAATGCGATAGCACTTGGCTTATGAATATTATATACAATTATAAGTGTGCATCTGTAACACAGTAATAATGGCATTCTAGTGCCTATCAAACACTATAGGTGGAATTCAATGTCACACTTTGACAAACATAGCATCTGTACAAGCATTTCAGCTTGTCAGATGGAATGATCCTCTGTCTCCTCCCCCATGTACTGTTCTTGGGGTTCTCCTGATGCTCCCGCCCCCGCTACTTTCCATGGGAAGAGGGGGGGGAAAGCCCCAGTGAACTTTTGGGATGCAATTAACAGTCATTATTCAAAGGCTGTTGTACAGGCTGAACAAACCAGGTAGAGCCTTGCAAAAACTCTTTGTTGGGCAAAAACGTGGACCTGGTAACCATCACTGTAGGTCCAACTTTGAAAGGCATGCCAGCCACCTATCATTAATGTACCTTAAGAGCAGATAAACTGGATAAGAGGACAAATGTATTTATATTTATTCTAAATTTGTTTTCTGTTGCATGCAAAAAGAGAAATGAAAAATAAAATCCTTGAGCAGAAATGTGGTTCATTCCTGTCACAGCAAAAGTGCTTTTAGTGGCTTGGTTCCTTCGGACAATTCTTTCATCTTTGCATAAATATAGAACCAACAGTGCAATATTTTAGTCGATTTCAATTTTAAGCATAAGCAGAATACTGAAAATGAGTAGATTTTTTAAAAAAAAGATTATCTGAAACAAAAGTTCCAAGCAGCCTATCTCTTACCTGGTCCCAATGGTATAATAAGCTGGTGGCTACCAGGTAATTCTGAAAGATGGAAATAATGACGTGCATGTGATTGTTAATGGATTGTGTTTGAGGTTTGTTTGTTTCTGACATACAGGTGGAATGCAGTGACAAAGACCTTCACTCTGGAGTTTATGGCGGCTCAGTGCATGAGGCTATGACGGACCTCATTGCTTTGATGAGTAAGTAGCCCATACCTCCTAGTTCTGTTCTTAGAAATGGGAATCTTCTAGCAACTGCAGAAGAAATAGCAATGTGCTTGCAGTTCAAAGGCCTTCTCACTGGGGAAAAAATAAAAGCAACACCCCCACCCCTGCCAAGTTAGGGTTTATGATAATAGCAAGGTTAACAATTGATGGACTAGCCAGAGTGTTAATGAGGGCAAAGATCCGTTTGTGGGGCAAAGGTATACATAAATAATCTGAGTGTAAATGTTATCTACAAGGCACAATCACAAGTTTTTTCTCACCTTTTTGAATACTGCTTTAGTTTATGCTGAAGCATGCAGTTGAGTGTGGACTCTGGTTGCCACTCAAATCTTGCACAAGGCAGACAGCATTTAATAAGAAATCTGGTTTGTATGTGTTAAAAATGGTTAGGTGGGTGGACAGATGACCTAATTTATATTGTAAACCACTCTGTGATCTTTAGGTGAAGGGCAGTATAGAAGTAGTAGTAGTAGTAGTTATGGCTTGGCAAGACTTTCCCCCCTCCTGTAGGTTCCTGCCAATAAGTTGCGGCCCTTCTCTCTGTGCCCCCACCCCCAATCTGACATCTGAAGGGCAGCCATGAGACAGCCCAATGTGTTGTTCAATTGAGCTCCAGGCGAATACTTTTTCTGTTCTCTCAAGTCTCATAAGATCGTGTGACATGGTAAATGGAATCGATTAATAAATGGAAGTTGCTGATACTTTCTCTCTCCCCCTCCTGCCCTCCCTGAGTGGTAAGAGTGTTGGACTGGAAGCAACTTTGGGGCAGCAAATCAGATGTGAGCCGGCCCATTTTACAGCACAATCTCATACTGCTGAGATGATCACATTCCCTGTTTAGAGTTCTTAATCCAAGTGGGTTGAGTGATTCAGCTGGATTGAATAGGCAAGCATTTTGCTTCCGTACCAAAGGATGTGTTGGCTCATAGTGAATCCTTGCTGCCTCTGACTGTATGCTAAAATAGTTATGAACTGCTTCTGTTTGAAACAAATCATACTTCAACTGCACCACTGCAGCTTGTGATTGTTGCTGGTTCATCAAACAAGGGTTGTGGTACGCAGTCACATGGACAGTTCAGTGCCTTGGTGCCTATCCACTCATCCAGCACTTTGGCCACATCAACTGGTCTCTCATCTTTACTTGAAGGAAGGCCTGGGAATAATGATTTGGCTGACGGTTGTTCCAAATTTTCCTTGGCTCAGTAAATAAATAGAGTTTGCTGCTTTTGCAGTGGATGAACAAGGGCAAGCTCTGAAATCAGTCTTCACTCAGGAGATCTTATGCAAGTAAGGAGGGCCTTTGGACATCACCAGCAGTAATAAAATCTAAAGTCCTAGAAATTAATTACTAGAAATAGGTGGCTGGCTAACATCACTCAAGACATCTGTAAGAATTGACTGCATAAGTCATGAGCAAGCAGCTATAGCAAAACACTTGGGGCTTGTTTTCTGTTTGTGTTTCTGACTTTTGCATTGGGAAAGGTGAATCCACATTGCAGTTATCATATTTATGCTCTAATTCAAGCTTAAAGGTGAATTAGAACTTTTAAAAATGAGGTTCCTTAAAATAAAGGGAAATATTTGAGGCCTTTCATTGTTTTATGCAAAACGAACGACTGCTTCAGTCTCTGAATTTATCAGCCAAGTGAGTCAGCAGAAATGTCCTAAAAATCGGAGGTGGGAGCACAGCGGAGTGCTCAGATGACTATCGCCACGGTGTTCAGTCTGGGCTTGACCAAAACAACCACTCTGTGAATTGGCTGTAAGGCAGATAGCTTAGCTGGTGGTGCTGAAAGCCAACGAAAATATCAGCACTGAAGACTTCTCAGTTTATTTGTTTGATTTAAAGTTGCTGAGGATGTCAAAACCACTTGGAAAACAGGATGCTGGCTGTGCTCCCTCTGTCACAGGGATTGAGGAATTTGTGGCTCTCCGGAAGGTGTTGGGATTTCAGCTTCCGTCAGCCTGAGCCAGCATGGCCAACAGTCAGATATGATGGGATCCATCAATATCTGGATGGATCATGTTTCCCATCTTAGTCCTATCAGCCCTCGGTGATCAGGTGCCTATTGTACTTTCCATGAACTCCCCAGGCTGCTATTTCACTTCAATTTATGTGACATGGAAGCAAGAGGTTTATGAATATCAGCAAGCAATATTTGAAGATTTTTGGTTTCTCTGGCTGCCTTTGGTATTATATGTCTTCTTTGTTGCAGGCTGCTTGGTGGATAAAAAAGGGAAGATTCTCATCCCTGGCATAAATGATGCAGTGGCTCCCCTCACTGACGAAGAGTGTAAACTTTATGACCAAATTGACTTTGATATGGAGGAATATGCAAAAGATGTAGGAGCCACACGACTACTGCATGCAACAAAGGTATGATGGGTCTCTTCATCTTTGGGATCCAGTTCCTCTAGCAATGAAGAATCAGTGTTGTTACATATTTTCCCCCATAACACTTCCCTGCCCCAGCAATATAAGATTTTAGGGATGGCTTGAAGACAACAACCTATGCTACAGTGACCTCCTAACTGGACTACTGCAACCTTTTCTGTGGTGCCTCCTCCCCATCTGTGCAACTCACTCCCTATGGGAGGAATTTGTCTCCTTCATTGAAGGTCTTTAAAATTGTGGTGGGGAAACTTTTTGGCCTGGTGGGCCAGATCACCATCTGTGCCCACTCCCTCAGGCCAACTCTCCAATTCTATAATTCTTTATATGCCATTTAGTGGACAGTAGTTGCCATGTTGGTCCTAAAAAATAGAAGGTACATAATGACTATCATTTTAGATTAGCATAGAAAGGTGAAAGAGTGTGTAAGCTTCCAAACGCAATGGTTTACACATTCTTCTTCTATTCAAATTGGCCCTGTAAGTTGATAGTTTTTTTTTACTTAATTCTGGCTCTAGACTGAATACTCACAACTGCTTCCAGAATCCTATCATATCTCTTCTTCAATTCCCTTTCTAGAAAGATATATTGATGCACAGGTGGCGATACCCATCCTTGTCACTGCATGGAATCGAAGGAGCTTTCTCTGGATCGGGAGCTAAAACTGTGATTCCGCGGAAAGTGATTGGCAAATTTTCAATCAGACTGGTGCCAGACATGACTCCAGAAGTTGTGACTGAGCAGGTATGTTTGTGTGTGCGTGTGTGTGTGTGTGATAATCCAGGTCCAAGGCCAGCCTGAGATGAATCTCACCATGGGTGGTACTCAGCCAGGTTTAACTCAAGAGTAGACCCATTGAAATTAATGCACATAGTCCCATTAGTTTCTGTAGGACTACTCTTGAGTAAAATTAGTTGTCTTAAATAGAAGACGATGGGATGGAAAGCAGAAAGAACAGGATGAAATTCAAAGACTGTTTGTTAAGATAACTTAATTGGAAAAAATTGCAAATATCAGATAGGCTTAGGATTTAAATATGTATTGTTAGAGAATAACATGTTTACAATTAAAATGAAAAGAAGGAAAGATGTTAAGTGTTTAATTTTATGAGAAAATTGGTTTTGGAAAACTGTTACAATGATATACACTGAAATTCAGCCAGGGGGATTTGAGGAAGTCACTTAACAATGTTACTATGATTGGATTAAGTACAATTAAGATGTATGTATGTTTGTTTGTTTGAAAATTTTGGAAAACCAATAAAAACTTTTTTGGGAAAAAAGGAAAGCAGAAAGAACAGGTTGCATCCAGTGAAGTTCTACTTTGAGTTGACCCCTTGAAATGAATGGATGAATGCTAGTCGTGCCCACTTATTTCAAGGGGTCTTCTCTGAATATAATTAACATTTGATGCATCTCTGCTGTGGGGAGGGGGAGGGAAGCAGAAACATGTACCTCTGTATAGGACAAAAAGTAAACACGGGTCCCCTGAGTTTAGTGTCCCTCCTCGCTTTATACTCATTCCTATATTTGTCCATCTTCTCCAGGACTGTCTGCTCTGACTGGCAGTAATGGACCTTAGATGGACACAGTGTTTTGTCTTCATGCTAGAAAGGCCCTCATTTTCACAGAGCTCCAGTATTTATAAGCTGCAGCTCTCAAACTTCTTGGTAGTAATGGTGCTGAAATTAATTGTGCTGTTTATTCCTTGATATGGAAAATACTAATTATGCACATTAGACAAACAGTTATTAATTGGAGCACTATTCTAGCAGCTAGAGCAGCTGTTAAATTTATAATTGGACAGATGCAGAGGTCCTTTTCTGTGACAGGGAAAGGCACTCCCTCATGGGTTAAGTGGTTTTTGTAGGGTTGGAGTTTTTTTAATAAAAAATCTCCCTTCACATCCATCAGCCCCATCCACAAATTTATTCAGGTGAATCGCTTGTTTTCTGTGTAGCTAGGCATTTTGTGGATTTTATGCTAGGATAGTGTGAGACAGATGCATAATTGGGATATAAAATATTTGTGCCTACGCAATTCCTATTTTGTCCCTGCTCTGAAAGTGGGCGAACTGCATAAAGGTGATGCTTAGCATTTCAGATGTAGTTTCAAAACTTGCTTTCCTGACTGCAAGTGAATTCATGCATAAAGAACTGAGCACCAATGCAATTGCTCCACTCTTCTTAGAAGTCTTAAGGTTTATTCTTTTTTTTTTAAAGGTCAAAGATTACTTGTCCAAAAAGTTCGCTGATCTGCACAGCCCCAACAAATTCAAAGTGTACTTGGGCCATGGTGGAAAGCCTTGGGTTTCAGATTTCAACCATCCCCACTACATGGCTGGAAGAAGAGCTATGAAAACAGGTGAGATACTGAAATCTTAATCAAAATGGCCCAATCAGAAAGAGACCGATCCCATTGGAATGTAGCAGAGAGATTAAAATGGGTTTCTTGTGTTATGAAAAGCAACCTTTTATCAGTTTTGTAATGCCCTGCTTAGCTGTAATGCTGTTGTGATTCATTATTGCTTTGTCCCAGGGGCAAGCATTCTTCTCTTGGTGCTTGTACACATTCATAGAAAAGTACTTGAGGGATATTAATCAGAAGAGAGAGAATTTGACTGAGGGGTGATTTGTTAAGCTGGGATCCCATCATTCATGCTAGCTTGCAAGTGATGCAACCTGCAGCCCGACAAGATCTGGATGGCATTTTGTTGACTACCCATTTGTTAAGTTTTCACTTAAAGATGAAAAATTGTCAGTGTTGTACACTGTATTTTCACTTCTCTCCCCTGCTAGTCTTTGGCGTAGAGCCAGATTTGACCAGAGAGGGAGGAAGCATTCCTGTCACCCTGACCTTCCAAGAAGCAACAGGCAAGAATGTAATGCTGCTTCCTGTTGGCTCTGCAGACGATGGAGCCCATTCTCAGAATGAGAAACTCAACAGGTAAGGCATATTGTGCATAAGAGAGGCAGCTACTTATGTTTCTATAGGTGCACCTGTCTAGACCTAAGAAAGGTAACTCAGGACTGTAAGTACCTGTGATCCTCTAGGTTGACACAAATACATACTGTATTTCTGTGTCCTGCATTTTTTGCAGTGGTGTTGGTGAATTTTCATTGCATCCATTAATCCTAGATTTCTTCTTCCTAGGTACAACTATATTCAAGGTGTCAAACTCTTGGGTGCATACCTTCATGAAGTTTCCCAGTTGAAGGACTGAATCTATATTTCCTCAAGCAAAGTTGCTTTGGGACGTGAGAGTTACTTCCTTGCAACTTTTTAAAAAGTGCACTATTTTCGTCTCCTCTTCTCCTGCCAGACTAATTCATACTGAGATGCCTGGTGAAATATTTTTGACTCCATATCGAGCACTTTATAGCGGCAGATCAACAAACGACAAAAATAGTGTGCTCAGTTTTAAGTACAACTGCAGGATTATAAGGCCCTAATCTACTTATGTACTGTTTCAAACGGAAGATAAAGGGTGGGGGAGGAAGGAAGTCTATTATTTTTCCATAATCTGATGTGTCAAAGTAGCAGCGAATGACCAGTAATGCTTCTCCCAACCTCTCTCACTTCTACATCCTCCTATAATCATCATTTTCTCTTTAAATTTATCACATTAAATTTTACCAAACCAGAATTTGAGGGCAGCTCCCAGATTTTTTTTACAAGGCAAAACCCCTTGTGTTTTTTGTTTAGAAAAAGAAATAAAGTCATCATGAAAAGTTTTCAAATGGTCTGGCGGGGGGCAGGGACTTCAGTGGGTGGCAAATGAGATGTCCATCCCCTCCCCACTCTGATACTCCTGGCTGTGAGGTTGTGTCTCGTCAGACACCTGTGCCTGTTAGGAATCTCTGCAGACCTTGAAGACATCATATATTCTGAGCTATTAATAACAACAAACTGGTAGTTTTTCTAAAGCATTATTTGTACTCCATGTGGAAAGCTGCTAAATAAAAAAATAGCTCTGGCGCTACTAATTCTGTGGTAGCCTTGTTAAAAGGGAGAAAGCTTAAGGAGATCAGTGCATCAGAAAGGCAAGACTGCACATCTTCATGGGTGTGTGCATATATTTGTGATGAGAGAGGAGTTTCGTGTGAATGTCATAAGCCATGGTTTATCATGTTTGGAACAGGCTACCATGAACTTTTTGACCATGCACTCCTTCCTTTTACAACATGGATCTGAGGCAGAGATTCAAAGCTTTTTCTTTTTGATGAACTGCAGTTTAGCGTTATGCCAAAACAATAAACTGTGGTTAACTTTAATAGTAATCTGTGGAAACATGCTAGCTTCACAGCCCATGGTTTAAAGCTGGCTTGTTTCAGCTGTTTGAAGGTAATGTGGGATACAGCCCACTGGTGTAGTAGGTAAGAAGGCAAAAATAAGTACGTTCTTACGTAAAAAGATCCTTTTGTCAAAATGTTACGTGAATATTTGTTTCTTGAAAACTGTGGAAGGTAAGAGATCAAAGGTACAAAGTTTGGCTAATTTTATTACTCTGCTTCCTAAATGCAACGAAACTAAAGAATCCCATTAAATATTATACTAGCTCTAAAGTCACTAATCCCCAGATCAGGAACTTGATTTGCCCCACCCCAGACCCTACCTATTGTTGGCAGCAGTGGCAAAAAGAAAGGAAGATGATGTGGATATAGCCCTGACCTGGGCAAAGATCAGGGGATACGAATGGACCTTTCCTTGCACAGATCAGCTGACAGTGGGGTTTTGTGTGTGTCTGGTGGCTGCACACATTTTTGGCCACACATGCAGGTGGCATGCATTCCCTGCAGCCTTAAGGCCCCAAAGTTGACCCAAACATGTGGGTTGATCATATGCATTGATAGTGTTGGATCTGGGCTATTGATGCATATGCCCGAGTCATCTGAACATCCAACAGCTTCAAGAACTGTTTAGTGGTTTCCACCCGCTTAACTACTGAACAAGACACTTAAGTATTTTAATTATTATACGTATACGAGCACATGCTGGGGGCATATCAGGTATGTGTTGGATGAATATTTGACTCTGGGAGTGTTTATATGTTACTATGGCTGAGAGCATAAAGGTAAAGGGACCCCTGACCATTAGGTCCAGTCGTGACCGACTCTGGGGTTGCGGCGCTCATCTTGCTTTATTGGCTGAGGGAGCCGGCGTACAGCTTCCGGGTCATGTGGCCAGCATGACTAAGCCACTTCTGGTGAACCAGAGCAGCGCACCGAAACGCCGTTTACCTTCCCGCCGGAGCGGTACCTATTTATCTACTTGCACTTTTATGTGCTTTCAAACTGCTAGGTGGGCAGGAGCTGGGACCAAGCAACGAGAGCTCACCCCGTCCCAGGGATTTGAACTGCCGACCTTCTGATCAGCAAGTCCTAGGCTCTGTGGTTTAACCCACAGCGCCACCCGCGTCCCACGGCTGAGAGCATATAAGGGCCCTTTAGTATAAGAGTAGATGTGCAAAAAAAATTAGCCTTGCTTATTTGTTACTTGTCATCCCAGCTCTTCAGTCATAAGTCTCCCAGCATGGCTTACAGCTTATTAACAAAAATCAGAAATAATTGAACAGCAGCTACATAATGTCACAGTAAGACACAGAATTTCAGCAATCAACGGAGATGAAAACCATGAAAAAGCCTGAGTGACTTAACAAGGGCTTCACTTTGTGCTAGAAAGACATCAAGGTCTGTCTCATGCAAGATTTCCTAGTGGGGAGAGCATTCCACATTTGTGGTACCACAAAATAGAAGGCATGTTCCTTGGCCGTTACCCACCTCACTTCAGGTAGGGAAGGGGGTCCCCCCAAAGCCCTCCACTGAACATCTTGGGCCAACTCATGTGGAGAAAGCCCTCCAGGCACGAGATTTCTAAGATGTATAGGCATTTAAAGATGAGAAGCAATATCTTGAATTGTATACTGGTAGGTGCTGCAGTTGTTTCAAGACAAGCAAGAAGCATTCTGTTCAAGCAGTCCTAAGGCTGAATTCGTAATCATACCATATTTTGGGCAGCCTTTGAGAGCTGACCTGTGCACAAGCAGTCAAGAATGTTACCGGAGCATATCCATAATTGAATTAGCTCTACGTCAGCAGGGTTGCATTTCAGCTGGTGCTCTAACCCAAGTTAGTGTAACGTGCCTCAAGCCGCTGAATTGACTTTGGTTGCCAAAGGCACTGTTGAAGTGAATCTGAAGGGCTCTCCAGACGTTGCTGGACTACAAATTCCATCATCCTTGACCTCTGGCCATGTTCGCTGGCTTTGAAGGAAGCTGGAGTATAACGACATAGGGGAAGCCACAAGCTCCCCACCTCTGAAGGGTAAAATGCTTCATATTCAGGAATGCATGTGCAAAGTGCAGTAGCAGTGTGTGAGTGGGCAGAGTGGCATGGATAAGTCAATGGGGAGTCTCTGGACCCCTACATCTTGGACCCTCATCCTTGATGCCTATTCACACAATCCCTACTTTGGCAAATGGCAGTGTTGCCATCAGAGGGCACTCCTATCCCTGTTGTACCTTGCCGGCTGCTACTGGCAGGGTACAACGTCCATGTGGCTTCAATTATGGCTTCATGGCACACATTGGGTCACCAAGCTTCTGCGGGTCTTATCTCCTCTAAAGTAAATCTAGTTCAGTTGAATATGACTTACTCCAAAGTAAGCGTGTTTGCAACTGCAGCCTAACCAAGGCTGTCCTTTTATGGGGGATGTATGAGTGGAAATGTTTGCTGGCTATCAAGAAAAAATGCTGTATCTGCTCCACAGTTACTTTCAATCTATGAGCTGAATACATGCGATTAAAATGTAATGAATTTGTGATTTAATGCTTATGGTTTTTTATTTTAAAAAGGTGGTGTGGTTTTTCAGCAGAGGCCAGGGATTCTTTAGTTGTGATTCCTGCATTGCAGGGGGTTGGCCCAGATGACTCTTGAGATCGTGTCCAGCTCCACGGTTCTGTGACAGGAATTGTTTTTTAACCGGACTAAAACACTTGCTCACTAATAAAATTATGCTGGGAATCTAAACCATTTGTCAACCAACATATAAAATGTATATTGAGAGAGATTAACGAGAGAGATTCTCAGCAGCTAGCCTGATTGTGCTGTTATGTATTACCATGTTGAACTGTGAACCTTGGAATACCAAGGTGAGTTTTCCAGATTGCTTCAGTATTGGTTTCAGTGATCTTTCTGCAGTGAATTTTTGTTGCAAAAGCTGCTTAAAGTGTTTGCCAGAGGCATATGATGCCGGTGCATTAGTGCTTTCTATTTGATCTGTTGTTGTTTTTCCTGGAGACCACTCTTCATTCCCATAATCTTCTACCCTCAAAGACTGAAACTGAATGTGAAATTGTTTCTTATAATTGTTAACATTGCTTTATATCAATTCTTGAATGCACTTCAAGTGTCCATGTCCCAATAAGGCTTCTGTATCAAAATTATGGCCAAGTCAAAGAAAACACTCAACTTTTGGGAGGCTGAATGGGTCCCCACCCTCTTGCAGGTGTATTTACATAGAACAAACAAGAGATGGCCTTAAAAACAGGCAGGGGTTGGAGAACAGGAACGAGAGACGCAATTTTTTAGGAACATTTATTTTGAAGCTTGACGATAGAATGTTGGCCCCTTTCCTTATAAAACAAGGGAGTGTGTCCAGTTGCCTTTGTTGACATGTCCTTTGTCCTGCTCCCACATGGAGCTAAGAATGTTTTTTTTAAAAATCAACAAATAAAAAGACAGGGTAGGATTGGTTTCATAAGAAAGCTAGCAGTAACCTGAAAGAAGATCCGCAGTCAGGACAGGAGATTGAAATAGTATTGCTTTGTATGCTGAACCGCCAAGCGGCTTCTTTGCTGTCAGAACTCCTCATCATGGTATGTCTTCTTTAATCTCCATACCTGGGGTTTGGATATAGAACAGGGATGGGAAATATGTGGCCCTGCAGAAGTTACTGGATTCCTTCTCCCATCAGCCTCAGCCAGCATGACCACAGATCAAGGATGATGGGAGTTGTAGTCTGACAACATCCAGAAGGACACAGTTTCCTCATTACTAGTGTAGAACATCTGGATGCGAAATTTAAAATATGCACCTTGTATGCTATCAAAGGAGTCCATCCTCTCTGTCTCTCTCTCTGTCTCTCTCTCTCCCGCACGTATCATCCTGGATGTATTTTTGTGAAAGTGTACCAGAACTAGATTAGTAATTAGTTGAAGTGTAATAATAGTTGAGCCTCACTTTCTTGGGCAACTTCCTATCGAGTTTGAAGGAAAGTGCTGTCTAAGTATTTATATATTTATATTATTGCTTATAGCAGTACCTTTTCATGGGCCACATGGCTCTGTGAATGCTGATGTTAACTGAAAGCAAAGTATTAATCACTCTTAAGTGAGCAGAGTGATTATTTTGCTCAGCAAAATACTCAGCATATTTTGATTTGTACAACCTTTTGGTGTTACTTGAGTAATTAAAATACGGAGGGAGGGGCACACATCTGATCCAGCTCTTGTTATATACAGCAAGCAATGGCCTCAGGCAGAGAAGTGTGTCCCCGTGTGCACCAAACATGACATAAGGTCAAGTCAATGAGGTCTGGATAAGCATTGCGATGCAGATGTGCAACATGCATGTGTGAGTGCCTCTTACATGGGGGTCTCTCACTGGGCTGGGATAATTTAAGGTGCCTACCCCCCTGTCAATATTTTACAGGAGAGATTCATGTGCATACTAGAGCTTTAGGGTGGTGTATTTAAACGGGGTTAAGTGATCTGTTGCCCTAGTGCAACAAATCCACTTCTTTTCTCTTTGAAAAATGACGTTTGTGGTTTGGAAAGTGACTGAGAAATGCACTGAAAATATGGGATGAACAAATGATTAATGAAATGACTTGAAGACTTATTGCTACTACTGAATCTTTACTGGGTTCTCAATGATTTTCCAGTGCTGGCTTTTAATCAGTGTTCACACATTATCCAAAACACAGTGTGGACTTTGGGTTTCAAATTTCAGTGGTGTCCTGTATGACACCAGAATTTGGTGCCCACCTTCCATTTTTCAATTGGTGTAGCACCCTTTGCAGCACCTTCTTGGCTCTGTCGCCAATACGGGTGAATCTGTCACACTCCTCCAATACAGATGTGTCCTGCTTCTCTTGATGTTTCTCATGCCTGAGTCATTGGATACCTACTGCCAGCTAGAGCAAGAGTTCCCCAAATGTGGCCTTCGGACCAAAAGCTTTGGCGATGTGACCTATGGAATTGTGAAGACCACGTGAAATATTCTTATTTGATCACATTAAATATTCTTATGTTGTCTTTTATTGTATTGCCATTTAAATTCCAATTTTATTTTTTCCCCGGGAGGTGGGGGCAGCATGGGAATCGCTGTTAGGGTAAACAGTGCTGAGCTGGGTGGCCCAGATAGTCTGAGGCTGCTTCCTGTGTTCGGTTCCTGTCCTTGGCAGCAAAAACAGAAAACAAGTCTATAGAGAAGCTAAGAAAATGCTGCTCCTTCCAAGGCTTAACAGTGTAATCCATTTTCAGGTTAGTCAGGGTGAGGGTGACTACCTCAGGCACCCCAAAACCTACATCTTTGAGCAGTGTGGGGTAGATACTGTATGCAATTGCCCAGGGCCAGATTTAGGTTTGGTGAGGCCCTAAGCTACTGAAGGTAACGGGGCCCTTTATATGTCCAGATGTCCTTTGTCAACAACAAATTGTCACTTTTTTGTGTTGAATATACGATATATGGTAATTTATGGACCTAATAGGTATCTAAAGCCATTTGCACATGTTGCCATGCAACCAGTCCATGCACAATGTAGGCACCCTATATATAGAAATGAGCAAATCAATATTTTAGGGAGCAGGCTAGCAGGTGGGGCCCATTACTTGCACAGTAGGAGCGTACACAACATAAAACACTGTTGCTGTATGAAGGTTTTACTTTATTTGTTTTTTATCTTATATTTTGGAAATGTATATAAAAAAAATTCTTTCAATTTTTTTGGGGGGGCCTAAGCTATAGCTTGTTTAGCTTATATGTAAATCTGGCACTGCACTTGATATGTGTATGTGTCTTCCCGCCCCCCCCCCCCCAGCAGTTGCGGCTGCTCCTCAGTCGGCCAAATTTCTTGGGCGGTCTCTGATACTTCCTCGGAAACCTATGCAGTTCAGTGGAGTTTGCTCCCACGGGGAAGCGGATAAAGCCTCGCAGCCCAGGTTGCCGTCGAGGACAGCCCGTTTCTCAGCCGAAGGCAGCCGCCTTTCCCAAAGCCGTCCCTGCCCGAGGGCTCCCTGGGCTCGGCCTGCCCAGGCACCTGTTCATAAGGCTCTCTGCCCAACCGGACGCCCGCAATGACAGCGGCGCATCTCCCTCAGTCCCGAGCAAGCCCGGCGCTTGCGCGGCCTCCCTTCCCCAACGCGAGGCGGCGGGAGCCAATCGCAAGCGGGGAACAGCCGGGCGCTCCAGGCTTCGGTTTGTGACTGGAGGATCGGTTTCTATTTAAGGCTCCCGCCTCAGTAAGTGCAGCATTCTCTCTCCGGGCAAGTTCCCTCAGAGGCGTCGAGCTGCTTCTCTTTTTTTCTCGCGCAGCAACTCCGTAAATGGTATTAAGGGGAGTCTAAAGCGGCTGCTGCCCACTGTCCAGGTCCGGGCTGCCACGTGCTGTGCTCTTTTCCGTCGGGAGCGTCTTTTGGACTCGCATTTTTGTGCAGCCCACGAAGTCCAAAAGCAGCTGCTCAGAGGGATTGCTTAAGGTGTTCACCCTTTCGCTCCACACAAGGGGCGAGGGCAACCCAGCCAGGTGGCGGTGTATAAATAATAAAATACTTATAAGTATGCTGCTGCTGCTGCTGCTGCTGCTGCTTGACAAGGGAAGAGACTCCAACGAGAGTTGATGGATTCGCCTTCCTTGGATGTTTTTAAGCAGAGGTTGGATGGCCATCTGTCCTGGCTGCTCGCGTTGAGATTACTGCATTTCAGGGGGCTGGGCTAGATGACCCTTGGTGTCCCTTCCAACTGACAAAATGGATTTCAATAGGGGTGAATGTAAGGCTCTGCACTTAGGGAGGAAGAACCAGCTGCACAAATATAAGATGGGGGACACTTGCCTTGCCAGTAGTACATGTGAAAAGGATCTAGGGGTCTTAGTAGACCACAAGCTGAACATGAGCCAAACAGGACTCTCTATTCTCAGGAGAATAATGTAAAAAGGAAAAAAAGCAGGCACTCTAAGATAGTGATCTTCTTACAATTGGAAGTCAAGGGCTTTTTTCTCTAGAGATCAATGGGAGCGTCTTTATCCTTGCACTATGTCCTCATCCAGGAATCAATAGGCTGATAACTGTATAAGCATAATGAATCTGTTCCACTCCTTGCTCTGTATTTGTGCAGAGACTTGCTGTGTCAGAAAAAAATTTAATCCATTTTAACTATCAGGAGACCCCTATCTGGGTACTGACCAGACCCAGGTTTGTGCTGTTTTAGCAAACTTGCTTTGTGATGTACCTTTGGACTCTGTGTGGAACGTGATTATACCTCCTTCCTCCCAGAACCTAGTTCTCAACTCTGGGAGACACATATTAGAAAGACTACAAATGTGTTAACTCAACGCCCTTGTACTATGGATTTTAGTATACTTGATAATTGAAGCTGTACGTTTTTATTTTGAATTGCAGAGAAGCATACTGCTGGAGTAAGAATATGCAAGGCTTTTAGAGTTATAGAATGTTTTGGCTTTTCCTTATAATTTAATCATCTGCCAAAGCTATTTATTGTCTGATATATGAAATATGGTCCTTGAAAGAAATTAAAACATTAGAAGCACTTTTTGAATTTGGTCACCACCACCCCTTTCTTTTGAAAGTGAAATATGAGTTATGAGTATATGTCCTTGAGTAGATGTTTTTACATGCTTTCACCTTTTGGTGAAAATCCATGCTGAAAGACTCACGCACTCATGCTAGAGTGGTAATGGTAGAAATATTAGTAAATCGCCTTCATTTTTACTGTATGTGTTGAAACAGCAGGTGCGGATAACCTTCTTTGGCCCGAGGGCTGCATTGTCTGCTTGTAACTCCTTCAGGGACTGCATGTGGCAAAAAATCAGTCATGGGAACTAAACGCTCTTGCAAATGCACAGGGGAAAACCATTACCCATCACTACCTCAGGGCGAAACCCAGCCCATGAACCAACAATTTGCCCTCCCTGTGTTAAAAGCAGTCCAGATATTCCTCCTCTTCTTTCTTTTCCATTCTGTAACAGTAGCATGTGGATGACAGGCCATACAGTCAACAGTGCATTCAGTCTATCGTGCTGCATGTGCTTGAGGGTGCTCTTTAACATGCTGAACCTTGTCTCTCACCACCTGCAGGTCTTCCATATCTTCCTTGTCATGCTGCTCTCTGGTGTGGGCAGCTCCTCTGTTTTAAATTCCACATCGCTGGAGGACCAGCTTTTCCAGTACATTGACGACCATCAAGAAAAATTTGTTCAGGTAGAAGCAGCGCCAAATGTGAACTCTGCTAGCAAAAAATGTGCCACTCAACCCCACTGTTCCTTACTTGGAAGCAATTCCTTTTGTATAACAAGGTTTACTGCCAGTCGAGTTTGCATAGGATAACAGCGCCAGCTTGAACCACAGAGCAGAGAGTAACCTCCTCTGCCTCTTTTTTTCCAATTGCTCAGCTAGGCAGTTACTTCGTTACCAAGGTGCTTGGTGTTTATAAGCAAGGTATGACAAAAATGTTGTTTTTCCTCTTTCATTTGGCAACACCAAATTATACCAACAGGCAAGGCATAGGTACCCAATGGTACTTTGTTGCACAACACAACAGTTTATAAATAACCCTTCTAGGGGCAAACTAGATGTGGTATTTTGCAACATTTCCCCATTCAAGTATGAAGAAAGCATCATAGAGTTAGAAAGGATCCAGAGGGTCATCTAGTCCAACCCCCTGCAACACAGGAATCTTTTGCCCAGTGCGGGGCTTGAACTCACAACCATGAGAATAAGTCTCATGCTCTACTGACTGAGCTATCCTAAATGAAGTGGGGTTCTATTTTTTTTTTTTAATAACAAAAGGCACATTCATAGGCACATTCACCCCTAGGCTTTACATGCCCACACACTGACATCACAGATACTTTTCTCTTAGTACCCCAGGCAGGGAAGAGAATTTTACAGAGCCACATATATATTTTTTTGTAAACACAGGCTCCCCCACCCCATCTTTTAGACCAGAACGTAGCAGAGATGTAACTAAACAGACAAAGCTGTCCCCATCACTATTAGTTTGGCCCTGAGAATTAAGTTAACTGCACTTGCATTACCTGTTGTGTTCATGGGTGTTCCTGAAATCAGACAAAGGCTATCTAACAATACAGAATGAATGCAATTGCATAATCCAAACAAAATTTCAGGATGGAGAAAATGGTGTGGGTGGACATCCTTATTGCTGCTCTGATTCTTCCATGCTTCCTCTTAAAAAAGGAAGATTTTATAGTGACGGGTCCCTTAGATGTAATTAGAAGGAAATAGGATTTACCAAGATGGATTACCACACCTTTAATAGTGGTCCCACCCAGAGGCCATTTCTATCTAATTACTGAATTCTTAAATAGGAAGGAAAAAATGACCGCACAGGCAGTTGTTCATTTAAAGCTTTATATGTCACTTCATAACACCATGCATGATCACTGTTTTTTTTATTTCAGACTCTTGAGGAATGGGTAGCTGTGGAGAGTGATTCCATACAACCAGCGCAAAGATCAAAAGTGATACAAATGGTAGAAAAAGCTAAACTTCGTCTCCAGGCCTTAGGAGCAAATGTGACGTTGGTCAATCTGTCCGTCCAGCAGGTAACAAGGGGTTTGAGGTGGGAATATATCAGTTTTCTGCTTATTCCTCCTCAGCTGCAGCTCCTCGTGCAGTACACATCATGGTGGGGTGGGGGGGTTGACCTTCAAGTTGCGATAGTGCGAAGGCAAGGCTGGTTCAGAAGACGCATTCCATGAGCAAGAAGGATTCTGCTCATGATTATTTGGTTCCAAGCCTTTGTTTCAAAACATAATGCCTTCCTGTTTTCCTAAGGTTTGAATTTAACGGAGCAATGCCTCACTATACCCCTGCAGGTACTTGATGGCAGAAATATTTCATTACCTCCTGTCATTCTGGCAGAGCTTGGAGAAGATCCACTAAAGCCCACTGTGTGTTTTTATGGACATGTGGATGTGATGCCTGCTAAAAAGTCGGATGGGTGGGAAACAGATCCCTACGTATTGACTGACATTGGTGGTATGTACACCACTATTGCTTTTGACACGGCTATTTTAATGTTGTATGCATTTCACACACCCACACCCATACCCATACACCCCTTCCCCAACTTTTCATAATTCAGCTTCTGCTTAATGGCATTATCTGAATTGCCGGAAGAGATCTTTTGATGAAGGGCGGTATATAAATTTCATTAATAAAATAATAAAATCAGATGCTGTGGATTAATGGTCTCATGACAACCCAACAAGTTTACGCTCCCCCCCCCCCCAATTTCTCTCCTAAAAGAGGTCACCATTGATTACCAAAGCCATCTTCAGAGCTAAATCAAAGCTTAAACCCAGAGTAAAATGAATGTGGGTAATCTGCTTCCTCTTGTGAACCTCTGAGACCTACAGGGATTGGGCAACAGCAACAACTACTATACCTGGAGTTGAGCCACCCTTATTCCCTTGAGCATTGTTTGAGGGGTAGTGAGGCTGAAGAGAGTATAGTAAATTCATGACAGAGGCAAGAGTCAGACCAGGGACTTCCTGATTCATAGCTTAGTCTCTTCGTTGTTGTGTTGTACCATTTCCGTTCTACCCTTAGCATTATCAGAAGTTTAAAAGTTTAATACAAGCTTTCTTTATCTGGAGGGAACCTTTATGGGCGTGGAGCAACCGATAACAAAGGACCTGTCCTAGCCTGGATACATGCAGTGAGTGCCTTCAAAGAACTAAGAAAAGTAAGTAAAGTAAAAAAGTGTGCTGTCACCAGATTTACAGTGGACGCTCGGGATGCGAACGTGATCTGTGTGGGATGCACATTCGCAACCTGCAGCGGTGTGTCTGCTAACAGGTGGGTTGCGATTCGGTGCTTCTGCACATGCGCAAAGCGTGATTTAGCACTTCTGCGCATGGGCTACCTGTGAAACCCGGAAGTAACCCGTTCTGGTACTTCCAGGTTTCGGCAGTCCGTAACCCGAAAAAACGCAACCTGAAGCGTCTGTAACCCGAGTTATGACTGTATGCCAAAGGCACACATGGCTGTGATCTTTAGAACTTTGCTGGACAGTATTGCACACCACAGACCTTGTCCCAATGGGCCTGATTACATTCAGACCAACACTGATTAAATTCAGAGAATCTAGCAGTAATCACCTTGTATGAAAATCTGAGGTAGAGACTTGAAGACCAGGAAGGGTGTAAAACGCTAGAGATCAGATCTAAGAGAACTAGAATTGGACAAGAACTGTGAAATCAGAAAGTCAGAAAAAAGTGAGTTGAGACATGGATATGATCTGTCCTGCTGTAAGGTAACTGCAGAGAAGCAAAAAGAAAGGGGGGGGGGTTTCACTGCAACATGGAAGTACACTCTCACAGCCAGGGTAGAGTTGGTGTTCCAAGAGTCACAATTTTCTTGGGTTGTTGGGAGAAAACAGGGTCGGGGTCTCCTTCTCTTAAATGGAGACTGCCACCAGCAGTCTCTCCCCTCAAGCCTCCCCTAATCCACCAGGACCCTCAAGAGCCTCCCTTCCTTTTTAAGTATCTCCTTATGTTACTTTATTTTGGGTTCTGCTGAGCTTTCTTATTCTAGTAAAAGGAAGCAGGAATGAAAACAAAAATCTGCTAGCTAGTGCCTTGTCCTGACTAGCTCCAAAAAGAAATATAATAGACATGATAAAGAAGCAGCCAGGCTTTATGAGATTTTTGAAACAGAGCAGCATGGTGCAGCGTTTAGGATACATTCTGAAAAGCTGAACAAGGCACCTTAGGGCTCACGCCACACTTCCGGTTCTTCCATGATTTATAGGCATGGGTCCGAGAGGTTTTTCTATTGTCCTGCTGCTTTCCCCAGGAAATCCTGCTGCTTACTTCTGGATCAGAACAAATGCCATTCTGCAGGAAACCTGATTGATGTTTGTTCTGATTCAGCAGTAAACAGCAGGCATGGAAGTTATTACATAACAAAAGGGTGAAGGTGAAGAACAATCATAGGAGATCATGAATCACTTCAGTTAAATTTCCCACTACAGATGTAAGGCAAACACCCTCATGCATCTTAGCCAATCAAATTTGTATTTTTATAAGGTGACCCTGTCTCTTCTGAAAAGGACAGGCTTAGATTTCTCAAGAAATGCAAAAGAGGACATTTGTCTTAATCAAGGAAGGATATTCTTGTGGGACAGAATCCAGTTACTCACAAGGGATGATTAATGGCCGCTCTTGATTTGGGTAGAGAAATGAATCAGCAGCCAAATGCATTTTGTTCCAAACTGGGTGCATATGTGTCAAGGAACAGCCATCAGCACCCCGGCCACTGCATCCTGCACTCGTTGTTATGATTGCCTACGTAGAACACATTACAGTAGTTGAGCCCAGAGGTAACTGGACAAAAAATTAGAATTGACTTTTTACTGAGAGTGCATTTTCCTTCAGGTAACTTGACATTTTTTGTTTTTAGGACTTGCCAGTAAACCTCAAGTTTCTTATTGAAGGCATGGAAGAAGCAATCTCCATTGGACTAAAAGAACTGGTTGAAAGAGAGAAAGAGCAGTTTTTCTCCAATATTGACTATATTGTGATTTCAGATAATACTTGGCTCAGCAAGGAAAAGCCAGCTCTTACGTATGGGACTCGGGGAAATGCCGGCTTCTCTGTGGAGGTAAAAGGGTAATAATGGAGTCACATGTCCTGGCCCACCTCAGCTAAAGAAGGCACTTGCCTGATAGTTAAGTCTTTATCGACAGAAGAAGCACTTCCAGCAACTCCTGCAGTGCTCCAGATGCACACACTTCAGGCCACTAGGCAGCTCTCCCTGATATCTGTGCCCAGTGGAGCAGTTGCAGCAACAGTGAGAACCTGCCCCTCTGCTGGCTTATATACCCTCCCCCTGATGGGTTGCGCACCTGCAACCAGAGACTTCTCCTTCATGGAAGTTGCCACTGCTCTTCTTGGTTCAAGCGCCTCCTGCTTCAAGGATACAGTGGGGTGGTGGAAGGTGTGGAGTCTACTGACCCATCCATCACCAGAACAACCTCCTCTTCTTCCACCACATACTGCCTGTCTTTCTCCTTCTTGGACTGCCCTGACTCTTCCTTCTTCCCCTTTCCTGGCTCTTGCCTTGCGGGCAGTGCCAAACCCTATATATCACTGGCCCCCTCTCCTGGGTCATTCCCCTGATCCCCGGTCCCCTGCCTATGCCCCACACTCTTTGGAGTCCTGCCAGTCTCTGACATCATATGTGTCTAAAACATTATTTTTCTGGCTTTGATGTTAGGTAGAAAGGATGCAAATTGTGCTACCGATAGAGCATTCCTTCCACCCTTTCTCCCACTTCTACTCCCCCTTTTAATTGGTATTCCAGTACACTTAATCATCGCTGCTAAGGTCATAGTCACTGTCTCCTTCACTTATATCAAACATTTATTTTGCAAAAACAGGAAGTGCCTGGCACTGCCCAGGAATTTGTAGAATCAAAATACACTGCACTTTTAAAATGGATAGTATACTTTGTGAGTTTGGACCAGTCGTGCCACAAACTGGGAGAGGTCATGCAGAAGTCACATTTCAGTACACCATCTTGATTCAAAATGGTGCCCAGCATCCAAAGAGTGATGAAGACAACCACCTCAGGAGCCTTCATGCTGAGAGGTGGCCAAAACTATGTCAAAAACCAAAGTAATGCTGAAGTGATGTTTTGGTCCACCATCTTGATCCATAATGGTGTCCAGTATCCAAACAGTGACAAAGTCTGCTCACACCCTGCATCAAGAACTATTGTGTCAAGTTATCTCAAGAGACAGCCAAACCTATGCCAAGAAACAGTAACCAAAGTCACATTTCAGCCTGTCATCTTGAATCAAAATGACATCCAAACATTGACAAAGAATGCCACCCTCACCTCAGAAACCCTTGTGCCTAGTTTGGCAATGATACCTTGAGTGGCATCCAAATGTACAACCAGACAGACAGGCAAACTACTTTCCAAAATGTATAACAGATGATAGATAGATAGATAGATAGATAGATAGATAGATAGATAGATAAATACAGGAGTACTAATCATGCTGATGCAACCCAGGAGACTTCTGGTGGAGATAGTAGTATTTGCATAATTCTTCTTTCACAGAGATAGCTGTGTGTGTGTGTGTGTGTGTGTGTGTGTGTGTGTGTTATCTTGGGGTTCATCCATGCTGTCGTTTAATGCAGATAGTAAACTTACTGTACCTCCATTAATTCTCCATCATCTATATGGCATTCTCATTCAAATTAACCCCCTTCCACACTTGCCTCTCCCACAATCTAGATTTTGTCATACCTGGGTAACTTTGAAAAGGAGAATCATGCAGGGCAACAGAAACAACTGGCCGTTCATATGTTGTTGATGTAATCCAGAGGGGCTGAATGTTAAAAGGAATCGATGCAAGATTTATGCTATATAAATAAAGAGGATGTAAGCTTCAGGTGCCAACATAAAAGGAATGTCAATACTACAAGCTTCAATCCTACTCAGAACTATGATGCTAATTCTGAGTAGGATTGGAGCTTGTATGGTAATTCATTTCTATGATGCAAATTAAAACAATGATAATGTGTCGGTCGTGATGTTGTCTTCATGTTTAAATTAGGTACAAGGTGGCGAAAGAGATCTTCATTCAGGAGCTCTAGGTGGCATCGTCCAGGAACCCATGTCTGATCTGATAGCCTTGCTTGGTAAAAATTCTGTTCATTTGTCTATATAGTCTTTAATCAGAAATTAAGGTCTGCAACAACTGATAAAAATGCTTGGTTTAGTTTTCATAGGCAAGTTAGGAATGTAGGATAGTAGAGTGGCAATTAATTGGCAAACCCAAGGTTTCTATAGATGAATATTCACGTGTACATGTACACAAGACTGAGGACTCTCTGAGAACAGGTGGAGAAGTAGGGGCAGGTTATAGTAGCCAGGACTGAGGGTATTGCCAAATGTTAGTTCCTTTGGTATTCTCAAGTAACATAGTGGTAAACTGAGAATTATTTTATAAGGCACTAACTGTGGTGTTTAAAAACACTGAAGCGGAACCCTAATTGGACATGAAATTACATGCTGATTTTTCAGAGTACTCATTGCATTTGCTGCGACAATTTCTTTGAACATTATGTTGCAGAGTTGCTTGAAACTGAATCACACCTGAAGGTTAAGTTGCTTTTGCTAAAGCTGGCTTGTAATGCAAACATAAAATGACCAGACCATACTGCCTTTAATATTTTATGTAATTTTTCAGGATTAACAAATAGAGAGATATAAATTTCACCTAACAATAACAATTGTCCCCACCCCCTAATAACCCCTTGCCCAACACAATGGAAATCCTAAGCACACAACAGCCATTTGCAGAGATGGAAAAGATGACAGACAATCAGAAGAAATCCGTTTCAATTCCAGTTTACCCACACATAAGGCTGGTTATATCTAGGAAGGAAATATACTACTACTACTACTACTTCTGCTACTACTAATAATAAATATTTTCATTATTACTATTTGGAATTATATCCCAGCCTTCCTCCTCAACCTCAACTTCCTTGGTTGGTTGGTGGTACTGACCCACCGTGTGACTTCTTTCCCTCCAAAAATGGTTCTCTTTTGCTTTCTTCTGTCTACACCCAGACACAGCACAAATAGCACACAAGCCCATAGCATTCTGTCAGTCCTTCTTGTACAGGGTTAAGGGGGCCAAGGAGGGTCACACAGACAGATCTCATATGACTGAGCATGGAACAACAGCAATTGTGTGTTTTGCAAAATGTGTTTGTTCCATAGACAGTCTTGTGGATTCATCAGGCCACATTCTGATTCCTGGAATCTATGATGACGTTGATGATTTTACAGAAGAGGAGAAGAAGCTGTATGAGCCAATAGAATTTGACATAGAGCAATACAAGGTTGACGTCGGTGTGAAGAAATTTCTCTATGATACCAAGGTACAGTACTGTCAATAGAAATTGAAAACAGGACATCTAAAATAAGGGAATTGCAGAAAGATGTTGAGAGAAGCCATGACTGGCTAACTCCTATTTTTGTTTCATTATGTTTCTAAGGAGGAAATACTTTCACACTTGTGGCGCTTCCCATCTCTCTCTATTCATGGGATAGAAGGAGCTTTTCATGAAAAAGGGATCAAAACAGTTATACCATCAAGAGTCATAGGAAAGTTTTCAATCCGGCAAGTTCCTCACATGAACCTTTCTACTGTGGAATGTCAGGTAATGTTGGTTAGACACACTTGATTCTGATTCAGCTTATTTGCATAACAGGTCCAGGCACTGTTTCAGCTCTTACATTTAAAGTAAAAAAAGGCATGTGATGATCTATTGTTATCCCACCAGTGAAGGTCAGAGACCCTGATTCCTTGACTTTCTCATTTTACAAATTAAGCACTGAAAGAGATAACACGGTCTGCTTGGTATTAACAGTTCACCTATGTAGAAGCCTATGTCCAAAGATTTGCTTGCTGAAGCTGAAATTCACTTCCCTCCCCCTTTTGCTTTGGTCTCATGTCTCTTTAGGATTGACAGGTCACAATGATGCATTTGATGCTGACAGTGAGAAAGCCACAACTAACTGAATTCCACTGTCAATGTGAGCTTTCCAAACTGTGTGTTGTGACACGTTAGTGTGTTGGCATGTTGCACAAACACTCCCCATGCTCCTCCCAAGGGTTGGAAAGGGGTTAGTTTAACCTCCGGTTTGCTAGTAAAACTGAATTACTGTGTTGCAAAATGATGCATGTCTAAAAAGTGTGTCACCAACATGAAAAGTTTGGAAAGCTCTGGTCTAGAGAGAGCAACCTCTTCCTTCAATCACCACAGCCCAGCTTCACTCCTTCTCCATAAATCTACTTCTGTGTAGAAGGTGGAAGCTGGCCCTTATGTTGTCCCACACTGCCTCTTTCCCTGCATGAAGTTTGAGTCCCAGCCCAGGCAAACTGATAACTATCCCTTCCCACACAGAAGTTGGACTGCAAACTATTGAGTTCCCTGAGCAACCAACTACTCCATCCTGCCATACCAGTTCAATCAATTAGTGGCAGAGGGTTCACTGCTAACAAACACCATGGAATATAGATAATATAAAGACACGACAAATATTTTTATTCAAAACATTTTCTTTTTAGGTGAAACAGTATTTAGAAAAGGAATTCTCTAAACGAAACAGCCCAAACAAACTGACAGTGTATGCCGAAGAGGGTGCATCGCCATGGATTACTAATATCAGTGATCCTCAGTATAAAGCAGCTGCAAAGGCAATCAAAAGAGGTTTGAAATGTTTTTTGAAATATATATATATATTTGTTTAGAACATTATTTGACTTACACATGCTCATTTTCTGTCTCTCTAAAGATGTGAAATATGTGTAAAGAATAAAGATTGAACACTACAAATAAATTAGACTGTATCACATAATCTGAAATTAAAGTGTTCATTTAGCTTTGTCAACAAAAAGCAGGAAGGTTAGCTTTTCAAGTGCCAAATATTCCATTTTTTGTTAGCAGAAGCATGTTCTCCGATAGAGCCTCCTGAAAACCTAATTTGCATCCCCTGGTGGAATTATTTTGTTTCAGACAAAAAAAAAAGTTTGTGTATGTGTGTGTGCGTGTGTGTGTGTGAGAGAGAGAGAACGGAAAAATTACTTGACTTTTATCATTCTAGGTTTTTTCTGCCTCCCATTCCTTCATGGAATTTTTAAACAATTCCCTTATCTTCCCTATATATGTAGTCTCCCTTCATTTTCATTTTTTTAAAAAAATTTATTCCCCTCTTATTAATGATTTTAGAGAAAATCAACCTATTTGGCCAAATCTATTCTGGTTTTCCAGTGTGTTTTTAATAATACTTATAGCTTCAAAAATGTTTGTGTGTATTATTATTAATTACATTTTCCTCCTGTCCTTCCTTTAAAAAAGCTCAAAGTGGCATAAGTGTGAGGTAGCTTAGGCTGAGAAATAGCTTAATGCCATGGTAGACAACATCACAGCTTTGCATGCCCACTATGACAACTGTGCATCCCTTACCAAAAAAACAAAACAAACCCAGAGATCCAACATGCAAACCTGTGTGCTGCATTAGGCCACTTTTGAAGGCATTCCAGAGGCAACTTTTCACGCCCTTCCCCTCAACCGAATAAGCTAGCTCTGCCTCCACCATAACATACACATAAGGCTGAAATGGGGGGGGAGGAAGCTTGTCAGTGTAATCAGCTCCAACTTGAAGAACAGGTACAGTTTGGGGGCTTGTGCCATGGCAGATATAGCAGTCAGCTTATGGCTACCTGCTGTGTAGATTTTTTTAACCACTACCACAACAGTAGAATTTCTTTAAACCAAAACCAAAACCAAGAGCACATTCTTCCCACTACCACTTCCATATGTTTCAGTTTTTAAAAAGGATCCAGATATGATTCGGGATGGATCAACAATTCCAATTGCTCAGATGCTTCAGGATATAACAAAGAAAAGTGTGATGATGTTTCCGATTGGAGCAGCAGATGATGGGGAGCACTCTCAGAAAGAGAAGATAAGCAGGTAAACAAGGTAGACTAATTCCATATAAGGCCCTCTTTATAGAGGGAAGTAAGGTATTTCCACATTACCTAAACATTAATACATGCATAGAGCAGAATTCCTAATTACTAGGAAAGCAGAATATTTGTACTTCTCTGCTTCAAAACAGGAGGGTTTTTTTTTATCTCCATATGTTTAAAATATTTCCAAAGCATACCAGAGTTTATAACTTGGCACATACAAAGTCCACAACACCCTTGTTGTTAGAAAAGGTCTAGAAATGGAATATGTCTACATCTGTCCATCAAAATGGCAATGAGGAAGAGAAAAAATAGTGTCCTCACAACCCTCCCTGCACGCACACACAAATACAAGCGTGCATGTTTCTCTGTGGGAATGCATGTATATAAATAATGGCAAGACACGGATTCCACGCTTTCCCTATCATTTCATGTAGTAGTCATTGAACAACCATTTGGTTTCATACTTCGGTTTACAATTCAGATAGTTCTTTGTTTCTGAAACATGCATGTATACAGTGTTCTATGTACCATCAGATTATATGTATATGTAAAATGTCCCTACGAGTTGAAGAAATGAATTTTGGGCATTTCACACAATATAGCAACCTTAATATTTAGATTGTTTGACAGTTGCTTTTCTCTTCTTTCCCAATCAGAAAAAATTACATTAATGGAACAAAAGTGTTTTCCTCCTTTTTACTGGAGATCTCAAAGCTCCATAAGGAATTACTGAGAGGCTCCAAGTGACAACTGCAACTTCATGGCAGATCAAGTGCAATTTGACTACTGGATTTGCAGTTCTGTTATGTATGGTTATGATTCCAGAAAAACGTCAAAGGGCTCTTCCATAAGTTCAGTTCCAGGACTGACAGACACTTGTCCTACCCCGCAACTCCCTCCCGCCACCTCCATTATGAATGCATTTTGTCCTTTAAATCTGTGTTCCAATCATTCCTATATCTCTTAACGCACTTCAGAGCACAAATATACACTCATCTTAATACAGGTGGGCTGTTCACTGCTGTATGTTAATGATTGTTATTAATGTCTTATAAATCATTGTCAACTGCTTTGTGAGATGATTGTTCTGACAAGTGGTGTCCTATATAAACCTTATAATAAAATAAAGTAGGTCTGCTTCTATTACTACTACTATTATTATTATTTATTAAATTTCTATTGCAGTTTACAACATAAAAACAAAATACACACCTTAATAACGAACAATAACAGTAACCCCTCCTCACACAGCTCAGAAGGCCATAATTAGCCAAAGGCCAGGGAGAAGAGGTACGTTTTTGCTTGGCTCCTAAAGATATTTAATGAAGGTGTCAAGCGAGCTTCTCTGGGGAGAACATTCAAACGTGGGGAGCTACCACTGAAAAGGCACATTCTTGTGTTGCTGCCCTCTGGACCTCTCATGGAGAAGGCACACAACAAGGGTATTTTGTGCCAGTTTCCCCTGTCACTCAGTTTCTGGGTCCACAACACAGCAGAATATGCGTCATCTTCCTTTTCAGCTTTTGTGAGCTGGCGCCATTGGAAGACTAAACCATGGTACATGCAGTGCTGAGGATCTGATGCTAGTGTCATCCTTAGAATTTTAGTAGTACAGTTATTACAGTTTACATTGTCTGCTTATTTACTGATAATGCACTGGGATATTTGAGACTGGGTTTTGGTTCTAGAAAACAGGAAGCTATTCAGGAGTGTCGGAGTGCATACAAAAAACCAAGAGCACACCCAGGGCTTTTTTTCAGCCAGAACTCACAGGAACTCAGTTCTAGCACCTGCCTAGTGGGCACCATTGCCATTATAAGAGAACAAGGGAAGCGTTCATGGTGAGTTCCGGCACCTCTTTTTCTAGAAAAATAGCACTGAGCACATCTATTGTGGAAAACATACACACTACTTTGTTTCACGCACAGATACTGTCTTCTTTTCAGCATCAAACTCAAGGGGAACAGAACCTGCTGATTTGAAGCGGTTGTACAAAGTGGTGATTGGCAAACATCTCTGATATCATGACACACCCTCTCTTCGGAGTAGTTTTCAGCTTAAAACAAATATAATTGTGTGTTGAATGGTTCTATGAATAACATTTGAACTAAACATAAAGTGGCTAGTCTACCTAAACATGATCAGCGGGTCCAAACTGATAAGGAAAACTGTTTGCTGCCTGGTGTTTGATACATTTTTCATTTGAAGAGCAAAGACAGAAGGAAGATGGACTTATTGTACATTTGCAGTGACAAAATCAAAATGTTTGGCTCAGTGGCATAAATTGCATGGAATCAGTGGCTATCTGGGCTGATATAATGCTGTAATAGTAGCACTAAGTAATTGTACAAATTACTGTCAGTTTAATTATAGAAAATCTAAGATATTGATGTATTTTTTTAAGAGTCCGAGAATGAAGACAGAGAAGAAAAAGGTTTTTTTTTTACAAATGGCAGAAATTTATTGATGATACTAAAAGATATTTAGAACCAGATAGGATTTATGGGTTCACAATATATTAATATTTTGGGGAAGATATATAATGCAAAATGGATATAGACATGTTTAATTAAGAAAAGACTAGTGAAATTGTAAACAAAGTGATAAAGTCTTCTAACAGACCAAGAGAAATAGATTACAGGAGCCTTCTGTTAAGATTTGAGTTATTAGTATTATAATTACGTAATACAACTTATTGTTCAAGTTGTGCATTTTGTTAAGATTAATAATATCTTTGTGATACAATGGAATTGTGATATGATGGCATTACTGTAGTTTCTTAATACACAATATGAAGTTTTGCGTTAATATTAAATAATGCACACGCAAATATTGGATAGCCGAGAGACTGAAATTTGTCCCAGATTAACCATTTACTTGAGTGAGAATTAGCTGAGCTCAAGCATTATCAGTATTTGTTCATCCCAAATAGACAAAGGTTCAAGGACCTATTGATAAGTTTTGTGCATACCAGGCCAGTATGACAGACAGAGGGAAATCAGAAGAGGAAAAGAATAGTGCCTCCTTCATGTTTATTTCTGAGATGCTTGTATAATGTACCTTGCAATTTACAACAATTAATAAGCTAAATGACTGAATCTCAGTTGTCAAACACTGATCATTGCCACTGAAAGTATGCTAGGTTCATCTTAAAAGTTTTTCTGTAAATTTAAACAGGATTTTGAAATGCAGCAAAACAGCAATAGCAACAATAATAACATGTGAATTTTCTTCACCAGACAGGAGGAGAAACTAACAAGTGAAGGGACCAGATGAACCACACAATTCTACATCTGGGCTATGGCCCCAGAAAAGGCCCCCTAACTCAGTAAATTAGTAACAACAAAATGCAGTAAATAAAATCTACAATGTGCACTGTCTTTGTATATTTTGTCCCATCCACAAGCCAAAATCTTAATGTTTGCCTAATGTTCCACAAAAGCCCTGATTTGTTCATTACAGCAGATGTATCTCTTTCCAAGTCTTTAATCTCTTTGAACAGCAATCTTTAGTTCTCTTCTCTTTTGGTGACAGCCATTTTACTCCGAGTTTTGTGCATATGTTTTTGTCAATAGGTAATTTAAGGCTGCTAAAAGACCTCTCAATGCATCTGTCTTTACTGGTGCAATCCTCTGTGAAGCATTAATTGCTTGCAGCGTTTCATCAGAATCAACTGCTCTGATGCTAATTACACTGGAAAACCACTAAAGCTGAAAACAAAAACAATTATAGCACATTAATATGTGAGAACTTGCTTGTGGCTATTTCTGATGAGCATAGTGGGGGGAAAGAAATATTTTCCCAGCATATTCATAATGGCAAGATGATGATCATTATTATATCAGGGCTGCAAGCACTCATCAACATTGCAATTACATTTCAAATTCCATTAGAAAAGCGAACTTTCTGCAGAATCACATTTCATGCTTGTCTTGTGCTTGGTCACACAGGTCTTCTCTCATAACCCTTCCCACAATCTGAGCACCGTTGGAAAGTGTGGTTGGGCACATACGGGCTATTATTTTGTGACATGATTAGTGATGCCCATCATGACTCCCGCCCACCAATATGCTTGCTGTGAACCAAACCAGCAAATCTATATCCCCATCAGCTGTGGGCTGGCTGGTGCACGTTTGACGCTGAGAAGTCGTTGCAGAAGAGTTGTGAAATGGGTACAGTCTGCTTGTGGTACATTTGATGTGTATCCTTGCAGAACAGCCCTGAGTAATCGGATCTGCCCTGGCCTACTGCACCTTCCAAGAACCTGCAGGCATCTGCCTTGCATTTTCCTTCTTACAGCATCCCACACCCACTTCCCAATGGAGAAACCTATCAAGGGCCTCTCAAACCTTCAGTGAAGGAGACGCAGATAACTGATAAAAATGGGACATGGCTCTCTGAGAACTAATCTTTCTCCTCGCAGATTTCAGTAACAAATCAGAATGGGAATAATTTGGGCAGTAGGTTGTGGGCAGTCAAACGGCCAGTAATTTTGTGACTGCTTTATTAACTGGGTCTATTTAGGTGGCCATGTGTCCTACTTTGCAGATGACAGTTCTCTAGTTGAAGGGCCCAAATCCAGCTGGAAGATAGAGATCCCTTAGAAGGAAGAGCAGCAGCCTTGAAGTTGCCCAATAGCAGTTCACTCCTCAAGAGAAGACTGAGCAGGCACCCAGGTTAGTCTTCACAGCTATGATGAGATTTAAATAATAGCAATGCTATTTAAATAATGCTCATTATTGCTAAATTTGCAGCTCTGCATATGAATCAACACATGTGTCCATGCCAGCTATTCAAGCATATACCTAATTTCAGATATGGTGGAAGTTGAACTTGTAGTGCAGTGCACATCTAATTGAGTACATACTTAAGGCTTTATTTGTGGGTTTGACTACAGGGGAATTGGTACTATTTAAAATATATTATGATTTCCCTGTGATCTGGTGTTAGCACTGGACATCTTTTGGTGCTTGCCCTTGTAGGGCTCACTGCTGATACCTTCCCTGGTCCCCATTTAAAAATTAAAATGCAATAAATTCCAGTGCTCCAGTCTGGATCATTTTAATTTCCAACAAAATACCCTCAACTTAGCACTGTTTTGAGACGTTGCAAGAAATTAAAATAGTGACAAGTGGGTAATGGCACCAGCATCCACTTCTCCCAGGGACATTTCAAACCTGGAATTGCAATGTCTGGTCCTGTGAGTTTGTTGCTCAAAAAAAATACTTTTTACTCTTTTTTCAATTTTTACAGTTAAAGTAAAAATAATGAGAACAAAACTAAAAGCTGGAAGGCGCTTTGAAGGGGCAGTGAGGGAGCAAAGTTGGGGGAAGGTTTTTCTTATTGAATCTCTGTTTATGCCTAATCCAGCAAATACTTCTCTTCTGGGCATATTGGACTCCTCATCACTTCTTCCAGAAGCAACTTGGACCCACAACTGTGCGACACTGAAACATTGGATGGCCATGCCCTGTAGTGGCACTGTGCTGGACAGCTCTCATTCTCCGTACTGTATTAACTTTTACAATCCTTAAATTTCTCTGATGCCCACACTATACTTAATTATTTTCCAACACTGTGGGCGTTGATGGATCAGCTTGTGTTTACTGCACAGTAACTGTAACTTCCTGGGAAAAAACGTATCAACCAGACAGTTAACAAATTAGCAAACTGTTTGCTCAGGCTAAATAAACAGTGGGAACTGAGATAAAATTGGTGGTGCGGAATGACTTGTAGAGCAAAAGCTTACTGGATTTTGAAATAAGAGGACGTCTCACAGCCTCTGCTTACTGACTCTATTGGCAAAGAAGACAAGAAGAATAAATTCTGCCACTACTTGTCTCTACTGCTATGGTGAAGTATTGCCTGTTTCTCTTACTATTGGCAAATGCTAAGTATGGATGAGAAGAATCCATCAGTCTGCTTTTGGACTGATGGAACATATGCAGAAGAGATATATAATAATCCTTAAAAACACTGTGTGTGTGTGTGTGTGTGTGTGTGTGTATGTCCCTCCCCACAAAAGGCACTGTACGTCTATAGTGAACTGTATAGAAAACTAAATTGCATAGAGCACTGTCCTTGGAACATCTCACCACTCAGGCAAGTGGCAAATATTTTAAGCAGTCAGGAAACGGAACTATTGCAATGGAAGGGTTTGCCAGCGGTTTGTTTTTCAAAGCAAAGGTTAATCTAGACTAAGACAACAGTGATAGAATAACAAACAGCAATCTTAACTTATAGGGCAAACTCTAGTCTCACCCCCTGCCCCCTGGATAAAGTGGAATCTTCTGTAACCAAACAGTCCAGGGCAAACTGTATGGAATTTTGGTTCTGAGAATTGCAGGCTACTAATAATAGTAATTATTCTTTCAGATATCCCTTGTATTTCTTCTTTCTTTCACAACTATCACCAGTGAAGCATCACTTGCCCCTTCAGATCAAATATTTCAGTACATTGATGCACATCAACATGAATATGTACAGGTACAAGCGGGTGTACTATTTTGGGACAAGCTGGAAAACTAGAGTGAAGGAATGTTACCTGGAATGTGGATTCCATCCCCCTCATAATTTCCTCTTTTCCTCATAATTTCCACAGAGACTCAGAGAATGGGTGGCCATTGAAAGTGACTCCAGTAACCTTCTGAAGAGGCAAGATCTGATTGAAATGATACATTTAGCAGAAGAGAGGATAAAATATTTAGGAGGAACTGTTGAGTTGGCGGAACTGGGTGTACAAGAGGTAATCTATTGTGTTTCAGCATGAAATCTATCTTCATATATAATGAGGATCACCTTAAGGCAGGCTTAGGCAAACTCCAGATGTTTTGGGACTACAACTCCCATCGTCCCTGACCACTGGTCCTGTTAGCTCGGGATGATGGGAGTTGTAGTCCCAAAAACATCTGGAGGGCCAAGTTTGCTTATGCTTGCCTTAAGGCTACTGTTTAATGTCTCTAAAGAGCCTTCGTTAATCTGCCTAAAACATTCCAGTCTTTCATGCTATGTGTTTTGGTCACCCACTCTCCTCCTCCTCCTCCTCCTCCTCCTCCTCCAATATTTGCTGAAGTATAGAAGATAGAAATAAAGTCTCTGTCCACTGGATCACAATTGAAAAATATGATCTAAAGGAAAGATAGAATTGCCAGTAACATAAGTTACATAGGAAGCAGCTATATATGTTATGTACTGAAGTTCTCACCCTGGGCCAGCAGGGGGATACTGTAGATAGTTATGCAAATAAGGGATTGAAAGTGACGTTCAGTGATTGGATAGTTTTAGAAAGTTGTAACAATTATGTGTACTGAAGCTCTATATAAGCAGGCTCACTGAGCCCTTCAGCTCAGTTCTGTTCTGGCCTCTGAATAAAGAAGGGCTGTTTGAAGAATCGCTGTGTCGTCTGATATGTTCACCCACAACTTAACAATATATATAGATGGACTATAACGTGGTCAGGAGGTGAGGGGATTGGGTAAAAGAGGCAAGTGATAGCTTCTAGCACTTGTATAGGATTGCACTGTTAATGCATCGCTTCTGCTTTAGCTGCATAATGGAAGTACACCTCGTTTGCCACCAGTCATTCTGGCAGAACTTAAAAAGGACCCTAAAAAACATACAGTTTGTTTTTATGGACATCTGGATGTGCAGCCAGCCAGATTAGAGGATGGATGGGCATCAGAGCCATACAATTTGACAGAAAAAGATGGTGAGCATTTATTATTATTCAATGGCAGCAATACAGTGACAGAATCTCACTGAATACCAGTTCTTGGGTGGCAATAGTGGGAGAAGATATTGCTTCAGGCTCTGCTTGTGAATTTCCAGCAGGCATCTGATTGGCCACTGTGGAAACAGGATGGTGAACCAAATGGACATTTTATCTGGTACAACAGGACTCTTATGTCACCTCTGAATTTGTAAAACACTGTACAGTTGAATAACTGGGTTCTATCAGCTTCTCTTTATTTCACTTTTATTTTCAAGGTAGTCTGTATGGACGTGGAACCTCAGACGACAAAGGGCAAATTCTGGCTGTACTGAATGCAGTAGAAGCACTTCAACAATATGTATATGATTTCTTGTTTTTTTTTAACAAGTCTTTCTTATTTCATGAAATCTGCCATCAAAACAAAACAAACACACTGTTTACTACATTTTAAACCACTCTCTGACAGGAACTTCCTGTGAATGTAAAGTTTCTCCTTGAAGCCATGGAAGAAGTAGGATCCCCTGGACTATTGAAACTGGTTGAAGAGAGAAACAGTACGTTTTTTTCAGATGTCGATTACATTGTGATCACTGATTCCTCATGGATCAGCAACAAACCAAGTATTACATATGGAACAAGGGGAAACAGCTACTTCTTAATTGAGGTATTTGGGGCTCTTTAATATTGTTACAACTAGTAGAATGAGTGTGGTATAATGGTTGGACTATGCCCCAGGAGACTAGGGTTCTAATCCAACGCAGCCATGAAGCCCAGCTTAATTTACCTCACAGGGTTGTTAGAATAAAATAGAGGTGAGGAGAACAATGGTCCACCTTGAGCTACTTGGAGGAAAGTTGGGATCTAATAATAATGCTAATTTTACAGACACATCTTATCATTCATTTTATTATCATTTCCTGTAAAGTTTCTAACGAATAAGCTGCTAAGCGAGGATTACAATTTTTAATTGATGCATGTCTGAGAGGGATGAGCCCACAAACGTGAAGCTTGTGCCTGTTCATTTTCCTGATGCAAAATCTTGGTATGGCATGGCATGCTAATACACCCTCTGATTCCTTTATCTACTTTTTTCTAGGTTGAATGTGCTAAAAAAGACTTGCATTCAGGGACCTTTGGAGGTATAGTTCCTGAAGCAACCAGTGACTTAATATATCTGTTGAGTAAGTAGACTTTCTACTAGTGAACAACTAGCTCACACCTTCTAGGCTGCTTCAAAGCTTGACTACTGAGATTTCAGCATTGGTAACCTCAAGACTGGATTACCACAATGCGCTCTGTGTGGGGCTTCCCTTGGGCACCTTCACAGCTGCAGCTAGTGCAAAATGCAGGGCTTAATTGTTGACTGAGGAACCCTCTCAGCGTCATATAACACCTCTGCTGAAGAAACTGCGGTGGCTGCCAATATGTGCAGTTCAGGGTCTTGCTTTTAGCCTTAAAGCCGTAAACAACTTGGGACCTGCCGGGCAACTGTGCTCCTCAGATGGGGCACTGCTGAGAGTACCATAAGCCCCAGAGGTGTGTTTAGCCTATGCTAGAAACTGAACTTTTAGTGCTGGAACTCTAGCTCTCTAGAATAAATTACCAGCCAAAACTAGACAGGTGCCTAGTGTGATGATGTTTGAAGGCATTTTTCTTTATGAAGGGTTTCCTTGAGGTGCCACCCAGTCATATATGGAAGATCAACTTTATATTTAATGAAATTGTTTCATTGCTATCATCATCATCATCATCATCATCATCATCACCATTTTACCCCACCCCAGCACTCTGGGCAGCTTCTAAGACATATAAAAACATAATAAAACATTACACATTAAATAGCTTCCTGATAAAGGGCTGCCTGCCTTTAGATGTCTTCAAAAAGTTACATAGTTACTCATCTCCTTGACATCTGATGGGAGGGCTAAACGAAAGCTAAACGATGAGTACTGGTCTGGACAAGATGCTAAACCAAGCATGTCAAAAAGTTATATAGTTACTAATTTCCTTGACATCTGATGGGAGGGCATTTCACAGTCAGGAGAAAGCTAAATAATGAGTACTGGTCTGGACAACATGCTAAGCCAAGCCATAGCTTAGCTTAGCACACGACAGCAACCAAATGTTCAGGGCAGAGCAATGTGGTCACAGTCTCCTGTCTGGAGTTTTCATGCTTGCAAGTCCATGGTTTTGCTTAGCTTGATGTGCAAATCAGTTAGGACCATCCCATCTGAAATATACTCAGAGTCAAGTGTGGATTTCATGCTCTTTATTCAGCTCATAGTAGTGAGGAAAACCAGTTCCCCCGAAATGTCTGCTTTATATACATTATTTACACAATGGGCCCCACGAGATTGGCTAATTCCGGGATTCTCCTGTAGGCCAACCAGGTTGCAGATTCACTTCCACCTGGAGTTGGATTGGGTGGCTCCTGCAGACCAATCAGACTGCTGCATTCTAGATCCTATTGTTCTGGGACCAATCAGACTGCTGCATTCTAGATCCTATTGTTCTGGGACCAATCAGACTGCTGCATTTTGAATTGTATTCAACTCAGTACATAACAGCATCCATGAGGCAGAAGAATCCAAGGGGCGCCTCCTTGGGCACCCCCCCTCCCAAAGTGAGAAGTAGCTACAGTGGCTTCAGGCTTCCAGTGAGATCTCACAAAAGCCCTGTGAGATCTCACAGTGGCCTCCACGTGATTTCACTGCGCTCTCACAAGATCTTGCTGGAAGCTTCAGCTGGTAACCCTAGTAAGCAAGACTTTGGTGAGGGCAGCAAGCTGCTCCTGAAATAAGACTATTACGTCTATATTACAGGGAGGTAGCCATGTTGGTCTGCCGTAGTCAAAACAAACAAACAAATTCCTTCCAGTAGCACCTTAGAGACCAACTAAGTTTGCTATTGGTATGAGCTTTCGTGTGCATGCACACTTGTGCTCACACAAAAGCTCATACCAATAGCAAACTTAGTTGGTCTCTAAGGTGTTACTGGAAGGAATTTTTATTTTATTTTATTACGTCTATAGACATTCTAATGAACATTCATAGGTTGGGGTCAGAGCTTGCCACATGTATGCTATTATTCCCACTACCTCCTCCCATTTATCTTATTCTTATTTAGCCATCATCTTACTCTGGGGATCTGGTTTTATAGCTTTATCTATATATTAAAGGTCCTTACCTGTTGTGCATGTTCTATGATGCCAAAGAAGCATAGCTTTTCATAGAGATTCTTAGAGAACAGCAAAACTTAGCATTTTCTGTAAGTTTATCATGTAACATGTTTTGTTTAAAAATAAACAGAAATTAGGAGAAATATTCAATAAACTTTAAAAAAATTAAAGGACTATTTTGAGGCTTGCCTTCTGTATTCCCTAGTTTTAAAGTAAGCAGTTTTAATTGATGTTTAATTTGATTCTGTCCATTAAAAAAACAAAAGTAACTGCAAGTTCTGTTATTTCTGTAGTTCCTCTTCAGAACTTGTACATTTGTTTTCAGGTACCCTTGTCGATTCTTCTGGTCATATACTGATACCTGGGATTTATGATGCAGTTGCTCCTCTTACGGAAAAAGAAAAGAAACTCTATGAAAAAATTGAATGGGATTTCAAGAAGCTGAAGGACACATTTGGCATAAGAAACTTCACATACAACACTAAAGTATATGCCATATTGATTTTGTATTGAATTCTAAGCTGGGCTTTTGGTAGCTGGTTTCACAATTTTCAGTTAGGATGGGGCAAATTGTGGGAATTCCTTTATAGTTGATGTAGAAGCATGGTCAAATCTGGGTCTGCTCTACCATTAGGCAGTCTGGGATGGCTACTACAGGCAGCTGATTTTGGGTGTAATGAAAGGGCAGCATTTCCCTTTTTGCAGAAATATGCTGGTAAAATATGTATACAAGTCACTAGACCATTTTCTTAGCCTGTATTAATGAATTCCACCTTGTGTGGAATTGTCAGTCTGATTGGGGGTTCTAGAGTAACCCCAAGTCTAGTATCATGAGATAGAAAAGTCAGTCAACCACTCTCTCCATGATTAGTCTGAATTAGTTCTGCAGTCAGGAATATTAGGATTTTTGGTCCAAAGTCTAGCACCCCACTCAGTAGAATGAGTGAGGGTGGGGGGATGACAAACATACCAGGTAGCTTACCACATTTTGAAAAAAGTGACACAACACACATTACCATTTATAGTAAGGAGGGGTGCCATAAGACCACATATTCCAGGCTCAAAAAATGATTCAGTTTTCAGAATCTAGTTTTCATGTTTTATTAGTTTGCAGGTCACTTTGGATCACATTTCATGAAAAAGCAACTAAAAATGCAAACGATAATAATGATATAAATAACCCATTTGTCTGTGTAAAATAATAGGAATGGTGAGCAAACTACAACTTATTGTTTAAGACTTTATATATTGCTTTAAAAGTTGCTTTTTTTGTTTAGGAAGAATTATTAATGCGGAAGTCACGCTATCCATCTTTGTCCATCCATGGAATTGAAGGAGCTTTCTCTGCACCTGGAACTAAGACTGTAATCCCTGCAAGAGTAATTGGGAAATTTTCAATACGCCTGGTTCCCCATATGGATCGCTCTGTAGTAACAAAACAGGTAGAGTTCTGGGTTGTGTGTCTTTAAAATCTCTCTATTCTATTGTGGTAAACAGTGCTAATCATTTGCTTTCCTCAGTTGATGTGATGTTTCTAGCAACCTAGCCTAAAATAGGCCTACTCAGAAGTAGGTCCCCACTGTATTCAATAGGGCTTATTCCCAGGTAGGTGTATACAAGATTGTTGCCATGCAATGGAATACAATGTATGTTCACTCAATAATCCCTACTGAGTTCTATAGGACTTCTTATCAAATAGGTGTGTAAAGGATTGTAGCCTAAGACTGCAACTCAAGTATGCTTACTTCACATGAATTAAACTGAGGCTTACTTCTGGATAACATGCAAGGCATTGCTAGTGAATTAACTCAAAATGAAGTTGATAATATATTTAAGGTACTGGCCTGAATCACAGAGAATGGGAATTTGAATAATGACCAGCACATTGAAGTACCAAAAGATAATCATCAGCACATTGATCAGCCTTTATTCAAAGCTCAAAGTGTGCTAGACCATGAATACTGCAGGTCATTATCCCACAATGCATCTTCATAAGCAGATAATTAATATATTATTGTGTTATTATGACAGATTTAATTTTCACCAGGAGCAAACTAGAATAAACTTTCACTATTATTCTCTTGAGGTAATGGATCATTTGAACAAGAAATTTGCTGAACGGAACAGCCCTAATCATATTGAAATAACCAATGTGCAAGCATCAAAGCCGTGGCTTTCTGATACAGATGAACCTCTGTATTTGGCTGGAAGAAAGGCAATAGAGAAAGGTCTGGTCACTTCACTGCAACAAATTACAACACTTTGGGGCTATTGTGATTATTATGAAGCACCCAGCATACTGAAAAGCAGTGTAGAAAACTTAATAGCAATGGCTGCTATTATAGGACAATGAAAACACGAACCACACGCCTTCTGAATAGTTTCTATCCAAGAGCTCTGATTGCACTAAATAATGATCTCAGGGCCAGTTGCAAGGAATAGCAAGCAGGGAGTAGGAAGGAATGAGACAGGTTTTTAGGTTATGTTATGCTTTTAATAGGTTATGTTACATTCTGGAGTATGATATGTTTTTATAGATTATGTCTGAATAGGATGAGAGTGTTGGAGATACGTGCAAATGTGTATGTGAACCCGGTCTTCGAGTGGGTGTTTGATTTTCGTTGTTGTGTATACTGTGTATATACGGACAATGACAATAAATTTATCTAATCTAATCTAATCTAATCTAATCTAATCTGCATCATTACAAAAAATCCAAAGTAATCTACACATGCATCTAATAATAAAGCTGCAATGTTATATGAATGTGTATGTAATTCACACAGTATTCTGAAGGAGAATTTTGGCCTTGGAAGAGGCTCGTTTTGTGAAAACTTATTTTAAAGCACAGTCATGGGACGTATTAAGACAGAACTGTTTTGCTGCAGGAGATTTAAAACAGTTGTTTTTCTGGATTTTGTCAGTTACAGACAGGATCACAACTTTAAGTTTAGAAGTAGTTAACTTTTAACTCAAGATTGCAACAAAGACAAATGTGTCTGTTCTGGGACTTAGTTGGATAAAATGTTAAGTAACCAGTCTATGAAAATTAAGTTTTCTTTTATTCCTATTTCTTAGTATTCCACACTGAGGCTGACTTGACCCGAATAGGTGGAACAATTCCAATTGTTTCACATTTCCAAGACGTAACTGGAAAGAGTATAATGCTTCTAGGAATAGGAGGACCAGATGATGCCCCTCATGGTCAAAATGAAAAGATCAACAGGTAATCTGTAGGCCTTTAAAACACAGTAGTACCTCTGGTTAAATACGCTTCAAGTTACAGACTCCGCTAACCCAGAAATAGTACCTTGGGTTAAGAACTTTGCTTCAGGATGAGAACAGAAATCGTGCAGCGGCGGCGCAGCAGCGGCGGGAGGCCCCATTAGCTAAAGTGGTGCTTCAGGTTAAGAACAGTTTCAGGTTAAGAACGTACCTCCGGAACTTAATTCCGGAACGAATTAAGTACGTAACCAGAGGTACCACTGCAATGAAGTTTTTTACTAGTGCGGAAAGTGCTACGGTAAGTGAATTTTAAGCATAATCTCTGGAGAGAAGACAACTTTGGGACTTCTGTTTTGTGTGCAACATAAACCACCTAGAAGCTTCTTGAAGATGGAAAAACTAAACATACAGCATTTGAAATACTGATGTAAATGAAGTAGAAAAAGCGTGAATAATAAAACCAGATGTAGTATTGGCCATAATTATGATGCTTACCCATTAACGTAGTCATACATTTTTGCCAAGTTGTAATTTAGACTCTCATATTCCATCTGCGCTATATCTGCTTTTGCATGCCCACTATTAATCTTGTTTTCTTTTTAAATGTAGGTACAACTTCATTGAGGGAACCAAACTATATGCAGCCTTCCTTCAAGAACTTGCTTCTACCTAGAGAAGATGGGATGATGATAAAAACCCTCTAAAGCACAGCTGCATACTTCCTTTTTTGAAATGTTCTTAAAGGAACACATGTACACAAATATATTTAGTAATTTAAACGTGATAAAATCAATAAATACTTGTGTGGAAAAAAGAGAAGATTCCCCCCTGCAATAAAATATTTTATTTTATTTTTACATTTGGAGGTCCCATTCCTCCTTTCTTTATGTGTCTGTACAGAACTTTCTTGCTTCCTTAAGAACTCTGGACTCTCAGAAAGGAAAAGGAATAAATACTGCCACCTGGGTTTTCTAAATTTAAGATGACCCTCTTACTATGTTTTTTGTAAAAGATGTGCTACCCACAAATGACACATCACATTCCTAAATGCTTTTAAGTCTGTTCAAAGGTATGGTTGCACCCTGTGTGACTGAACTATTGTATAACTATTCATGTGCACTATACACCCTCTGCTGGCTGCACACTTCTTTGCAGCATCTTTTTCTTAAATGTGGTAACTGCATACATGGGGATCTCAAGTGCTTACCCATGTAGGCACAGACAGGATCAAGAGCTGCTTAGCTACAGCAAAATGATGGCTTCATGTACCTTCAGACCATATCCTGAGTCCATACTCTTTCTATGAGGGTGGCAGATGCAATTTTGAAACCTTGGGCACATTGTCAGGTTCCCAGGCAACAGACAATTGCATATTAGTGGCATATGGAGGCAGTGGCTACCATTGAAAATTTGCAGGCTTACTAGTGAGTATTTTTTATTTATTCAACTGAAGTATTTTTATTTTCCTTTACAGTCAAAAAAAGACAGTAAGTTTCATAATTCACAGTGTAGTCCTACTAAAATGAGAGTGTTAAAGTTTGAAAAATAGCAAGGTGGCAATCAAACAAGTCACACAACATATTTAGTTTAACAAAATTCACTGTAATTTCTAAAAGTCACCATGTGAACCCTTCTGGATATGAAGCAAGTAATAAGTATAACCTAAGTATGTTTTTAAGCTTACATGCCTGCTTGGGGTTTATAATAAATCAATTACCACTATATATTAGTATCTTTTGGGAGGGGGATTTTCAATAAATTTCCCAAAACTGGAAGTTTTTCCCCACCCGGCCATTGTAAGTCCTTCATACAATTTATTTTTTGCTAGTTAAGTCAATCTCTACCTCTTCACCAGTTAAACAAAGAACACTACCTTTTGTGTGTAGATACTTTAAACTTTTGAGTTGCTTCATGCCTAAACAATTCTGGTTTGTTAACACCTGACGTGTTTACACACGGAACATACACAAACATGGCATCTGGATATTGCCCCTTCGTTAATTTTGTTCAACTAGCAAATAAAGACTGCTTGGTAATGCAGGGCTTGAGCCCCCTGCCTACAGGGTTCGTTTCAGGATAATATTGCGCGTGTGCAGTGAAACACCGGGGCCTCAGCTGAATCCCAGAGCCTGTTTTCGCTGTCAAGGTTCTCTCGGGGAGTCATAGAGGACAGGAGTGCCTCGGGGCATGTGCAGAGTGCATGTTTCGCCTCAAGGGTGCCAGCCACAACCCAGCCCCTTCACTTTTGGCTACACGGAACGCGCAACAGAGGAAAGCGAGAGTCACCGCTAGGGCGCCTCTGAACGCGCCTGAAGGGGCAGGAAGCGACCTCCACGCGGCGCGCGGGGCCACGGAGGTACAGTTAAGGCCCTCGCTTCTTCAAAGGGAGTCACGCGCCGCCCGCGGAGCAACTGCCGCCGTTGCATTCCATACATTTCCTGTCTTCCCTCCCCTCCGTACGACGTTACGCATCACGTTCCGACAGTGACGCATTTCGGCGAATCTACGGCACGCCACTTGTGACCAAGATCATCACAAGCGGAGGAGGACGGCGTCCCCATCCGGTGAGTAAAAACCAACGGTCAGAGGTCCCCTCGCTTCTGAGGGAGGCTTCTGCTTAAGGCTGTTGTAGGCGTTTATCCTTGGGGGCGCCCGGTCGTTCCTGGCTTTCTCCAGGCCTTCTCGCTTTCCCTAGGGCTTTTTGGGCCTCTGTGCCGCCGTCGTTTTTTCTCCCCCTTCCTCCTCTGGATAAGTGGGAGGGAGGGCAGGAAGCTCGTTTTGGGCCAATCAGTAACCGTCGGCGGGTCTGATGCTTGAGGAGGGAATTCCTGAGTGGTTGGGCATGGAGGGCGGGAAGACGGTTTCATATAGCGATTGGCTAACGCCTCAAGGCTTCTCATCCACTTTTTTTTAAAGAAAGGAAGGGGGAGGAAAAAAGTTTGTCCAGAGTGCGCATGCGGAAGCTATTCGTGGTCTGTGACTTCTTCGTGTTAGCACTACGCATGTTCGTCGCGCGGCACCTTTTCAGGAGCGAGGGGGACTGGACGTTGCGCACGCGCCTTTTCGACCGTGGCTTTAAAACCGTTCTTTTCAAGGGGCTGTGATTGCGCTTGCGCGAGGGCTTGTATGTTTGCTGGTGAGCGATAAGGGACGCCTGAGCTCTTCTTCCTGGGCCGAAGGAGGAGCGCACGCGCACTGCTGTCGCTCGCCAGCAAAAAAATCCAAAATCGGGGGCAAAAAAAATATATTTTAAGGGCCGTACAAAACGACACAAGCTTCCGAGTTCATCCCAACTCTTCATCAGGCTGGCAGTTTTTATGTAAAAAAAGAAAAGAAAACTGGGGAGGAGGAGAGCATGCTGGACACCTGAACATGTTGGAAGATTCAGGGCAGATAAAAGATAAAAATGATTCACATTTCCTGGCATTGTGGAGTTGGAAGTTACCCAAAGGATCATTTGCAATGCATACTTAAACTAGAAATGGCTACCACAACAGGTAGCGATGTCCAACGACTTGGAACAGCTTTAAACAAATTACAGTGGTACCTTGGTTCTTGAACGGCGTAGTTGTCGAACAAATCAACTCCTGAACGTCGCAAAGTGTTCTGGTTTGTGAACGTTTTTCGGAAGCTGAACATCTGACGCGGCTTCCACTTGAGTGCAGGAAGCTCCTGCAGCCAATTGGAAGCTGCACCTTGGTTTTCGAACAGTTTTGGTAGTCGAATGAACTCCCAGAACGGATTAAGTTCATGAACCAAGGTACCACTGTACACAAATTCATGGAGGAGATTGCTAGCCATTAAAGGTAGATGGTTGGCTACATTGAGAACTGGGTACTGGACCTGATGGGCCTTTGTCCTGATACGGAGCGGCTCTTAGATATTGGGAGGGGGGGGGAGTTGGCATGATTTAGAAACCACAAGGTTGGCATTTAGTCACAGTCAAGATGGGAATGTAGGAAGAGAGTGCAAACTTGTATTGGGCTGTGCTTGGAGCTATGCAGATATTAGCTTGTACCCAAGGGCTGCTGGGATAAAGCAGTAAATAATGGCTGTTTATGAAGGCGTGCCGTAACCCAGACTTCACATGACATCACAGTTTCAATCTAGCCCATGAAAACATAAGCTGCAATAAATGGGTTATTTTTAAAGATTTAACAAGTGTCTTTGTTGTTTCTGGTTCTACATGCTAACTAATCCAGGGATGGGGAACCTTTTTCAAGTTGAGGTCCACATTCGGGGTACATACGCTTCAGGTTACATACGCTTCAGGTTACAGATTCCGCTAACCCAGAAATAGTACCTTGGGTTAAGAACTTTGCTTCAGGATGAGAACAGAAATCGTGCTCCAGCGGCGCGGCAGCAGTGGGAGGCCCCATTAGCTAAAGTGGTGCTTCAGGGTAAGAACAGTTTCAGGTTAAGTACGGACCTCCGGAACGAATTATGTACTTAACCTGAGGTACCACTGTATAGACAGCCTTCTGAGAACCACATACCAGTGGTAGATTGGGTCAGAGGCAAAAGTAAGCGAAGCCACAAATGTAACATTATCCTCCGTACAGTAGGCTAGCTTGTACCCACACCACTGTATTCCATCAAGGTAAGCAAGAACAACTAATTTATCAGAGTTCAAGAACATATTACAGCCAGATAAAATCACTTGGTGTGTGAAGCAGGAGTGTGTTATGGGGAGAGTTCCAAGGGCCAAACAGATAGCCTTTGAGGGCCAAATTTTCCCCTGGGCCTGAGATTCCTTGCCTCTGTGTAGCTCCTTGGGATTGTATGCCACTAGAACTCTGAAGAGACAGCATGCGGAGCACATGCAAGAAATAAATGCAAGAATCACATCCTGCTTTTATAAATTTTGGAAGATGTGCCTCCGCTCATAGCTGTTATGTCTGCTCATGGTGAACACATGCTTCAGCAAGGGAAGCCACCAGGTTGTTAAGTGTCTGTATGGAGAAATGCTTGCTTCCAAAGAACCACATACGTTCACACTGGAGGCCGAAGTTGCACTATTCTAGAAGTGAAGATGCCTTTTTTTTGGTGATCTCTGGAAATCATGGTTACTGTAATGACTCAAGTTGGAAGAAATTTCACAAGAGTTGGGTTGGCAGGTAGAACTGAAATTGCATTCAATCTCCATTTCTTTTCTGAGGCTCCAGAATTTTGACAGTGAACTTTCTTTGCGACTACAGTGGTACCTCGGGTTACATACGCTTCAGGTTACAGACTCCACTAACCCAGAAATAGTGCTTCAGGTTAAGAACTTTGCTTCAGGATGAGATCAGAAATCGTGCTCTGGCGGCGCGGTGGCAGCAGGAGGCCCCATTAGCTAAAGTGGTGCTTCAGGTTAAGAACGGAACTCCGGAACGAATTAAGTAATCCGAGGTACCACTGAACTAGTTTGCTCTCAACTAGGTATTAAAACCAGGATTAGATCCTAGTTTAAATCTGTGATTTGGGAACAAACTATAATTAGCAGAAACTGTTTACAGCTGTTTGGTTGTCATGGTCAGTCACAATTATATCTCACTAGGTCAGGGGAACCACAAGAACCCTCAAGATGCTCTTGATCACACAAACTATGGTTTAGCAACCATATATGTGTGACCTTTGAACGAGGCCTTTATATTGGTTTTATATACACTGCTAAATTTGACCTGTTCCTGTATGGGCAGATCTGTTTCCAGAACAAGTGTTTCCAAAATTCGTGAATTTTTAAATTTGAAATTTCTATGTGATAAGATCAGTTTGAAAAATACTTCAGGGGGTTAAATGCTTGCCAGGGTGTAGAACTAGCTTCTTGTTTGGGGATTCTGTCTATGGACATTCACATTACCCCCTGCCCCCAATATTGAAAGAATGTGTGATGGGGCCATGTGGAGTTGCCCCGCTACTGACAACGTGCACCACACACACCATTGCTGTGTGGTGAAAATGCTGCCATGCTGTCTCAAGTGTTCAGCTGGCATAGGAAACAGCTCTGAATGTGTAATGTTGCATACTCATAGAGCTCTTCCAGGACAAAGTGCCGCCTTTCAGAAATTTTCCCCAAACATCAATTCCACCTTTCAAATTCCAGTAATATCTGGGAGAATCCGGACATATGGCAGTCCTAGTAAATATGGTATATAGGTACCCACAGATATTTCCCATACCAGCTGAATGTGGGAAGGCCTCTTGTGTTCCCTCCCTCTTGTGTTCCCTCCCTCCCACCAAACTAAACCA